TCCACTGAGATACCCTTCCTGCCACCAAGATGTGTCTTTGGTAGTAGGCCGTGTTCCTCGACGGCCCATGCGATGCGTGTAGCAACGATAGACTCGAGGATTTTGCCGAGGGTGTTCAATAGGGCAACTGGCCTGTACGCTTTCGGCTGCCGAAAATCGCGCGGGCCGCCCTTACGAAGCGTTACCGTGATAGACGCCTGGAAGTGGCGGGGATTGTAGCCCGTTCGCATACACGTGTCGAAGATAGCTGTCAGAATAGCCACGAATTCGTGGCTATTATCTGCTAGGATCTTCCACACGCGGTTCGGGATACCGTCTTCGCCAGGCGCTTTATCAGGCGGCGCGCGCTTGATCGTATCGATGACCTCTTGCTGCGAGATCGCGGGAAAAGTAAGCTGACTGGGAGAAATCGTCGAATCGATATCAGACAGGTCTGCCTGCGGGGGTTGTGGGAAGAAAACCTGCCGAAGTAGATGAACCTTCTGTTGATTGGTTTCTGCTAGGCCTGTCGGCGAGCGTAGGGTAGGGATATTGCTGCTTATCGACTGATCTCTCATTCGTGCCCATTTTGACACTTTCCACAGGCCTCGGGGGCCTTTATCAATCGTCTCTCGTACCCACTGGCGGAAGCCTTGTTTTAAAGCCTTCTTGATCATCCTTCCCTTTGCATTCCTTACTAACGTGAATTCCTTCCATTCTTCGTCGTCGTGTGTACGCATATATTGTCGATACTGCCTACGAGACGCCAGGATCGCTTCTGTGCATTCGGGTGTCTAGCCCTGGCGGGCCCACGCCGATGGCTTCGCCCAGGGTGTTGACGCCTGTGCTGCCTGCTGCACGATATCAAGGAGGTGGCCAACGGCATTGTCGATATCGTTTGACCCGCCTGGGAGTCGTATCATGCATAGGTTTGATGAGACGAAGGTTAGGAACTTCTCCACATCCATCGCTTTCCAGTTTCGCCGCTTAACGGATCTACGGCCTCCGGCACGTCGATTTCGAGCAAGGTAAGTATTGGCAGGTGGTCAGAATCGGCATGCACGCTCTGGTCAACCTCGCATTTTATCATCTGCTCGCGTAGGGAGTATGATGCAAGAACGAGGTCGATCGTGGACTGTGAGCCAGCCTGATCTCGTGTGATAGTGCCCGGTGCTAACCAGCTATCTAGGCCTGCCGATTCCATCAGATCTAGGAGATCCTCTGCCCTTGTATCGCGTAGGGCATCGTCGCCGCCCCATACTGGGTGATGCAGGTTGAAATCCCCTAATATAAGGTAGGAAATCCCCTTCCGCTTCTGCTCGCGGGCTGCTGGTAGCGTTCCTTGCAGGATATCGAGCGCTGCTCCTTGTTGTTGATCGTTGTATACGTTAACGATTCGAAGCTCCCCGGATGACTTGGTCTTGACGCGAATCTCCTAGCAGTCACGAGAGTGCACTAGGTGAGTGTATTCGCCTAGCTTCTTCGAGACGAACATACACACCCTCGCTCTGCCTCCTGTCTCGCTCGCTGATGGATGTAGTATCTCGTGTGTCTGCTTTAGCGGGTGGTGGGTGTCATCCTGGAATGGATTCTCCCAGGGCTCCTGAATAGCGATGATATCGGCGCCAACAACATCCTCTTCACGTAGGAATTGCGCCATAACCACGTCCTTCGATCTGTGCACGTTGTATTGGTATATCTTGAGTTCCCTTGGTGTGTGTTGCTGGTGGTTGTGATAATTCATTGGCGGTTCGATCGGGAAGATTTCCTGCTGTGCATTCTTCGTCTCCTAGCTGAGCGAATATTGAGAGATAGGTCCTCACTGTGAGGCTGCTTTCTCTTCCTACCTTCCGCCTGCGCTGGTGGTGATGATGGCTGGTACTCCTGATCGTCCCTGTGAGCTTCAAGCTGACGTTCTAGATCTCTCATGTTGACCTCATCGAGCTCCGAGCTAAGCTCTGAGAATTCCTGGTTTGCTTCCTCCACTAAGCTCGCGATACGCGCGGATTTCCTTGTGGTGTCGGTGTTATTACTGCTGGCCTTTCGTTCGGTAACCTTCTTCGATCTGGCCTCCCTTGCTTTTGCGGTTCTCGCCCTGGCTAGACTGGCCTTTGACTGGGCACTGCTAGTACCCTGCGAGCTAGTCCCTTCTGGCTGGAAGTCGATGGTGTTGAGGGGTGGCGCTGTAAAACTCCGTCCTGCCGAAAATCGGAAGGTACTGGGCTCCGTGGAGAACTGAATCGTCGGTTGTTCTCGGGTTTGGCTCTCCCCGTCTGCCCTAGTGTCCATCGGCTGCGGCTCGACCCTCTGGGCCTTCCGCGGTCTCCCTCTCTTCCTGCCTGATGACGCTGTTGTTATCGATTTATCTATTGTGTTGGTTGTATGCTGACTAGCTTATAGGCTAGTTCCTGTTCGGCTTGTTGGTGTAGGGCCGGTGCCCTTGCCCCTGTTGTTAGGGCGTGCGGCCGGTGTGAGACCGCTACTCTTAACGCCGCTGGTGAGTGGCTCGCTAGTGGACTCCTTACTCGATGATGATTCCCTCGGTGTTCCCTATGAGCTGGCGGAGGAGGAATGTAAGGTAGCTAGCGGTTAGTTAATACTGTATGGAGCTGGGACGTTGTGGTATCTCCCACGATGCCTAGAGAGCTCTGCTACTCGATTAACCTCACGCTGGCGAGCCTCACACTCCGTGCTCTATGTAGCGTGTGTACCCTCGTAGTTAGCACACTTATTCTCTAGTGTGTTGCTGTCTTTCTGTGGGTAATCCCGAGATTGATGGCCCTTAGCGCAGTACACGCATTTAACGGTGTTGGTATAGGTGGATCCTATGTGACTATATTGTTGATAGTTGAAACACTGCCGCACACGAGCCGCCCTATCATATAGGACGGCCGTTAGATTGTCGTAGTCCTAGAGGACCCCCTTATCGATCGCTACGTTGGCTGGCACGGGAGAAGTGAACTCGACGATAAGTGAGCCCGACTTTCCGCTTGGTATACGTAGCTAGCTAATCTTGCTGATATCTGCCTCTCCCTAGTTATGCACATTGCTCGTAAGTAGGTCCTTGATTACCTTGTCTTGCACGCCGGTAAGATCCTCTGACGCCTTATTGATACCGAGCGAGCGCACGTTGATATCGTGCACGATAACCCCCTAGGTCGGTATATGGATAAAGGCAGTTTTGCACAGGCCTTTCGCCTATTTCTCTCGATAGATCCGCATGATTTTAGCCTCCTTCGCGTTACGCATAGTAAAGCGGAGATCACCCGACTTTAGCTGGCGCGACGCGAGGATCATCACCGATGCGAGGGGTATAGTATTCGACCTTGCTGCTTTCGCTCGTGCTTGATTAGCCTTCTTCGTGAGTTCTGCTGGCGTGAGGCGGCGGAACACGCTAGCTTGCGAGCGGTCACCGAGACAGACCACTACTTCGCGGTTACGTGCTACCTCTACCGGGCGCGTTGGCGAGCTCGAAGAGCTACTGGAGGAGAGATAGTGTGCTGGTGTAGGTATTGTGCGGACTATATCGGCGAATGACCGGACCGTCTGCCTCACAGGCGGTTCGACAGCAGCTTTGAGGGCCTGTATTTCCTTACGGAGGGCGCCGAGTTCATCCTGCCAGTCGGTTAGGGGCGTCGACAGGAGGTCCTTCGTCAGGTCTTCCACCTACCGGAGGAAGTTGACGACTTTAGGGGTTGGTTTAGCGTTCTGACCCCTTCCCAATTCCCTGAGAAGATCGTGTGCGCCGTGGTTGACGTTCAATACGCGCTCTCTGTTCGATGGCAGATTTTTCAATGGGCCTCCGGAAGCCCCTGACGGGACCGGCCCAACGCCCTTTGATGCGCGCAACATCGCAGTACTGGTCGAGGAAGCTCGAGGCCGGTATCAAATGATAGCGCAGAGAGTTAGATTGAATTTGCCGTTGGTTAGAAGTTACCAACTAGTTTGGTTCCTGAGATATTTCAAAAATTCAATTCGGCGCTGAAGTTGTTGTTTTTACTAGCAGTGTTGATCTGTGCTCCTTTTAGGGTGACTACCGGCCTCTAAGGACAGCTTCATATCGATCGCTGGCTCTGGTTCGCGTAAACTTTGGGGTGCCGCGCCAACGACCTCGTGGTATGCCGATCTTGTTCCCGACTTCCAAAAACAGCCTCTTACTACTACTGATCGAGTTGGGCAGTCTGTCACGGTCGGTGCTATCTGGAATGAAACTACCTCACGACTTCACATGAGGTCAGTCGTAGCATCAGAAAATTGACAGTCCGTGTGGCGATGTTGCCAATGACTTCTTGATTTTGATACCTCGGAACTTGATAGAGCTTGCCCCGTGTACTCGCCTCGAGTGATCCGCGGCAAATTCAGGCCTTGGCCGAGAGGGAGACACCATTTTGTTCCTATAGGATCGTAGTGAAGTTGTCGAACCTATACAAAAGCCTAGCTCGTTCGTTCGTTCGGATGTTGGTAATATATACCTCAAGCTACAATGATCCTATGATCCTAGCTCCCAATTACAGGGTCTCTCATAACTTCACACTTGATGTGTGGTTGCTATATCAGAGCGTGAGGCCGGGTCGTGATATTCCTAGAATGAGAATCGGGCTATTCTCAGGTCACTCGGCTACGTATCTGCATAATCGATCTCTCGCGTAGATACTCTCTCATAATCGCTGGTTGGTCTGTGGCATTGAAGCATTCAACTTAATGTTGAGATGTTTAAACGGATGTTGAAATAGTGTTGAAGAAAATTAACCCACCTGGTCACACCTCGACTGTACCCGTGGTTCACCTTTTTCGCCAAGATGCACCTACCCATTATCGAATTTTCCATGTTCTGCGGTGAGTATTTTCAGCCATCGTTCGTGGAAGACTGCATAGCACGAAAACATAGTTCCATGGATCGTTAAATGTTCCGCGAGACAACCGCATAAAGTCCTTGGCCTCTGATCGAAACTTTTTCTTTTCGCAAATATTCATTACAAACAATCACTGCTACCTATCTCATAGAGTCAATTTTCTTCCGAATGGCAAATCGTGTTAACAAGACCCCAACCCTTCGACCAGGGCATTATGTTGCCAAGCTAGCCAAAGCGCTGGAAGATGAAGCCAAAGCAAGAAACTGCACTGGTCATAAGGATGCGGCTAGGTGCGAATCTAAGTCATCTGGGTCAACAACAATAGAGCCCGAAAGCCATAATCGCAGCAAATTTACACATCAGTCCGATCGAGAAACGGAATTGGTCGATTCATCACCAGACAGACTGAACGAATCTACAACACACGTGAATAGACGGTCAGTAAATGAGACGAGTTTCCATCTATTTCTGTTCCTCAATTCTGATTAATCTTGTCCAGACCGTCGGAGCAAGGGAAGCAAGGCACTTTTCTAACTCTATCCGAAAGAGCGAAGCGGATGGAAGGAGGCAGACAGTGGGAAAGGAAGCCTGCTAAGCGACTGCTCAAGCGACTGCTCAAGCGACTGCTCAAGCGAGAGCTCGCCGGCGAAATCGAGACCCTGAAGAGCGAGATGGAGGATCTTAAACAAAGGGTCATCGCATTGCAGCCGCTTCTGTATGAGCGAAGCAGGGGAAAACGAGTGGCTTTCCAAGACGAACTCAGCTAGATAAATTCCAGTCCTCTTGAAGATTTACGACACAATGAGAAACTTCCTTTTTCTTCTGCATGTAACAGTAAGCATCTTCGCAACGCATAACCTCTAGTAGACCCATTCTTTCACTCATTGCCTGAAGACTGAGGTGAAAACATGATTGACGGCGGATTGCTAGCGTTTCTATAGCAGTTCCCAATGAATGGCATGCGCACCTCATCGGACTGGGGTTATTGCTCCCTCGTCAGTCCTGGGAATAGCTGACTTGTCATGGCCCATCAGGATAACCTCTCCGCGATATACAACAATAGCTTGAAAATGACTTTGGATGAGAATTGCCGAGCCTTGCACCGCTTGTACTCGCTATAAGTAGAACTGCGTTTTCGCCGCCAAATCATCACAAGTTAATGATACTTCAAAGCAAGTCTATGACTTAATTTCCATGGGATTCATAGAGCCTCACAATATAAGAGCCGCCCTTAGTAAAACCGAACGCATATTAGACCTAGAAACCGTGCGCACCCAGGGGAAGGAAGAGGTCTTCAGGAGAAACGCAACAATGACGTATCCGAGTCCAATTGTACAATTCTAGACCGACTGTAGCACTGTACTATTAACAACATCCCGGTGCCATTCAATGGCACTGAATGCATCTGGGCCATTGAGGACTCTATCGAATTGAGAACGCACACTTGTCCTGAATAAGATGATGCGGGCCTCGGGACAAATCTGGTAGGCACTGGATAGAAACCGAGTGAATAGCAGTTCTTTGGTCTAACAAGGGCCATGGGATCAAATTTATTTCCTCTATACCTATTGACAAACAGGGGATACCTTACTATTGGGAAACTCACGTGACCCTAGTTGTTCAGTCCTGGAGCAGAACTCCTGTGCGGATCAATACTTGCAGATCGCCTGGCGTACCATGGATCAGATACCCGGGGAACTTTTCGGAGCAACAAGTGGGTCTCACCGTTGAATGGTGATGGTCAACTGTTGCGGTGCGTCCATCGTTAACGTTGAGAACATTCTTGTAAATAAATTGTACTCGACTTTCTGCCCTGCATCTGGTTGTGTGGGAGACAGAAGACGAAGTGTAGACCTCACATGTTGGCGCGGAGGGAACACGTCGAGCCCCATTCGCCCGAAAGTCCCCCGTGCGGCCATCCAGGCCGGCCCACGTAACAGCCGAGTCTCCATCTCGCTAGGCATTTTCAAACAAAATTCTCATTGTTCAACAGTTGGTTGAAGGTGATACATTGTAAACAATATCAATGCGAGAGACAATTTCGAAGATACGGATCTAAGGGGGCGGCCCGTCTGGATCTCTTTAATCCATGGTTCGGGGTGGAGCGCCCCATAAGATTGGCAACAAACTCTAAAAGCATGCTTCAACAGCTGTTGGGTCAACTGCATTCACAGCAAAAATGCTGTGACTACAGCATAACACATGACTTTTTTCAAGATATTGCATACCTGGCGGCTATGATCAGCCGGAGGCGAAAAGGCATAAAAGGAGGCTACATGGCCGGTCTGGCAAATCAGGACTTGAATCCTTGTCCTCCGAGACAGCATGGTCTTGTTGTCTGCCTGCAGACCTTGGCTTGAAATCTCGGCTTTTGCTGATATGAGCCCAGTGAAGTAAGAATCGAGCTTTTTGCAGGATAAGCTCTGCGTTACCAACTGTTCTTCGCAGGATGAGCTCTGCGTTACCAACTTTTCTTCGCAGGATAAGCTCTGCGTTACCAAGTGTGCTTCGCAGGATGAGCTCTGCGATACCAACTGTTCTCCGCAGGGGGGCGCTGCGATACCACGTGAACTCCGCAGATAGAAACTGTGATGAAAAATTCCTCGCAGGGGGGCGCTGCGTCACGAATTGAACTCCGCAGGAGACCGCTGCGTCAACAAGTTCTCCCTCACAGCCTTGAGCCCTGTGATTGTATAATTTTGAGCTTCCATGCAGCCTTGAGCCCTGCATTATCAATTTTGTGCTCGTTTAGGTGACCTGCGGCGCCGCGGTGCTCGTCCTGATCCTCTGACCACATGCAGGCACCTCTTCGCGGTGTCAGAGACTAGTATTCGGGTCTGTCTGAGATCTCGAAGAAGCTAAGACCTGCTCTAAAGAATCCATACAAATTAAGAATCCACTCAAGAACGTTGTGTGTTATATGGTTCTGCTTGTTCGTAGAGTTCACTATTCGGGTTCCTTCTTCGCGTAGGGTATTGTGTAGCCTTCAATCACCCCCTGAGCTTCGAGGATGGGCATTCGTCCATAGGATGCCAAGTAGAAAGTATATTGGATCATTAGGGGAATGATTATCCGGTACATGATAGCGTGGGCCAATCTGGGTGATGCCTGCAACTCCAGTAGTCTCCATTGGTGTGGAGTCTTGTCCAGAGACTGACTAGCGGTCGCGGCAGGAGTTGTTTGCCTCTGGTGGGTTGCGAATTGCGGGTATCGAGGATGGATGACGCATGTTGAGGGTCAGGATCGAAAGTGAGGCTTGATGCTAATTGGCAGTACAGTATGATGTGGTGAGGGCTAGAGGTGAGTGAGTATCGAGGGTGGACACTGGTGATAAGCAGGTCAGACCAGTGAGTCCCGTTGTTGATGTTCTGCGGCGCAACTTGCCGAGCGGTGAGGTGGCTGCCAACGGTAATCATCCATTGCCGAGTCGTCGTTCAACAAGATGAACAGTGCGAACTGGTGAGCGCTACGAATTTTGTAACGCATCCAGTGTAGATTCCAATTGAAAATATACGTGAATCTGTGCATTCTCGATAGTACATTCTGTTTTTTCTACCCACGCGGCTCAAGTCGCCGCGCGGTCTAGGATGATATGCTCTTCTCAGCACCCGAATGTGTAGTCCACGTTTTTCAACGCAGTCAGATTAAGACAGATTGATGTTGACAGTCTGTGAGGTCATAATATTTTCCTTGAATCAATGGTGACCGTATGTTCAGCCATAAGCTATTACTGGAACCAATTCTGGTAACCGTTCTTCAACAGGATTTCTGTTCTCACCGCGGCGTTGACTCAACGACCACACACAACATCACCATTATATGTATGTGATATCACTGGTATTCAATGTTCAATACACCTGATGCCGACATCATGCTTGCCTCTGCTACCACACCAGAGAATCGACCACTCGCAAGAAAACGGACGTACTAAACGCATCGCGAGTCGCGAATCTGCCCATGCGGGCGTGTAGGTGTCAAAATGCGGTCGCACTTCCTCCCACCATTGAGGCACGATAGAAACTTTACCAAGACCGAGGTATCTTTCTCATGGCAACTTGATCAATCTTGGCTCCTTTTTTTGGTAAATGCCTCATTTAAATGTCTCCAGACTACGGGACTATTTTTAGCACTGGACGGGCAAAATATATAATGATCCATCTTTGGTTTAAAATGAGCGCCAGCACATGGAATGATCGCAAGTGGTAAATATTTAGCAAAGCCATCCTGTGTATCAAATTTACTTTTTGGAGCAACTTTCTATGCGGATTGAGAGCCGAGAAGGGCCAAAAAATGGCTGAAGCTGCGGAAAACTCAGGGAAGTCATGTTTCAATCATGAACAACGTTGTATTTCCTAAGGAAAATACACAGATTATCGTGGGTTACTTTTTAGCCCAGTGGTAATTCGCTAGCTGCGTCCCCGAGGTCAAGCGTTCGAATCCTCCGGGCATCGTTCTTTCCAAACGCTGTCTAAAACTCAGTCTATCAACTTTCGCCCGTGCTATTACTTTAGCATATCGGCATAAACAAACTTCTCCCAGGAGAGGTACGCGTCGTGGATGGAGCGCGTTATCTCCACAGCTTTCCCGCCTTCTCTCCAACTCTCTCTTGTGATCAACACGCCCTTCACGCCAGTTCTGTTTTATATATCGGACGAGCCTGCGTTTCCCTCCGTGACTGGCCACCCATCGGACGTTAGCTACCCACGAAAACAAGGATCGTAGGCTGAGCTAGCCCGATCCAGAGTAGCCACGTAGCGATTGCGGCCTCTCGGTCTACCATGCGTTGTATAATGGGCTTTGAGGTTGTCGCCACGGGTAAAGCGGCGCTGGCACTCTGGTACCCAGCAGACATATGATCTTTCAGCTAGGTGACTGGATAGATGGCGCTGTAGGCCTTTCAGATATCGAAAGCGACTACTGCACGTTGCAACAGTGCATTTGAATTGCCGACGGGGGAATGGCCGTGGTATGCTGCTGCGGGAGTGGCTGGAGTGTTCACGGTCACCGTAGACGAGGCGTGTGAACTCTTCAAAGTCTGACTAGGTCGTCTTCCTCTAACCACCATTGGGTGTTTCGGCAGGCCTGTTTTCACTTATCGTCGACTTGGTTATACTGTATGGTTCGACAGTGGGATTCCTCGCGATGAAGTCGACCTCAGACTCGGGGCCAGACCCATATTGAAACCAGTCCATACTATGAACTTGATCTTGCTGGACAGGCGCATAAGAAGAATATTCCATGTCGGACCAGGAAGTGTGTTGAACAAAACTCCAGTCTACTGGAAATTGCCTATAATCGGCTTGGAAGCCAGGCCATTGACAACAGGAGCTTTCCGGACTGCAGGAAAGATTCCAGGCTGCGTAGGTTGTTTAGCGATTTGCTTGAACCGACCGCTCTGTACAGACTAGACCGTAATAACTTACATTTATCGTTGTTTCCACCATTATCCATCAACAAGGAAGTGTCGCCTAGTTGTAGGTGCATTTAGCAGATGGGAAGATTGAAATCCTCCGCAGAAACAAACGTAGCGGCCTCGAACAGGTCGGGAGATATATATGAAGGCAAGCCAGCCAGATAATGTACCGAATGTAGCTAGGAAGGCGTCGGATTAGAGAACGCTATACTGTGTAAGTTAGTCGTCTACGCCAGCCACGTAACCGGGAGGATCTTCCTCTTGCCAGTTCAAACGCAACCGATCTTGCTCAACGCTTGGTTGAAGGCGCTTTTCAACGACCGTTGAAGGTGGTTCACCGTAAACATCTGAGTTGCAACCGCTAAGAGATGGTTCCTAAGGATGGGCCAGTCTAGATTAATACACGCCATGGTTCGAAGTGGGGCGCTTAGTGAGATTGGCCGTATACTCTAAATATATCCTTCAACGGCTGTTGAATTAACTCCACTAGCAGCAAAAATGTAATGTTTACACTATAGTAAATCATGTCTTCCATAGATTTTGCATACTTGGCAGCTATGAGCGGCCGGAGGCGAAAAGGCATAAAAGGACGCTCTATGACCGGTCTAGAAAATCAGGACTTCCATCCTTATCCCCCAAGATAGCGTGGTCGTGTTGTCTGCCTGCAGACCTTGGCTTCTAAGTCTTGGCTTTCGCTGGTATGAGCCCAGTGAAGTAAGAATTGCGCTCTTTTGCAGGACAGCCTGTGCTTTATAGGATAAGCTCTGCGTTAACAAGTGTGCTTCGCAGGATGAGCTCTGCGAGATCAACTGTGCTTCGCAGGATAAGCTCTGCGAGATCAACTGTGCTTCGCAGGATGAGCTCTGCGTTACTAACTGTGCTTCGCAGGATAAGCTCTGCGAGATCAACTGTGCTTCGCAGGATAAGCTCTGCGTTACCAACTGTGCTTCGTAGGATAAGCTCTGCGAGATCAACTGTGCTTCGCAGGATGAGCTCTGCGAGATCAACTGTGCTTCGCAGGATAAGCTCTGCGAGATCAACTGTGCTTCGCAGGATAAGCTCTGCGAGATCAACTGTGCTTCGTAGGATGAGCTCTGCGAGATCAACTGTGCTTCGTAGGATAAGCTCTGCGTTACCAACTGTGCTTCGTAGGATAAGCTCTGCGAGATCAACTGTGCTTCGCAGGATAAGCTCTGCGAGATCAACTGTGCTTCGTAGGATGAGCTCTGCGAGATCAACTGTGCTTCGTAGGATAAGCTCTGCGTTACCAACTGTGCTTCGTAGGATAAGCTCTGCGAGATCAACTGTGCTTCGCAGGATAAGCTCTGCGAGATCAACTGTGCTTCGTAGGATGAGCTCTGCGAGATCAACTGTGCTTCGTAGGATAAGCTCTGCGTTACTAACTGTGCTTCGTAGGATAAGCTCTGCGAGATCAACTGTGCTTCGCAGGATGAGCTCTGCGAGATCAACTGTGCTTCGTAGGATAAGCTCTGTGTTACTAACTGTGCTTCGTAGGATAAGCTCTGCGAGATTAACTGTGCTTCGTAGGATAAGCTCTGCGTTACTAACTGTGCTTCGTAGGATAAGCTCTGCGAGATTAACTGTGCTTCGCAGGATAAGCTCTGCGAGATTAACTGTGCTTCGTAGGGGGGCGCTGCGTTACGAAGTGAACTCTGTAGTCTAGGGTCTATAATGATAAAATCCTCGTAGCTTGAGCTCTGCTTTACCAACATCCTCCCTCACAGATAATAAGCCCTGTGTTTATAAAAGCGTGCTCGATCGGGTAGGACCTAGGGCTAGGGTCTATACTATGATCCTCTAGCGATATGTAGGCACCTCTCCGTGGTGCTAGGGACTAGTATTTAAGTGCCGCTACGGCGCTTGAAGAAGCTAAGACCTACACGACTTATCTCTGGGTATATTATGTAGGCCGGACCATGTAGCCCGAACCATAGGGGAAGTCGATAGCATTGTAATGAAGATAAATTCTCGATTCTGACTTGTCCTAATGTAGAGATAGAGCTTGTAAGCCCCGTCACTGAAATTTTAATATAAGGGAGGGCACTACGTGGAAATCCTCAAACCACACGGGAAGAAAGAGTATACATACAGTATTATCTTAGCGAATAGAGATAACAGGATCATAGGCGACTAGGCCTCTGCATGGTGCGGTCTTGGTCCTTAGGTCGAGGACCGCGGACCGGACCGCACGGTCTTGCGGTCTCGAATTCGGGGGTTGAGACCGCACCATAGTGAACCGCGGTCCCTTGCGGTCTTCACCACGGTGAACCGTAATTGCATAATTCTACTAAGACCTTCTCTTTTCGGCTACATAAATTGATGATTCATCCCATTTAATTACTGTTATTAAACACTGTTTTGGTCCCTTCATAAACATTTACTGTATTTCAGCATCAGCCACTATGAAAACAGATGAAATATACTCGTATATAGAAAATCTACTATTTAAAATACCTAGACCTGCCAGTACTAGTATATTTCTAAGTTCTAATAGAGAGGTTTAGTAATAATTATTGCTGGCTAGGTGTATGAGGTAAGAAATATATATTTCGATATCAGTACCTGACCCTATCTTCATCTGAGACTTCTTCGTTGAGTGTACATAACCCCCTACATACAGCTAAAATAGGTATTAAGGGTATTATCAGAGAGCTTAGATTCTCTAGTTAACTATTTATCTTGAAATTCTATATTCTACTACTAATATATCATAATAATCTCTTTTCAAAATTGGTTTCTCTGATATGAAGTGTAGACCTAGACAGAAAAGGAGGATTATACTATTATATGGGCCTTCTAGCGGTCCTTTTCGGTCCTGTGCGGTCCTCCTCATGGTTCTCTGCGGTCCTCTGCGGTCAATCATAGTATTTCCTACTAGCTGTCTATGCGGTCTTCTGCGGTCTTTGCAGCCCTCTATGCGGTCTATCGCGGTTTTTCCTGCGGTTCTATGCGGTCTTCTGCGGTCTTCGTAGCCCTTATCCTATCGGATTGTAGTAAAGTGGAGCCTACTGCCTAATCACTATTACAATTCAATTTGATCTATCTAAATCATGCCTATAGCTTTCTCCTAGAGAAAATCCTTTATTCAGCTTTTTCTAGTAGACGGAAATATTTTAGCAGGTATCTCCTTAAGTCCTTTACCTCCCCCGTCCTATCCTATACTCATTTCGTCAAAATGTTACAGAGTCAGGCCTCCTCTCAGTTCTCTGATCAGTATCCCTCATCGGCTTTTGAGGATAATCCACGAGATACTTTCTCCTTCTTCACATCTGATGGGCTGTTTAACCTCGACGGGCGCGAAACGCCAACTTCTACTCCTAACGTGAACTTACTCCGACCGGCGATTCCTCCTGTTATCCCAGAAACACTCGAACGCGTTAGTCCTCCTAAAAGGAAAAACTATATCCTCTGGACAGAAATGGCGAATGAGGATTTCATCGTCTGGTGGTTAAAGACGGAGTATGGAAGTAAGATGAAACGGAATATCTTTGAGGGTAGACGCAATGCAGAATGTTGGGACCACTTCTACCAGGTCGCTACTATCCAGGATGGGTCTCCTAAGGTAATATGCAAGAATTACGACCATATCCTTGCCCATCCTGCCGATAAGCGCCGGGGAACATCTACTATGAATAGGCATTATTCGCAAGTAGGTGCCTGTCGGAGAGGACCGACTCAGTCGCAAGATATTAGGAAGGCTATCAAGAACGGGGTATGGATAATCAGTCTACCTTTTTCTAATTATTACTAATCTTATAAAATACCCCTTCTAGGCATATCTGTCGTCTCGTAAAGCATCATTTACGCCGCAAGCTTGGATGGAAAGGTTAATTACCTTTATTGCTGCCTCGCGGCTACCCTTCCAGCTTATTGAGCATCCTAAATTTCGCGCCCTTCTTGAGATGGCCCGGCTTGCTCCCTGCTTCCCCGAAATCCCAACTGCAACCACAGTCCGCCGTCATCTTCAAGAGATCGTGGAAGAACGCCAGTATACTCTTCTACAGAAGCTTCCTAATAGTGCTAAGCTCTCTATTGCATTAGATTGCTGGACCTCACCATTTCGCCAAGCTTTTATGGCAATAACGGGCTATTTCATTGACCAAGAGTGGAATTACCGAGAGCTCTTACTTGGCTTTGAACCTCTACAGGGCTCACATACGGGGGCCTATCTAAGCACTGTCCTGCTTGACCTTCTTGAGAAGCATCGGATTACTAAGAGGGTGTTAACTATTACTACTGATAACGCATCTAATAACGGAACATTACTCGGTAGCCTTCAAGAGGTCGTCGAATCCCTACAGCTACCTAGTAGTATACCGGTTATTCGTATACCATGTATTGCACATGTTATACAGCTCAGTTTGAAGGAGCTCCTTGGTCAGATGGACGCGAACCCAGGAAACGAGAGGGAAGAGATTGAATGGACCGAGAAAGGGCATATAGCTCGGCAAGAGAATAGAAAGATCGTGGATACTCTGAACAAGGTCTAGCTCTCTCTAATCTCTTACTATTATCTCTCTTTCTTTACTAACTCGCACTATATTCTAGGTTCGGAAGGTAGCAGTCTACATCAACAAAAGTCCCCAGCGCCGCGAGAGCTTCATAAGGCTTCAGACGAAAGAGCCTAAGCTTATGCCTATACAAGATGTTCGGACACGATGGAATTCGACGTTCCTCATGCTCAGGCGTGCCCGGCGATTGCAGTCTGCCTTTGATGACTTCTGTGTCCAATTCAACCTCGCTGATGTAAAGATAGACAGAGATGAATGGCGACAAGTTGACTATCTTCTGTCAATCACTTATCCCTTCTTCAAATTCACTTCGTCTCTTTCGGCAACTACAGACGTGACTATCCATAACGTCTTTAGTATCTATAACGCCCTATTCACACATATTGATAAGGCGAAAGTGCAGCTAGCGCGAAAGAAGGTTGGTTGGAAGAGAGTGATGAAGTCCGCGCTTGACCGTGCGCGCGATAAGCTTACAGAGTATTATGGAAAGACTGATGATATTCCTGGTGATCTCTATGCAATTGCGACTATCCTAGGACCACGGAACAAGCTAGAGTTCTTCACAACATCTGAATGGGAACCTCACTGGGGGCCTCGCTATAAGCAGTCGCTAGAGGCTTACATTCAGCCTTACCGGCAGCGCTACGAAGAGGCACAGTCTACATCAACTCTCCAGCCCACAATTCAAGACGTCTCTGACATTGATATCCTTCTGAGACCTACTGTATCTCTTCAGTCAAACGTGACGGCTCCAGATGAGCTTACACGGTATCTTAGAAGTAGTAAGTTAATCTATATACCTCTTCTTATATACTCCTTCTCTTATACCACCCTCACTAGGTACTGTCGAAGCAACCCCTCTCGTTTTCTGGAAAGAACACCAAAATGAATATCCTATTCTGGCAAGCCTTGCTCGAGACATCCTTACAACACCAGCCAGTGGTTCTGGCGTTGAGCGGTTATTTAACTCTGCGCGTGATATCTGCCATTATCGCCGGGGCTCACTGAAACCGCAGACAATCAAGGAATTGATATTGTTTATGTGTACAACAAAATTTGACGTGGAGTCAGAGCAGCTTGCCCTAGTTGATGAGTATCTTTCTACGCAAGAGAAGCAAGCAAAGAAAGAGCAGAAGGACGCCCAGAAGAAAGAGGAACAATTTGATCCAATTAGTGATAACGAGGAAGACCTATCCACTACTGAAGATTCTGCCGAAACTATCCAACTTCCTAGTGCGCGAGCGCTTGGAAAGAGAAGGGCTACCCCGGATCAGCTATTTGAACTTGACGATGATGACGATGAGGTTCCCCTGCCTGATAATAGCCACTTAGAAGAAGGGAGGACTACTCAGAGGCGTTCATCTGGGCGTGTTCCAAAGCGCTTGAGACAGGATGAGGATTTTGTATATCTTTAATAGAAACAAGAACCACATAAGCTATTCATAAGGAAATCAGTCAATCCTCGCTTTTTCGGTAGAAATCAACAGACACCAAACAAAGAATTATTCTTTACTCCTACCTCAGAATTATATAAAATTAAATATCATTTGAAAGCAGAATACTCAAAAATACAGGCGACTTCTACATAAATTATGCATACCTTGGGTCTAAGATGTTTTGCTTGTTTGCAGGACCGCAGGACCGCACCAAACCGCAGTGGTGCGGTCCCTAAAAATGTAGGACCGCCCAGCGGTCTCAAGGTCTGGGACCAAAGACCGCGCGGTGCGGTCTAATGCGGTCTTGGGTGCGGTCTTTCCGGTCCCGTGCAGAGGCCTACCTATCCCTATCCTATCCCTAGAGCTAGATAAAGAGCCCGTCGATGTGGGCTATCTTGATGTGCTGCCCTGATACCGAGTGAAGGTCGTCACTTAGCGTCCTATGCTTAAAGACCGAGCGTAAGCTGGCTCCGGTGAGAGGAATATCGCCTGTATAGGCGGCCTGAATGCGCTTAGGCCGGAGCGGTTGCTTCGTCCGACGGTCTGCTAGGACGTAATAGACGTCTTTGCGGAACGCACGTAGGTAGAGGTCTACTAGTAGCTGGAGCAGGAGTCGAGATCGCCCTACGTTAGCCCGGTGCTCTTGGAGGCGACTGAAGATGTCATGGAAAAGGATAAAGTCCTCCCGGGCGCGGAAGATCTGCTAGTACCGCGCGTGATAGGCAGATTGGAGACTAGGCGTGTTGAATATAAGGTGTGGACGGTGGGTAGGCAGGAAGATCATCGCCGCCTAATCGATCTTATCGGCTATCTAGGCGTAGCCGGTGCGATTGAGATGCACGCTAAGCGCTATGCCCTCCTGTACCCGCTCTGTATCGGAGCCATCACGGGGGCGACGGGTACGGCGATCGATCTAGAGTCCTACACTGCGGCGGAGATGGGCGCCCTGGCCGCCGTACGTATAGGAGAGACACCGGAGGAACATCATTATCACCCGGCTATGCTCCTAATGGATAAAGTTCCGCGGCTGTATACTATATGTTATCTTAAATCCAAGACAGAGCTTATTAATATTCTAGCGCCACTAGTATATTATCACTGGCGTCGGATACACAAAGAAGGGCCGGGAGGTACTAGGCAGGATGAGCGGTATGTCGGCCGTTCCGCGTGTACGCTAGATAGCGTCTATAGCTTTGAAAACGGCCCCGGTCACTCGGTATTCCTCGCGGGTCCCGTAGGACCGGAACCGATAGCCTTCGAGAGCGGCATGACACCGGAGCTTCGTATGGAGGTAAGCCCGGAGCACTATTAGTGGAGAGTGGCTGATAGCCCCGCTAATATGCTGCTAGGACCGTACTATACCCGGATCGAGGGTAAGGGTGTCTAAGCCTTGGTGGGTAAACGGGTAGTGGTTCCTAGCGGCGAAGATCTCCTTCGAGGTGTTGTAGAACTGGATGTATCGAAGGCCGCGCTTCCAGATCGGACTAGACTTAGCGGGTACGATGGTGAGAGAATCGTGATCCCGCACGAGGGACTGGGGGTAGTGCTCGATATGCTACCCGGGTGGAGGACGGTAGGAAGGTACTGTAGGGGGCCGCTCGGCGGAGGAAGTAGAGTCCCTAGATGAGCTCTCACCCGAGTCATCCTCGGAGGTTGGTGAGTCGTGAGGTGGTGGGATAGCCGCGTTACTGGTAGTAACCTACTGAGAAAATCGATCGAGGCAGCACCGGCGCTAGCATAGGGTCAGAGGGAGATCATTAGAGGGATGAGAGTAGAAGGAGCTGCGGTGGGAGATGACCTCTTTAGCAAGATCGTAAAAGTCCTGCTAGAGATACGCTGGGTCGACGCCCCGAGTCTAATCACGGAGGAATGCATCCCGGGCACCGGCCTAAGTGGACCGCTGGGTGGCGGTCTTAAGATTTTTGGCTGTCAGGATGATCTGAGTATCTAGAAAATGCGAATAGCCATCGTGGGAGACCCGACATTGGATCTCGGTCCACAACGTAGCTAGACCACTAGGCTGAAGCCGGTAATGTAAGTCCTGCGTATGAGACGGCCCGGACGTAGCGCCTGTGCGAGTTTCTCGGCTGCGAGCGAGAGCGGTTCGCTCAATATGCTCGGCACTAGACGGGAAGTGCTACGTGGCCGACGAGGGATAGACCGTATGGACAGCGGGCAAGAAGATCTCGTCCGTCCAAACCTGCCAGTCTGCCTTAGGGATCACGAATAGACTGCGGCGCTAACCGCAAAGACCATGGTTAACCGCAACCATATCCAAAACCATTTGGTTTTGGTCTTCAGATCAAGACCGCAAATTTTGCGGTTTGGTTGCGGTCTTCAACTCAAGACCGCAATGCGGTTTTGGTTAACCAATGGTTAGATAAACATAGCAAATAGGCTAAGCCTCGTGACCTTTTGGTCAGATGATTTTTTATGCAGTCTTTTTGGTATTTTTCTAGTATCTAGTCAGTATAAAGTATCTAACGCAAATCAACTTTTTTAATATAATAGTGCACTTCTTTGATTTATTATACACTTATGGGGTTCTAATTTTAAATCCTTCTGGCATCCTGGTCTTCTTCCGTACTCGACTAGGTCGTTGTGTATTCTCTAGATTAGCCGGTTTAGGCATGACTTTATTCTCCTAGGATTAAGTGCTTCTACTCCGAGGTCTCTTGGGTCTAGTATTTTCACTCTAAGCCTGAGGCTGTAGCTAAGAGGGAATCTTAGTCACTGTATCTTTATCTTCGGCCTCCTCACTATCACTGATAGGATCTAGAGAAGGGAGGGGTGGTAGTGAGCCTCTCTCCTATTCAAGAAGAGCTAACTCCCTAACTGAAATGAGCTATTTAGTGAAATTAATCTCCCTTTGTTTAACCTCAAATTTTGTTATATATATATAAAGCATTAGCGCTTTAACTATCTCCGGTTTTAATTGCCTACGTCGATAATAATAGATATCACGCGCGTAATTAAACAGACGCTCTACACTAGCACCACTAGCAGGAATAGATAAGATATCCCGTGTAAGGGCTATAAGAATTAGAAACTCTTGTTGATACTCCTTCTAGAATATACGAGGATATTAAGATATTAGTCCTAGCTTATTAGTTTTAATTTCTCGAAGTTTCTTTGTGTATAGGTAGGGGCTTACCTTTAGCAAGATAGCGATTAAGCTCGTTATCATTATTCCCTTAGGGCTCCTCCGGTTAAAGAGTATTCTAGGATTCACAAAGCATCTTAATCTTATTTACGGTATTAAGTGAACCAGCTAAAGCCCTAGGTAATAGAGGGCTATTATTATCTAAAAGCCGTCTCTTATAACGCCAGAATTCCTCTTCTAATCGACCACGGTATCGTCTAGCGTAGTTAATATCACCTTACCAATCCTTAGTTTTAAAGAAGCGAAGCTTCTTCGAAGGTGCTAGGATCGTTATAATTACGTAAATATCACTATAGCACTTATAGTTAGTTATCTTATAGTACTCTGAGAGCTTTTCCCTTACTGCTTAAAGTGCTTAAAGCATAGTTTACTTCTAGGGAATCCTCTTCCGGCGAAGCTACTCTTCGGAGGCCTTAAGGTAACTAAAGAGATTATTATAGATACTAAAGATAAGATAAATAGTGATATCCTTTAACTTTAAAAGAGCAGTAGTGAACTTAAAGAACGGCTAGGTAATATAAAGTAGGTAGTCGATCTAGCGCTACTCCTCTTTGTTAAGGTGGAATTAGGGGTATCTATAAGTTTAACAGTATCGTTTGAAGGCCTCCTATAGTCGCTTTATATAGCCGAGTATTAGAAAGGTAGAATTCTATCGTGTACGGATATCCTAAATAGGGAGTAGATAAGGCTCTTCTGTCTAAAGGCCTAAAAAGGCTTCGCGGCGCTATAGGCTTATATTAATAAAGATAGTAAGGTTCCGAATCTAGGTATAGAGTAAGAGGTCAGTTATCTAGTAGTAAAAGAGAGGAAGGAAGACTTACCTTATTTAGAGTATTAACTATCTCTCTATTTATACGCTTAGGATATAAGTATATACGCTTATCCGACCACTCAATCTCAGTCTTATTATTAATAGGTACTACCTGTCACGGGCCAGTGCCCGATATAGGTCACGTGTATCACGAGACCTTGGCATGTTGACGTGGGGAACGCACGGGATAAACTTCTTCTCCTTAAGCTTTTTGTAAACAGCATGTTGGCCTAGTCAGATTGAATCAAGTCTTACTTCAGCCCCTTCACACTACCTTTATTTTACCTAGTAATCGATTAAGACTTAGCTAAATTATATAGGCGAGACATAGAATCCGAAAGACCCCTATGTCACTAATCCCTTGTACCTTAATCTCTTCTTGGATACTATTAATTATGGTATTATTGTTCGTTATATTATCTATCGTGATAGATAATATCCGATCAGTGATCTGGTGTTCCTTAAGAATATTGATAACGACGGAACTTAAATTACTTCTAGTATATAGACTATATAGTAGCTTAAATCTAAGAAGGACCTCGCGATACTCCTAGTTATTATCGACGAAATAGCTAGTAATTACTATGAATACTTAGGAAAAGGGTGATATCTAGTAGTCTAATACAATTAAGAGTCTACTTCCTTATAGTAACTTATCGAGCACACTCTGTTATCCTTATTAAATCTCTAGGTCTAGCCGACGACGAATAGACCGAGCAGAGGGTAGTTTAATCTTAGAAGGAGCTAGTTAAATAATATTATAAAGTTATTAGAACTCAGGACGTTTAAGTATACGGAATAGGAGTTAGGTAATAGTAATAAGCTAGAGAAGATGATAGATAAGAAGATCTTCAGAGAAGGACTATAGCGATCGAGTCTAGGGCTAAATAAGAGGAGAGTTAGTAAATAGTAGTAAAAGAATAAGATAACGTTTAAACTAACCGATTAGAGTAGTAGCTAATCAATCCCTCTTCTTTGTAGCCTAGGCTTATAAGTAGTACTTTTAAGATACGTATTTATCGGGCTTATTCCCCCGCGGCGTAACTAGGGATGAGTAAGGGTAGTATAGCAGCGCTTATATATAATCTTTAGCTCGCTAGTCTTCTCGTGTGTAACTTAGTTAAATTTATCCCAAAAACTCGATCTTTTCTTATTATCCTAGCCGATCGAAGCTCTAGTATCCTCCTTTACTCCAAACTCGGTCTATAGCCACCATTCCGTAAATTATAAGCGGGATTACTCTATCTCAGGATTTATATCGTACAGTATCCAGATCTAGTGGAACCGAGGGCTAACGCGTTTTAATAAGGATAGTGCTAGCTATTAGGAAGACTAGTAAGGATTAGATAGGGTAACCGAGGTAGCTATTCGGTAGGTATTACTAGGGGTAGGCAGATCGTCTAACTATAGAAAGTCAGCCTTAGAAAACTAATCGGTAAAACCAGATACTTAGGAATAAGCTATTATAAAGAAAGGCCGAAGTAGTAGGGGTCTACTAGGGGGAAAAGGAAACTTACTAGGGATTCGCTTTAGGATTAGAGGGAATAAGTTACGACCGGGGGAATCAATAGATATCAAAAGCAATTATAGTTTGCTGGTTAATCCTGTTAGCTAATTAGTTCCCACTATCTAGTGGTACGGTTATTTCTTGGTTAACTATTGGATAACCGTAAGGTAACCGCAAAGACCACAAACTAACCGCAAACTAACTATATACTATTTTAACTGATTATTAAAACTTATATTTTACTTCTATTTTTTATGGGATTTTATTCAATGAAAAGCCATTAAACCCTTGATTTTAGCTAACTCTATATTATATTCAGGATAAATTATCATTAGAGGTAAATTAGAAGAAATCGAGGATTCAAATGTTAGTTTACTCAGAAATAGAATAACTCCCTTTGAGTGTTCAATATATTTTTCCGCAGCAAAGCCGACCAAGTGTCAAAAGCAGCCATAACCACACATTTACCACTACCTATTACGTGCCAATCGAAATTGAAGCAATTCGGTGCGATTTCAACGAAGAAACTAAGTCTAGAGAGGAGAAAGAGAAGAAGGGTTCTATCTACCAGGAGGAGTTGCTTTTATATGCAAGCTCCCCTTCTTCCTGGAAAGTTCCATCCTGGAAGGTTCCTTATGCGCGTATGCAAACAATCCACCCGCCAGTTGACTTCCGTTGAGTACTCAGACCTTCACGATCGTAACAGCCATTCGAAGTTGCTAGATCTCGGCGTCGTCCGCTGCTGTAATAAGGAAGTCATCGACGTAGACGCAGACGACATAGTTAGACTTATAGAAGACATAATTGTCGGACTGGGCCATGGTAAACCCGTGAGCTACTAAGACGCGGTGAACGTACTGGTACTAGATCCGTGGTGCCTGCTTCAGTCCGTATAAGGAGCGTTAAAGACGGCAAACGTATCTATCCTCTTTAAACCCCTCTGGCAGCTCTATATAGATAGCGGAGTCGATATCCCTATGTAGGAAAGCAGTGACGGTATCGAATTGGTGGAGTTTCCATCCGCGTAGCACGGCACTCGTAACGATGCTGCGGACGGAATCCATACGGGATACAGCAGCGAAAGTTTCGTGATAATCGATGCCTTGTTTCTGTCGGTAGCCTTTGATTACTAGTCGTGCTTTCCGGATTCCATTAGCCTTAGTCTTGAATACCTACTTATAGCTAATGATATGATTTCCGACGGGAACTTCTTTTCGTGGAACCTTTTCCCATGTTCCATGCTCGAGAAGAGACATATATTCTTTCTGAATGGCTACCCACTACTCTAACTGATTCAGTCCCGATATAGCGTCGTTGAAGGTTGAGGGATCAACGTCTTTTGTAGCGGTGGCATTCAATGTCCCTATCGTATACACCTTGCCTAGCGACTCTAAGAGACGCCTAGAAGGTCTTCGTCTTCAGCTATACAATGAATAGCCAAGGTCCTGTGTGGCTTGTGTTTCGCTAGGGATTGGATTGACTGGTGAAGGGATATCGACCGGTTGAGAAGGCATATTATTAACTGGATCAGGAGGCACGTTCTCTGGTCCGTTAGGAGACGGAGGCGGCGTAAGCGGCGTACCCGATAGAGGCAGTATTGGTTTAGGAAAGATAGGTGATGGAGGAGCGTTGTCCGGGAGGTCGTTGCCTGTTTCCCCCTCGATGAACGGCGCCATAGGGGTCCTTTCATCGAACTCGATATCACAGGAGAAGACTATCCTTCTAGAGTATACTTCGTAAAGCTTGTACTGGTTGGGTTCGTAGTAACCGAGTAGTCGGCATTTAGACGATCGTGGTCCGAGTTTCCTCCGATGCTCTTTTGGAATTAATACCTATGCGCGGGAGCCGATCCGTCGTAGATGTAATAGCTTGGGTAGCTTCCCGTAGATGACTTCGTACGGTGTCTTTTTCTGTAGGATTGATACTAGCGCGCGTAGTTTTAAATAGACCACCGTTGCTAAGAGCTCGGTCTACTAGGAAGGAGGAAGTTTCGTATCGGATAGGAGCGTGTTGATTCGCTCTCGGATAGTGCGATTAGTGCGTTCGGCTAGGCCATTCTGCCCTTTATAATATAGCGGCGAGGTGTTAAACTCAACTCCCTGAGACTCGAGATGTATTCCGATCGGTAAATATTCTCTCCCATTGTCGGTGAGAAATCTTTTGATCTGGGCGCCGAACTGTCGGTGTACCTAGGCCTTAAATTGCCGAAACTTCTGTAGCGCTTCATGTTTCTATCTCATGGCATAGGCCTATGAGCCACGCGAATAATCGTCAGTGAAGGTAATCACGTACCTGGAGCCATCTTTGGCGACGGTTATTTCCATAATGTCCGAATGAATCATTTCAAAGATTCGCGACGAGTGTAGACGTGGCCGTCTTGCACGGGAGTTTCTCTTCTGATGCTGCTTACCCGATATACACGCCGGACACTGTGGCGTTGCCTGCAGTTCGCTCTGCGTTAATGGTCGGTACGGAGTGCCGGTCTGCCGGAGGACCACCCTTAAGTCTCCCCGGTTTAGATGTCCTATCCGAGCGTGCCACAACGCTTCGGTGGCCTGGACTACTCCTGTGCACACATCTTCTTCGAGTATCTCAGCTTTACCACCGAGTTCAGAGGTAGTCGCCGCGCCTTACGCACTACTTGACTCTAGAGGGTCGTCGACGTCTATGTCCACCGCCTGCGGTTCTAGGGAATCTGTATAGATATAGTCCGCCGGCGCCCTCGCTAGTTAGACTCGTTCTCGGGATCTTTAGCTCACATAGCACCGCAGGATCAATAGATCCTCCTCCGTATAGTAGGCGGTCCCCACGGTTCGTCCTCGGCGTTGCACAAAGACGTTCTGCGGGTGTGCTACCACCGAATAGCGGTCTCGTAGTAATTTCGGCACGCTGATTAGGTTCATCCCGATACGCGGCGCGAAATACACATTCTTCAACACTAGGGGATGGTTGAACTTCCCCCGGAGTGTGAGCTTCACCGTGCTAATCCCTTCGGCTTCCACTGGATCGCCCGCCGTGTCCACCATCTCGCGGTGGGGCCGTAGGTTAATAAAGTAGCTCCGGTCCTAGCAGATGTGGCTAGTAGCGGCCGAGTCCAGGATCCACCGCGGGGACGGTACGTGGGTATAAAGGGTCGTCACCCTCGCCCTCACGATATTGATCCTCGGTCTCTTAGAAGTCGGCGGGCCCTGCCGTTCTTCTACCTGGTTTAATAGTATAGTTTGCAAATTGTTTCTTGGTGAGCCGGAAGCACTCCGTTCAGCCTTCAGGGCATGGCCCTTAGGCTGTTACTGTTCTTGCTATTCTCGCTGTTTCTTCTAGCACTACGCGACCACATGGCCTCGCTTCTTGTAGTAGTTACATTTCTTTGCGGTCTTCTGCACCGTATTGATGGAGGTGCTGCTTGATGACCCTATCGCTCCGTGCAGAACCGTGGTAGTATCCTTGCGCTATACCGTCTGCTCGGCATTGGCGAGACGGTTTCCAATGGTCGTTGGGTTAACCGGGTCCTTATCGTTTTGGATGGCATCCACGACAAGGATATATTCTGGTCCGATCTACGTTAACAGGATGGCGATGTGTACTCGATCGCCGATCGATCCTGGCGCAATGGCATTCAGGCGGTATACTAGTAGCCGCACTCGATCGACAAACTCGCGGGTGCTGGCGCACCGGGCGGCTGTGGTCTCACGAAGCTGGGCGAATAGCTCGCAGAACGTGGCCAGCTCTATGCGCCGGTACCGTTCTTCCAGTTCATTCCACAGGTCGTGGGACGTCTCGAGTCCCGCGACGTGCACACTGATATACGGAGATAGGTACCGGAAAATAGTGTGGTAGGCCTCAGCCTCACGACGCGACCATTCACGGTGGCGCTCGAAGGCTTGGACCTCCACTTCGAGGCGGGCTTCGATGGCTCGCTGCCTTACCGCCCCGTTCAGGTGGGGTTCCACCAAGGGGATGATGTCCGCGGTGATAGGCTTGGCAAATTTGAATTGGTAGTCGGGACGCTGAAGGTCGCCCGACACCACGTCCCAGACTTACCTGGCTTTTAGGTAGGAAGTCATGAGACGCTTCCAGGTAGCGTAATTGTCGCTTCCTGTCAAAGGCTCGATGGCCGTGACGGCTCGGTCGGGGGAGTCATAGACAAGAGCCGACATGATGTTTATGAGGAAGCGGGGTAATATATAATCACAAATCAAAAGAGGAGGATGGGTCTCGGTGTGAGTAGAGACGGCACCCGAGTAATTGCACTCGGGCTCATAACCTGTTGTAATGCAAAAGGAAGCTTGTTAATTCTACTTATTTCTGAGGGGATACAAGAGGCTATACAGTCGATTTCGAAAACAGATTACCCCTTGAACACACTGACTTTGTTTCTCGGCTCGTACCCGAGTATACGCTAGTCCTTATAAGGAAAGGCTGTAAATGATCGTATCTTAAGAATAGACCCATTAAAAAACTAGAACGAGGGAATAACGTAAAATACTGTATATTACAGGTATTGTCTGTACACTGCGACCTTAATGCCCCTCCATTCTACTCTCATTCCCACCTATCCTTCCGCAAAAACCCCTCATCTCCAGAATTGCTAGAATCATATATGTTGCGGTGTGGTTCGGGTGGACGGCAAGGTGGAGTCTGTAGGGTGGGAGGTTGCAAATGGACTCGGGATGATAGTGAAAGGCTTTCTGGTTTCCACCAGGTCCTGGTGGTTGAGACTCCATCCTTCCCCCTTAGAATACTGCTTTGCCACCCCCACCCCCACCCCCTCCCCAGACTACGTATTGTAACAAAAACGAGTGATTATCGAATATGAAGGGAGACGCAAGATCACAAGTTCGTGTTTAAAAAGTGATTAGGGGCGTGTGGAGCGGTCAGCGGGGATCCACAGTAAGCAGCTTGCGTAAAATCGCCGGAGTTAGTGTGAAAGATTAGAATGCTGACAGGCGTATAACTTTTTACCCGGCCGTTTTCCAACGCCTTTAGCTCTTGAGAACCTGCTAGCCAGAGAATGCCATGACTGCAGTCGAGAATCAGCTCCAATTGACTGCCTTGAATGGTGCCCACATACAAAGGGGTTGGAATCAGCGGATCAGTATTATCGAAGCTGAGATATGCCTCGGTGACCCTGAAAAAGTGGTAGTGAGGGACCATGATGCAAAAGTGTAGAGAAGGTTGTCAAGAACGAAAAAACACATTAGTCTATTAGAACTGGTAATGACGACTTACCATTGGTAATATCTATGTCCACTATACGTAAAAATCTAAAGTGAAATGATTAGAGGATAGAGGTTAAGATCTTTGCCGCAGCGAGAAGAAACGCTGTCCCACTCCCCAAGTCCACGGAAGACCGGAGTTAAGAGCATTGATGACAGGGTAGATGATGACATATACGTTCATCATCTGATTGATGTTAAGTTCGAATCATTTTTTGGTCCAAGCCAAAATCCTATATAAACCATATATTCGAATTCTCAAATTCCCCTACAAGCTGGCTCAAAATTCGATCCATTGCAAACTTTCTTCGCAATCGCTTCAAGCACATTTTCTACCCGACGAAATGTATAATGATCCAAAAAAGGTCCTAGGTCGCTACCGCCAGCTAGCCCCCTCTGCCTCTGTTCGAGTTTCGCCATTATGCTTGGGCACAATGACATTCGGCGGGAGGTACCCCGAGAAATACGGTGAATGCAGCAAAGAAGAGGCCTTTGCCATGATGGATTTCTTCTACGACAATGGTGGCAACTTCTTCGACACAGCAAATGCTTACCAAGACGGCCAGTCCGAGGCCTGGCTCGGCGAATGGATGGCCTCCCGCAAGAATCGCGACGAGCTTGTGATAGCCACAAAGTATACCTCCGGGTATATGTTGCACTGTAAAGACAAGATCCAAGCCAACTTCGTCGGCACGGGAACCAAGTCCATGAACCATTCAATCAATGAATCTCTGCGTAAGCTTCAGACCGCTTACATCGATCTGTTCTATGTGCACTGGTGGGACTACACAACCTCGATTCCGGAATTGATGCAGAGCCTCAACCACTTAGTCGTGTCAGGGAAAGTGCATTACCTCGGGATCTCGGATACACCTGCGTGGGTCGTGGCCAAGGCGAACGCGTACGCCCGCCAGCATGGCCTGCGGCAATTCTCGGTGTATCAAGGAAAGTGGAATGCCGCGAGGCGAGACCATGAACGAGATATCATTCCTATGTGCGCTGATGAAGGGATGGGTCTAGCTCCGTACGCGACATTGAACGCTGGTAATTTTCAGACGGCTGAAGGTTACAAGGCCCGCGAGAAATCAAATAATGGCCGCAAATTCATCCCGGTCTGCGCACGGGATAAGCAAGTCGCCGCCATTCTGGAGAAAATCGCTAACAGAAAGGGTGGAGGTGTGACGCTGTTGAATATCGCGCTGGCTTATGTCTGTCATAAAGCGCCTTATGTCTTCCCAATTGTTGGTGGTCGGAGTGTCGACCATCTGAAGGGCAGCATTCCTGGGTTGGCCGTCTCGCTCTCGAACGATGAAATTGAGGAGATTGAAACCGGCTATGAATTTGATCATGGATTCCCTCATAGCTTCTTAAGTGGCACTTTGTTCGACCATTCCCACCCGCGAGGGGCTGAAGGCCCGGAGGATGTGTGGTTGACCAAGCCATGCGGTCCCTTTGACTGGGTCGAGCGTCCGAAACCGATTAAGCCTAACCCGTCAACATAGATGTTGGGAAGTTTGAATCGCGATAAGTTTTCTTCTCATGTACTCCATGATATTAGCTCCATATTTATCTCGTTGCCAGTAATCCGTGTACTACTATTTGGGTTCGAATTTTGGTATCGCTCTTGTCAGTCGTGGGGATACCAGCTTTTGACAGACATTGATAACTCATGAAAGGCGCGTCTGTGAAGATACTGTAATACCTGGAAATAAAGAAGCAAAATCTCCTATCAAAACAAAAGCTGTGTGGATGAAAAGGTAGGTTAGCGAGCGTGGATTGAGCCAGATCGCCAGGGCAACGACCCCTCTTCCCTTCAGGGCCCCTGCCTACATTCTCTACAGTTTACAGTATTTTACAGAAACCTTGAAATCTAATACATCACAAGACGCGATACTGCGATGCAGCGGCCGTTCCAGGGCAAACAAATATGGTTTAGCGTATACTCGGGTACGGGCCGAGAAACACGGTCAGTGTGTCCCAGGGGTAATCTGTTTTCGAAATCGACTGTATATACAACATGAAGTCCAAGTTGATTGGAAATCAACTTGGTCTTCGTATAGATGGACAGGAATTATTTCCGATGTTGCGGCTTCGTTCCTGAGCAGCAACTGCCTCATATTACAACAATTTCAAAATCAACTGCCAAACAAAGTGTCATGAATTCTTTCGTGCACTAGAATTAGGATGTATGCGACTAACCGACCTAACCCACCTGATTCGAAGCTGGATGACATTGACAAATCCGGCCGGATATACGGTATCTCCTTTCTCCGGGTACCCATCTGCCTAGTTGTAACTAGTCTAGCATCCCCGCGCTGACACAATCTCCCATCCGTTGTACAACATCGGCCTGCTTTCTTGAACGATACGCTGCACTCTAAAAACCTGACAGCGCTGATTATTTTCACCTTGCTTGTACTGTGGCTCAATTTTTCATTGAGCATTAAGAAGATCTAGACTTAGTCTCGTTCGCCGAAGGCCTCTGTCGCAAGATCCCAGGCGACAGTCACCTCACATTGGCTTATGAAAGAACAACATGCGTGGGTCCGACCTCATTCGAGACTCGGAAATTGCCACCAGGTTAGAGACTTTCACGTCAGATGGTAAAACAAGGACGCAAACTAGACATTACTTCATTGGGTCCAACGAAACAAACCATAATCGAATGGCTCTGACTGAAGAAGTGTGGGAACACAAAAATAATCTTGGTTACGGAGGATCTGGCACGGTTTATCGAGAAGAGTGCCTGATGGGGCGGCATGCGTTACAGTCTCGTGCAGTGAAGCGGATCAGAGTCGAAGCTGGAACAACTAATCGATATGAACGGGAGCTCGAGGCCATCTTGAAGTCCTCCCACATAAGAGGGAGTTTATACACTTGGGAAGTTCATGAACTTGCTAATTGTTTCTGAATATACAGTATAGAGACTTTCGTGGAATGATTTGGCTGGTGGGAAACAGAAACAGAACTATTCATTGCCATAGAATACCTTCCTAATGGTGATCTTGAGAAGTATATGTCGAACCAAGTGGAAGGGTTGGTTGAGGAGGCAGCCCAGCAAATCTCTGTTCAACTTCTCGAGGGTCTCAAATTTGTGCATGAGAACGGATTTGCTCATCGAGACGTGAGGCCCGCCGTAAGGCACGAACACGATTGAGTTTTGAATACTCTCTAATATGAAATAGAACGTCATGCTCAAGGCAAGACGGTCGGAGAGAGAAACCTAGTGGGTAAAATTAGGAGACTTTGGCATCACCAAACAACATTCTTGAACCAGGTGTCACTACCTAGACCTTTTTTTGATTTTCAAAACCGAACACTCACTAAGATCTATGACTGTGTATCATGAATGGTACCCGGATATTGGTGTTGCTGTATCGTCACCCTTGTGGAATTTTACCTGTTCCAATGTCCGCCTAGATGACTAAGGCAAATGCATCACGCCACACAGAAAGACGTCATAGAAGTCCAGCTCAAAGCAAACATTCCTTTGCAGTTCTCAACGTGTGCTTGGAAACATTCTCCGAAAAATATAGGGATAATCTCACAGAATGCAGTCAGGAGGCAGCGGTCTACACCCAGAGGTAGGATCTTCCCCTACGCTGCCTGGAAGCAAAGGTGCTGACACCGTTTCCTCAACAGCGCTCTGAAAGTGAGAAACGTCACTTTAGTAAGTACAGAAAGCTGCCGCGTGGAGGTTTACCCAGCCAAAAAACCAAGGTAAGGTTACTTTGTATATTCTCTATCACGACACGTGCTAACCAACAACGTGACTGAACGGACCTACTTTGATTCTAGCGATTATGCTCTTGCAACCGCTGATCGCGTGACCGACAACGGTGCTATTCAAACAGGAAAAGCGCATCCACACCGGGACAGCATTTCCCATCCCTATGCCCCTATCCCAGCCGCTAGCAACGTTGACAGGGATGCCATCGAAGATTTACATAGGAAAAGTGTAAGTCCGGAAAAGAGTCCTCTCCTCCAGTAAACCAATATTGAACATACAGAACCCCCAATCGAGAAGCGATAGAATAGTACTGCCACTCAAGAAGGTTGAATTCCAAAGCACAACATTCACTAGGTATAATGTGCCGTCTTGTGGAATTTTCCTTGATTACCGAAAAGAGCTCTGGAAACTGTGGGGCTTACGTACTTTTTGGGAAAAAAGCGTCCCTGGGCATTGTTTAATAAGCTATCAGAAATTGTAATTGTGATGAAAATTTTAGGCAGCAGAATGCAAATTAAGTACTTGTGTAGAGAGGTCGTAACTGTTTGGCTAAAACCGAATGATGGAAATGCGTATTGTTCCTTACGGCCACGGATTTGTGATCCCGGCTACTCAAAATAACATTCAACCGACACAGCATCAGTTAGGACTTTGAAACCTAAGACAAAGCAAAACAGTTTTTAATATAAGCCGGCATCTCTGGGAGCGAGGCCATAATGAATGTTATCAAATCGGGTCAACCAGTTCGCATATATACATATTTGTCACATCGTGATTCATCAACAACAACCAGATAATACAAATGGAACTCGAATGTTTATGATGGTCTAAATCAGTGATTGAGCAAGTTCTCTAGCACTGTAGGGACGGTCAGAACACCTGATGGCGACCCATCAAAGAGTTCCCTATCGAAACGAAGGTTTACATCAAGAACCATGGGCCAAACGTGCGAAGACTCCGACCAATGATTTTACGCCTTCCTCCCCAGGTGCCAATTTTATTTTTCCGAAGTCGTTCGTAAGCTCGGGCTGGAGGTGGCCATTTAAGCGGTCAGGGCTAATCCGTGGTCAATGGGGCCTGAGAGCCCCAATCTGTATAGGGGCTGCAGCCGTACTTCCGGGATGCCATTACTCGTCATATCCAGACTATCACACCGCCTTAAATCAATCAATCAATCAGCACTCTATTAACCGGTTACGGCATAACTAGTGGCGTTCGCTGGTATTTTGTCTCGACCTTTTTTTTTTTTTGGCTCACCCCTTACATGGATCGCCTGGGTTAAGGACATAGGCAGGTCACCTCCAGAGCGCACCAAGAGTTTGCAAAAGATCCTGCCTCCATCGAAAATCCTTTCAAGGTTATTACGCGTACTTCGCTAAGCTTGAAAGGCACTACCTGCTTACTATTGTTCGCGCGGCGTCCTGATGAGCTAGAATAAGTGGCAAGATGAGTGAACCCCCCTATCGTCTGTTGTGTTCCGATGTCCTGGAGGAGAGTCCAACCAAGAACGACTGGCCGATCCCTGGGCACACGCAGCCTTCGTTTGGCTTCTCAGCTAATGCTGACCCAATACCGGGGACCTGTGAAGACTCTTCAGTGCCTCTGCCTCACCCAGGCGGGTCTATGAATAAAGTTGCTATCCCCCGAACCTCTCGCCGCGAGAACTGGGCCATAAGAAGCCGCGTTAATCGGGCATGTCAAAAATGCCAAGATCAAAAGGCCAAATGCAGTGGTCACCACCCCTCATGCCACCGCTGCCAGGCTGCCGGGGTTCCGTGTTCCTATAACGACCGGAAGCGTGAAAGGATACACAAGTGCGTAGTTGGAGCATCGCCAGAAAACTCGCTAGGTCTCTAATGTCACTCTCAGGCAGCTTGAAAATCTGACCATGCAGGTTCAAACCTACGAAGCTTTGTTACAAGATCTGTATCCCACACTCGACCCATCGTCAGCCCAGCTTGTCGACCAGACCATTAGTGGCCAATCTGTCAGAGAACCCATGGCCTCTTCAAACGAGGGCCTATCCATTCCCACTATTCGTTTTTCCCTAGATGCCCAAGGCATCCAACTTGACATCTAATAATGTTCCAGGGCGAATATCTATCTCGTCCCAACCAGAGATCCACGGCCCATCCGTTTCTGATAATAGAGCACACGGCAGAGGATTTCAACCGTAATGAAAGCGTCCAGGCGATGGGCTTTGTCGGCCAGCATTCGGAGATGGCATGGTTATACACACTTAAGTGCAAGCTCGATAATGACAACTCCACATCCCTCAGCGAGCACCTCAATCGACCACCAATCTCACGTCTGAATTACTTTCAAGACGACATGGAGATATCGGGCCTCGACAACGTCGATATGTTTGCTCGACCTCCGCAAAACATTGCTAACAAGCTCGTGGACGAGTACTTCGAATCAATGCATCCCGAGTTCCCTATCTTAGGTAAGGGGACCTTTCTGGATCAAATTCGTTTGTTCTACGCAAACTCAAGCATGCGACCGGGAAAGCGATGGATGGCCGTGCTGAATTTGGTATTTGCGATCGCTACAAAGCATTCTATGCTCATGGATAGTCATACGGGGGGACCCTATAGTGATCATTGTGTATATTTTGCGCGAGCGTGGAGGCTGGGCTTAGGGAATTTTTCCCTACTAAGTCATCCAACTTTGCAGCAAGTACAGGTGGAAGGCCTAACTTCGTTCTATCTGCTTTCCACTGGTCAAGTCAACAGGTGCGCATGCATACATCGTTAATGCGTAACGTATCGACCGTTATGTCTAACTTGTGAATCTTAATAGGTCATGGCGGATAATCGGGGTTGCGATTCGGTCAGCGATGGCACTGGGCCTTAATCTTCGTATCCAGACAGATAATGTTACTCATGTCTCGAAGGAGACACGATATCGTGTGTGGTGGGCGCTGTTTATGTTAGACATGCTGCTATGTGTAATAACCGGCCGTGCCCCTAGCACAGCCGAGATCTTCTGTTCGACGCCTCTTCCTATTCCATACACAGAGGAAGATTGGGGGTTGGGAAGTGTCACGCAACTATTGGCCGACAAAAACATGCGCGATACCGTCATATCGTCCGTACTGTGCTCTTCTGACACTACGCATAGCTCCAACGAAGCGTCTATTGATCGCAGCCATTCAACAACCTCTGGCTTGACGAAAGGACACCTGAACGAACAAGCAGCTCAACTGGTTATGAAGCATCTATCGCCCAACATCTCCTTACATTTTCTGTACGCGGTTGATTTGGCTTTTCTTATGCGGGAGGCTATCGGGGCACTTTATTCTCCCGCGGCAACCAGACTGTCGTGTTTAGAGCTAGAGACTGCGATCTCTTCATTCAACAACCATGCTGAAAATTGGCTCTCTCGTCTTCCAGCAGAGTTTCACTTCACGGAAATAGACACGGCCTGCCCTTTCGCCCGCCAGAGCACTAGCCTCGGATTCTACTTCTACACTACTAAGCTGATAATCTTACAACCCTGCCTACGCCGACTAGCCTATCAGGAATCCGACACTGGATCTCCAGGGATTGTCTGTGATAACATAGCATCTACGTGTGTGCAAGTAGCCGAGCAAATGCTCGACCTCCTACCCGATGACACAGATGTCACCTGGCTCTGCGGTATCACGCCGTGGTGGTGCGTCCTACATTACATAATGCAGCCTACTATCGTTCTACTTGTTGAACTTTTCACACGGACTCCCGTGGGGGACCCTAAGGCCGTCGGTCTCACCGAGAAAATCCATAAAGCCTTTCGCTGGCTGTACGCAATGTCCACCAAGGACTCTTCGTCACGACGAGCTTGGCTTGTCTGTAGAGATATCCTCTCGCGACACGGCTCCAAGTTTGGTTTTGAGGTTAACGACGATGGGCTCTAGGTACCATTCCTGGCCTCTGTATGTCTCTTTTCATGTCCAACATGCTCCTTGACGGCTTATTCATGGCTGAATTTTACAAGGAACTTCCGATCCTGCGAGGCACCTGCCAGGATGTATCGAGTTTTATTATGACCGATTCCCAGCATGCCATACAGTATCATCAAGCGTGACAGTGGGAGGCAGCGGCAAGCGAATCGACCCGGTTCAATGACAAAGGAATTCTCTACAAGTACCGCAAGGGGCCCGCGGCGAATGTAAGTCCGAGCGCACGCACCATCACAAGATGAGGTCTTTTGCTAATCTATGCTTACAGGACATCTCTATGAGCATTCCCGGAATCACATTATGGGCCATATCTAACGGGGAACGCTTGGTAACTACATATCGATTACTGATGACGCCCAATCTATCTTCAAGGAGACGCCATCTCGAAAGTCCCTGCTTAGCCTGGCGACCCACGCAAGTATCACGCGGGGCCTATCTGCACTACAACAAGCCACAGCGGCGCGGAAAGCGACTATACAATTGGACGTTCAACTACCCGAATGGAAAAAAGAATGCTAGAGACTACGCACGGATATGGTTATGGAGCATGGCCGATTACAGGCTACGTGCAAGCTTGGTGATGAGTGTTTTGTTGAATTGCAAAAGCTAGAGAACAAAATCAAGAATCGGCGAAAGAAAAACTGTGACTCGACGAAGAGAGAGACCGGTGCTAAATTTTCTGTTAGATCCGCAATCGCATGATCGAGAGCAACCACTTAGGGCACTTAGGGGAACAGATCAACTTTAGGGCGAGGATGAGATCAGCCGGAACCAATCTCTTGGATGACAGGGTTGATTGATTGAAGAAAGAGATATGGAATGTACTGGGCAAGATGACGAGCTACTGCATTTGAACCAATTTTCAGCTTTTGACTGCCAGGCCCACGGTTGCTGTTAGGTCCTTCCGGTCTCTCTCTATCAGTAATATAAAGGCAATGTCGGAAGCAATTTAACATCGTACAGCTTAACTTCTGTTCTCCCGCGAGCCGCCTACAGCAGAAGACGTGACGGTGGCCGCACATCATTTAATCCCTAGATTTAAGGCTAAGCTACATCTCTCAGGCGTCCACCAGGAAATAACTACTGGACGTGTTCGCAACGAGTGCTCCACGGCAGTTGTCCCTCAAGATCTCAAAACAGGTTACAGGAAATGGCGTTTGCTGGATCATTTAGCAGTCTGTGATCTGGAAAAAAGACAGACCACGGATAGCATTCCAGTTCATGGCGGAGCAAGATTCAAACGAGCTCCTTGTGAGGTAGTTGTGGAGCACCTTATGATGGAATGACGAGAACCCGCTGGATAGATAAAGCTAGCTTGGGAAACCCGACCTTGGTTCGTGCCACAAGAGCACCGATGACTAAGTCTGGACCCGAAGACTTCCCCTGAAGTCACAGAGCCTTGTCTGCGGCCTTTGGCCTCTTCAGAACGTCTACTTATATTAATCACCCGCTCTAACCTCCTTACTACATATCCTTATAATTCAAGGTCGAATCTTCGACGGTAATACTACCACTTAGGATTCTCCGCACCAACGTTCACATAGCAGCGCCACCTACTTCGTAAAATAAGTCGGAGGAGATTATTTTCATTCCACGGCACGCTCAGATGCCACCGACCAATGGCCGGTGAGGCGAGATGCGCCAAATGAGACTACTCTAGAACCTCGTACCAAGGTACCATTGCCATGCAAAAAGCCTAGTCTATGCATATGCTGCAGCGTAAAATTACATAAGTAGTTCCTGCTAAGCCGGGTTTAAATGCATTTCGACCGTCTTAGTTTACCGAGATCTCGCAGAATGAATTCTGTAGCTACGCCTGTAGCTAATCCTGCAGAAGAACGAATTATGGGTTTGGCTTTACCAATTCATCCCACTGAATTCGAACCCCCACTTCATTTAGACTCCTCATCTTTGGACCCGAAGGATTTCATATCCCCATTGAATCAGATTTGCGTTGATAATACTCCGTTGGGCTCATTGGGAAACATCTCGCGACAGACCTGGGTTAAACCCCTGGATTTTGTTGGTGTCGAGAACGCCTTTTGCCCATCTGGCTACGTACGTATATTTACCTTCCATATGAGATGGCTGGTCAAGCTAATAATGCCATATAGAACTTCCAAAATAATGAAACCTCACACATTTACCAAAACGGATGCTGTTCTACGTCCGGCATTTACGGTTTTGAAAAAGTTGAAGAAAGCCACGACAGTACAAATGGCAATTATATTGACAGGGATAACCCGTCGAGAGGCTCGGTACCGCCATTGTACCAAGCACGGCCCTCTAACCCCTCTAACGGCACTGAAAGGACGAATCCGCAATTTAAATGTCTTCCGAATCCGACGTCTGGGCTGGAGAATGGATTAACCAGTGTCGCAACACGCCGAGGAAAAGCGCACAACATAGCAGAAAAGCGATATCGTGACAGTATAGATCTCAAATTTCTACGGTTGGAGGGTGTCCTAACTACAAATCATGGCCCCCAGAATGATACAGACATGACACCATACGGAATGTCTAAACGAATGAATCGAGCGAAGATCCTTGAACATGCCCATGATGACATATTAAATTTGCGAGCGGAAATAAAATCAATCAAAGGAAAATTTGAAGGCTTGCGGGAGGCAACTTTTCCTGATACCTACAAATTCACGCTACTTGACTAACTACAAAACTATCCGGATGGGCAGATACTGGCTTGTGCTAATAATGAGGTGTTTGTTTCTCTTCGAGTCAAGATCTATCCAAAACTGTCAACACCGTCTTCACACTACATATTATACTGCCTGTTGTATGAAATTCCAATTAATCTCCTTACAATTAAACACATAAGAATAGATAGCTGATACATCGACAATGTGGTCTATATCAACCTTCCGGATTGAAATTAACTAAAACCACTGCTTTGGCTGTACAGATTACACGAAGGCAAGCCCTAGACCACTACTTCCGACTTAAGACGTGTTATATAGGCTGTTGCACGTATTGCGCGTGATTTTCCCACCACATGCCATCATTCACTCAGCGCACTTGTGACCCCAGGGACCTAGCGCAATCAGATTCTTTACCTGGCACTTCTTTCGGCCTTCCCTTTCTGTTTTTTGCACGGGCCATAACTTGCTTTCCCCTATCCAATTTCTAGTTGCAGGGTCTGTGGGCGAAAGCCCCAGTGATTTGCTTAGGTTCAAGACGAAACAGCTCCGGCTTGTCTGGACTCGTTCCAGCGGCCGATGAGCCGAGTCATGTTGTATGCGAAGCTGAAATTGATGCTTCAGCGCAAGATCTACTTTCATTGAAAGATATTCAGGTGAAGCCAGATCATTCGATATCTTTGCGACATTATGGAGAAAGAAACTACCCTTACAAACATCCCAAGACACGCTCGTGCATGCTCGTTTAGATGAATTCGCTACTAGACATGCATTAGAGCAACTTCAAAATATAAGTTTGTAGAAGTTTTAACTAGTGGACTCTTTCGGAGTTTCCGTTAGATTCAGAACAAGCGTACGCAATCGTCGGGCTTCTATGGGGTGTCAATAGAAAGGTTGCCTTCAATACGCTAACGATGCACTCGATATCATTGCACTTAAAGCGTTTCATGCGTTATTCCAGTCTTATCTCATTCTTAAAAGAAGACCATCGTCTCAGTTTCCGCCTATTCACTCACCTATATGATTCCTTGTCAGCTCATTCATTATTGCTTTAATATTTTTCTTCTTCTCCGTCGAGGCCCACCAGTGTTATTCTCGATCCAGGGAACGAGGAGCTATGGCCCTGGATCGTGTTAGTTTCGTATGCTAATGAATCCTGGTCTCCGTCGGTCCAGTTGTGGCGGTTGTTAACTAATATTCCTCTTATCAGAAAATTTGTAATAGTGCATCGGCCTGAATTAAATTACTTTCAATTTTCAGGCAAGAATAATAGAATTAAGCGCATACTTTACACAGAGTACGTTCGTGGTGTTAAATCAACGACTCCGGAATGAATCAACTAGGTTGGATTTAGCGAGGTTAATAAATAGACTTCATGGATTTCATGTAGTTCTTGACGGAGACAACCAGCATCCATTCCAGACTGATACCAGCAATCTTACCTACCATGTCCGCTCAGGGGAAGGGCATGTCAGTGCGGTCATAGCTACTGAAGGAGATTGCGCAGCCGACATCGGAGATCATTGAGGATGTTGCCCCAGGCTGGGGTGTTCAGGTCAAGTCCATGCTCATCAAGACATAATCTTTAGCGAGGACCTGCAAGACTCGCTTTCCATGGCCGCGCAGGCCAAGCGGATCGTTGAGAGCAAGGTCCTCACTGCCCGTGCTGAAGGCGAGTCCGCCAAGCTGATGCGTCAGATCTGTTTTCAGGTTGCTGATATTCTTTCCTCTGCTCTGGCCATGCAGAATCGATATCGTGAGACTATAAAATCGATGGTCAAGTCTGCCAACAATCGGTGTTTGTTGAGTTGAGATGACTCTGTCCCTGTTCCGGATTGGGGAGCGCGGGTCGAGCTTGGCGTGGAGAATTGTGCTCTGTATTATTCTGGCAATCGGCGATCACAGAGCAGTTGGACGATCTCTTGATCACCTGTAAACGTGGCGGCCTGGAGAGCGTTGTGGTATTTGCCGCCCTGCGTGTTGACGTCTGCTCCTTTGTCCAAGAGCATATATACTAGGTATAGGGCGCAACCCAGAAACTACGCTTAATTTTCATGATGACAGCATGCTCCTGCGAGACATATACTTCGCTCTCCCTAAAAAAGCCAATGTCTCGTAGGGACGAGATGAACCTGGAGAATAATTTAATATTGGCTTGACAGTATTGAGGGCTTGAAAAATCGAAAATGGAAGGAGCAATCATTCGTCTAAGGAGGAATGTACCTTTCATTGTCCGCCTTAACCTCCACCAAGACGGAAGAGGTTCTCTGATCGCACAACAAGCAATAATGAACCACCGAGCTAAGGAAGAGTACCAGATTATCCAAGCCATTGAAGTCGTCGTCTCCAATGAAGAACCGGAAGCCCCTATCCCAGTCCTCCACCTTGCCCCGCAGCCTACCATGACGATCTTCAAGGACCCAGAAAATCTCGAGAAAGCCAACAGGTGTCGTGCCCCAGTATGCTAGTACAGGAAAAGATGATTTGCTTGACATACATGTCTTAAGATTTTCCCTCAAGCTCGTATGAGTTTGAGACTGGTTCATCCATCGGTGAAGCAACTTTAAATCATTCATAAGTTCAGGGTCAAGACAAAGGTTCGGACCACTCCGTTTACTTAGCTGCGTCGTTGTGGAATATAAGCTCGTTAAGCTTTCCATTAGGAATAGAGGTACGCGAAACGTTATATTCTCACCACCGCTGGGAATGAACCTCGTGTAAAACACCTCTCCTTGTCGTGGAGCTCTTGGCCGGATTGGATAGCGAATACCGTCAGTAAACTTATACTGAAGTGGGATAGGAGGGTAATATGAGGGTATAAAGGTCCCAGAAGTGTTGGGCCCAGCGCCAAAGGGGAACCCTCTTCCAAAAGCATCTAATGATGGAAGACAAGCCCATGCCTCATTATCACCGACTGAAAAGCGAGGCGGATCCAGAGTAAATAGATAGATCCCGGGATCTAACTGCCAGAAGGCTCTTTGACTAATGAATATCTCGGAAAAGGTCTCTGGGTTCTCTTACGAACCCACTGAAGGATCGGTAGTCGCGATTAGGCCTATCCTCTTAAGTTTCTGCATTCGTTATTTCCCACTAAGAATGCCGTCTCCTATTACTCTTAGACTCCACTCTCCTCCTGTATCTATGGCGAATCCTGGAATTTCATTTCCATTCGACGTGGGCGTATACTAATTTGGTATAGGCTCTTGGAAGTACCAGAGAAAAGTGGCAAATAAAATCATGGCCACTTATCTTGTAACAGCGCTCTCGGGTTTCGCATCGTTAATTGACGGCGTCGACATTGAAGAAAGGTGTAGCACATCGCTAAGGAGAGTCGGTCCGGTAAAAGACGAAACAGGATCTATTAGGAACTGGCCATCCCCGTCAATGGGCGGCTTCCCTTTACCTGCGTTCTCGGTATAAAGAGATATCGACCACCTAGGTGGAAAAGAGCCGTGCAAGCTGTTTTCATCTACTGAAAATGTAAAGCCCCGAAAGGATGGTTTGACATTGATCTGCTGCCCGTTAGGCAAGAAGTACTTATTGTACTTCATTAAAATGTAGAAAATGGAATACTGAGGTAAATTATAGAGTAAATTAGATCCAGAGAGCTGCACATGCAACTTCTGGAGTCTCGTTAAAGTGGCAATGGTGATGAAAAGTGTATACGTCAGACGATATAGTAAAATGGGGTAGTAAATCCAGACCTCAGCTGATCACCCGCCCACTGAAACCCACCCAACTCACGGTTTGCGTCGGGCCTTAGTCAGCATTGCCGAAGGTCTGTCATTAACTAACCAACTGTCGAGTCATTGAGCGGTAATTTACCACCTGACAGGGGTTACTACTTCATGATTCGAGTCGATAGTACGTCAGAAGTTAACACAATGAGACTGATGATGGTCAAAATTGAGCGCATTGTACCTCAAGGAATTGAAAGAAACTAAGGGAGTAGTTAGGAACTGCAAAATGTAATCGCTTAACCCAAAGAGCTCGCCTAGTCACGGTCGGCGAACGAACCTATAATAAACCGGGCGCACATGGGAGACTGACTCGGAGATTGCTCACCAGATAAGTCACAGTAAGTCGTTCGACATGGAGAGCTGCATCGTTCAGCGAGCCTCGGCTTGCTCGTCAAGAAGCCAGTGCCCCGCTCTTGAAGCCAGATACTCCACTCCCCTCACTTTCAAGGCTTGCAAGAATTCCTTCCGCCAGCACGACAATATGAGCGACAGGACCGAGAATCTTGGTTCTAGCCAAGAGGAGCGATACGCCTCCGCAGCGAAATTAGAAAATGAACATCGCAATGCCGGGCATCGTAGATTGTGCTAGGAATAAAAAAAAGTACGGTTGACCTGCTATTTCTCAGACTTTCTTTTGCTCTTGCTGTTGTTTCACTACATTTGAAGCTGGTCATGCGAGGGTTTATCATATCTAGATATCTAAATTCGAGATTCATTCTATACACAAAAACCAACTAAGGCAAGTACACATTATGACACCATGCTCCACAGGGGTCCAGTCACAGTCGAGTGAGAATCACTAGCATGTCGCTGAAAGTGCATGACTTCCGGAAACTTTTCATCGCAAACATTGCAAGCAATAAGAGTGGTTGATGCAAGGTTCTGTAGATGCTTTCGCTTGATATGCTTTGAAACATCTCCGTGCGATGACAATTGTTGCACACGCTTCTTAAGGGCTAGGTTTTGCTGTCCCACACAAATAAAGCAAAACAAGGGCCGATGGTCTTTTGTGACAGATCGAATAGCAATTTCAAGTAGGCTTGCCGATTCAGCCTGGAGCTTAGTCGTTTAGCTTCCCGGCTTCTGATCATCGACGTAGCCAATCTCGGCCATATTGCTTTTAACCCTTTTGTTCTGTGGTAAACGGCATATAATACCTTCTTCAAATTGACAGTAAGCGGCGACAGCATCAATGGCTTCGGTGCGTCGACGTATTTCTTGGTCCAATGTCGGCGATAGCAGAGTTAAAAGACGCTTAATCAACCGTTTCTGAGGTTCGGGTAGCTCCTCCGTGTGGTGTAGCTTTGTCGTCACCGACTTAGCTAGGTTCGTCTCGGATAGCTACCGCTATACTTCCAACATAGGCTGCTCTTGATCATATTTCTGCTAAAGCTATAACAGCAAAGTGTTCCTAGCCCGTTCCCTTACACTATTAATGTCAACATGTGGATGTTGTGGGGTCACATGACGAAGGACCCACTCATATAACCCCTCTCTACATATAGATCTTCTTCTATAAAGATCTAACAGATTGATCCTCAACGATCTCGCATATAATTGCCTACCTAAGCAAGAGACTCTCAACACTCTGATTCTGTTGATTTATCATTTGATCTTTTGCTATGTTTCTTGTGATATAAATACTGCTATGTTTCCTAGTTAAATTGAATCAAGTTTATCACCCCTTTTGATCTCTCTTCTAGATCGGTGGTACTCTTCCACAATCGTGGTACTTCTCCTTCTTAGAAGCGCGCACGACCGATAGACTCATAACCGTGTATTCAGACACTACATTGAGTATTTACCAATCCTTATACACACTATCGTCTTGTGTGTATAACCACGACTTTATGGTCACCGCCTAGAGTCCGACACATAGTAATAGCACTACTCATAGCCTGTATATATACGATACTGATACCAATAAAGAAAGAAGAAGACGCATCGTAGGCCTGGCCATCCCTCTAACCTGGCTTTACCTACCTTAGCTCTAGTGGCGAGGCAGTAGATTATAAGCGATTAAGCTCGGAGGAAATTACAACGATGCTAGGGTCCTTGGGGAAGTATATTGACTCGGAGTCTTCGGGGGAAGCCAAGGAAAAGTTTCACGGCGTGGATGGCCGAAATGTGAGTAATTTGGAGCAACTGCTTCATCCAGTCCCCGAACTACGTCCAGCCAAATTTATCAGTAGAGATTATAGAGTTTTTGCTAGTGCTATCTGTCTGTATTGCCCTTATTTGTCTGTCCATTGGGTAGCCGATATAGCCAAAGGCGTTCTCTCGGCTTCAAATGAACTTCTGTATTACTCAAGTTATCGAACAAATAAATAGGAATCAAGTTTGATGGTGCTAGATTACTTAGCCCATCACTAAAGTGTAATTATCCGTTAGTTATAAGCTTAGGGCCAAGTCAAATGTATGCCACTTTCTGTCCAATAAAATGTAGTAATCCATCATCAGAAAGGAATCTTAGGGCAGTGTGTACATTTTATTTATTGTAATATAACTAGGGTCATGTTTTAATGACTTTACTAGCTTCAATGAGAAAAAAACGACAAAAAAAGACGAGCGAAAAGATAGGATAGGTTTCGTTTAAGATCATAACTCGATAGCCATACTAAGTATTCAACTAGGAAAGAATGAATAAAACTAGGGGAATCAGGATTCTTAAGGGTACAATGGATGACACGAGATATGGAACGGGGCATTTGTTATTCAAAAAGGCTCGTTTGAAGCCCGCTCTGGGTATGCGTCCTTAATCGGCGTGTTGTTCACATGGCTTTGGCATCATCCAAGATATCCACAAAATGTTGTGGCCCAAATGCCACAAATATGAGGAGCTAGCTTCGACTAAATGGCAGCAACATCTACCCAAAACCGTGTGTCGTCGGACTGGTAGATGGAATTACTGTCAATTTGATCTTGGATCCAATATACCGCATTTTTGTAATCTGCAACAGAAGTCAGTGGTGTAAAAGCACAGTGGATCTAGTAGGGTTCATTACTGTCAATGTCGGCCGTGTTAGGATTAGCCAGTCCTGATGCACCGTCCCTATGACCGGCAAACCAAAGGTCGATTCCATAGTAATCCTGGCAGTCCCAGCGAGAGGCCACGTCGGCATAAACATTAGAACTATCAGCAAGTACATTCTATTAGCTGAGTCCTGTCTATCAGAGTTGAACGACCCTTACTTCAGTAGAGCACCATTGTTCCAATCAGCCTCAGTCTGCCCAGCTAGGCCGTACCGAGTGGCACATACACGGAGCATGCCCCAGTTCTGTTTGAAAAGCCCAAAATTTGCGGAATCATTGGTCTTCCCATCACCATAAGCATAGTCGGTTGTCATTGTCTCGCTATGTTCTCAATTAGAAATGTGGTTCTGCAACCTTCGATCAAGGAGAGAGATGAACATACGTCTCCAGCATCGCAATGGCAAGATCAAGGGTGTTTCCACCTGCGTTCAAGATGGCTTGTTTATGCTGCCCCAGACCGGAAACAGTGTAAGACCCGCGATTGTCTCGCTTTCCTGGCGATGCAAACGATCTGAGGGCGGCAAGGGAAGTCAGGAGGAAGTAGATCCCTTTCATTTTGGGGGCTTAGGGAGTTGAAATCGAGTTTTTTGTCTACTTGATATTCGCTTCTGCTGTGCATGATTTAAATGTGCTTCATAATCGTGGACTTTATAACACAAAAATATTCTGGTCGAAGTATACTCGAACTAGCTCCGTGTCATTCCCGTACCTAAAGAAGGAACAACCATCCCTTGTCTAAGGTGGAACGCTCCTCCGTCTAGCCTAATAGACAAATCAAATTTGGAATAAGATCCGCCTACAGCGATGAAAAAACGGAACAACACATACATACGGAAGAAGGTCCATCGAAACTGGGCATTTGTGTCATCACTCTCGGATTTATAAAGTTCGTGCTATTGGCCTCTCCCAAGAAACCTCGGGAGCGGACAGCTCCGCGGAAAGACGACCAGTTACGGAATAGACCCTGCGGGGGACTTCAAAATCAGCAAGCTAAACTAGATTTAACTACCGTCCCGTTAAGACTTTATTTGTTTTTTCAGAACCTGTTCAGAATTGATTATCCAGGCAATCCAGACTAAGGCCGAGGATCGACTTTTGAAAGGCCCCTCGAAATCCCCGTAAATGCCCATCCTCGCGCCGGTTATAAGGAGAAGATGGGTAGATAATGTAGAGCGAGGACAAAATTAAATCTCGAACTATATACCGCGCGCTTACAAAGCCTCAAGGGTCCAGCTATAAAACAGCCACGCATTCGATCTCTACATCAGTGTTCAAGGGCAATGTCTTCACAGCGACACAACTACAAGGTATAGTTAGTATACTCCTTGAGCCATTTCGGAGGCAGGGGGTGCTGGTGAGTACTAGCTTACGTCCGGGCAGGCTTAATATCACCCCAGTAGAGCGTGTAGACTGAATTCATTGCCGCGAAATCATCCATGTTGGACAAGAAAACATTGACCTTAACGACTTTTTCGATGTCCGACCCTGCGGCTTCGAGAATATTCTTTATATTCTTGATACATTGGTGCTAATAATGCGATGACATTAGTATTTCTTTAGAGCGAAGGGGAAAAAATGTACCGTATGCACTGTGATATCTCCATCAACGATCTTGCCTGTTTGTGCGTCCATAGGTACGCAACCCGAGCAGTAGACAAATCCATTGGCGACAATGGCTTGTGAATAGATCCCAGGAAGAGGAGGGGGTGCACTTTGAGTGAGGATCGGGTGTTTTGCTGACATTCTGAAGGAGCTCCTGATTGACTTCAACCACTGGTATGAATCATGAATGGGATAAATCTTTATATACTATTATTGGGTGACTATATTGCAGCCAACCTTCTTCGAATATTGCCTTTCCCCCCGTAGTGGCTTTCGGGTGTCTCACTAAATCTTTTATCCCGCGTACTACGTGGGGTTGGGGCGGGATGATTGTTGGTGCCAGAAAATGCAAAAATAATTGGACCATGAAAATTCGAGGATAAGTACAATTGAATTGCTCATTCAGTCTTAATATGTGGTGTTCAGTTTACTGTCATTTTAGTCTATCACTCCAATAACGACAAGTGGACCATCATGTCCACCCAGGCTCCCGCTCTCCCACCCTATCCCCTCCATGAATCAGTCAGAGACAAATTGAGTCCTCAGTATGTCGCTTTCTACAACCAATACATAATCAACAATCAGCAGGTCCACTACCAGCCTGTGGAAGCATCACGCACAAGCGGTACGCTGATTCCCGGGGGCGGCCCACTTCTCACTGTCGGTCAAACCAAAGACATCTCTATTCAACGACGGGCAAGTGATGGGCCGGATGTCAAGGTTCGCGTGTTCACTCCGGCAGGGGGAAAGCCGCGCGGTGGATGGCCTTCTCTGCTATATTTTCATGGTGGCGGATGGGTACTCGGAACAATCGACACTGAAAACACAGTCTGTACCAATATCTGCGTCCGAGCGAATTGCGTCGTGATTACGGTTGATTATCGGTCCGTAGGCACTGTCCTTCTGTTTCTCTCTAGCATCTCTCATAGTTACTAATTAAAATATATACAGCCTTGCACCGGAAAATCGTTGGCCGGCCGCAGTACATGATAGCTGGGAAGCATTTCAATGGCTTATCACCGATGGAGTCTCTACACTGGCGATCGACCTATCTCAGATGGCTGTCGGCGGATCATCGGCAGGTGGTAATCTCGCAGCTATCGTGTCTCAGAAAGCTCTCGCATTGTCACCACCTGTGCGTTTTAAATCACAGGTGCTCTCGGTCCCCGTTACCGATAACACAGCCACGGTGACTAACAATCAATCGTACGCCTTATACGAGCAGACTGCCGCTCTGCCGGCGGACAAGATGCTTTGGTATCGAAAACACTATTTGCCCGATGAGTCTGACTGGGTGCATCCTGAGGCAAGCCCCCTCTTCTATGAAGGAGACTGGTCGCAACTTCCACGCGCTTTGATTCTGGTCGCCGAATTAGACGTCCTTCGGGCAGAAGGTGAGGGGTATGCGGAGAAATTGCGAGCCGCTGGCGTACCTGTGGATCTATATGTTATGGAGGGAATGCCGCATCCATTTCTCGCTATGGATGGGGTGCTGGAGCAGGGAAAGAGGGCAATTAGTTTGATGTGTGACACACTACACAGAGAATTCTGGAGTAAATAAGCATAGGGAGAGGCTGATCGAAGGAAGGCTTGTAGTCCAATATATCCCAAGAACCGTGCTGTCCGTGGTAATTTTCTCGCCCCCAAGCGTCCAGAAAATACTGCAAGAGAATGTGACTATCTCATAGCAGTGTTTTATGAAATGAACACTAGTCAACTTCTGTCCAAGAATCTATCGTATCTCAAATAAAAGGCCAAGATAAGCCTCCTTTTTGGAGGCATTCAGTTTTGTTTTTGTTTTTTTTCACAAGTCGTGTATCGACGTCATCGCCACTCCAACTCCAGTAGACTGTGAGATGACCAGCTACTTAGTGTAAAACATATATATCTCATTTCTATTGTCACTACCCTTCAAACTCATACTTTGGATACCCATGTGCATCTCGAGGATGATACTTGAACATATGCCCGCCCTCATCATTCGGTTCCGGGTTGGCTGTACGATCTTTTCCGCTAGCCATGAAGATGATATCATGGTTTTTCCCTCCCCATGTAGTGCAGGCTGGGTTCTTGGCCGTTACTACGACGTCTTTCAGGTGCTTGCCTTCTGGAGAAAATACCATAATTCGATGGGATGCAAACACAGCTATCCAAAGATTTCCCTCGGAACTATTAGATGTTAGGAAGTGATCTATGCCGCATTGGTTGTAGTGGGCAACAAAAGGACATGAGAGACTTACTCGACCACCATGCCATCCGGCTCCCCATATGACGCGCGTCTATCCACAAGAAGTCGTTTGTTTGAGATATTGCCGCTCTCCAGATCAAAGTCGAATGCAAAGACCATCATCGCGACCGAGTCATTGAAGTACACTGCCGTTGGTTAGTGAGCTGGTCTCAATTCGCTCTACCAGGAAAGTAGCATCAAGCACATACTGGTTTTGTTATCTGGACTCCATGCGAGCCCGTTTCCGCAAACTATCCCCTCTGTAATCATCAAATGCAAGCTCCCATCCGGATCATATCTCCACAGTCGGCCTTTGGGTGTTCCGTAGCTGGCCGGAAGTTGATTGGGTCCAAATGCCATCGCTCGCTTATCGATCTCCGCCAGCCAGAACCGCCCCTTTGCATCGATTCCTCCATCGTTGAAGCGGAGCTCGTCACGCTGGCTGGTTGGAATGATTTCTTTGACTACCTCGAAATGGCCCGTGGCCTCGTCCAAGAAGCACACTCCTTGGTAGTAGGCGGCAATATAACTGCCAGGTCGATTTTTGCGGAAGAATGCAACAGTTACGCTATCTTCGAGGGGAAGAACACGAGCATCCCCAATTGCATCGCCAGTTTGTGAATCTACCTTGAGGATGTAGAGCTCTGGGGGCTCGGACAGACAGTCCACCCAGTGCAGTGTTGAGTCGCTGGCTCGATAAATCGGAGCTTCACCGAGGACCATGGGTTTGGAACAGTAATACCACGCCTTTCCGCCATTAATGGATTCGAGTGGTTCCGTCATTTTTGCTTTCTGCTTGGTAAAATGAAAAGGGTCTCTAAAGGTCAAAAATCTAGACTGCCTCTTTCTGTATCTATATGTTTTCCTGGGACAAATAATGCTAGTCTCCCCTGCGACTTGCGGGGTGGGGGCAAGTTCGGATTCTCCCTTCCCACATACCCCGCACAATCCCAATCATCCCACGCCTTGCGAGGGATAGAGCCTAATCGACGGGCGTTCCGACGATATCACCGTATCATTGATCAATCCCACGTATCTCGACCAAAATGAGCTAGCTGGCTCTCGGTGAGGGGTAGATGAGCTGCCACCCCCTCGGCCGTTGCTATCGATGTTATCACCATACTGTTGGTATCGCTAAAAGCTCTGTTCGCGAAACATAATAATCAATTCGAGCCATGTCGAAGGTGTTCTTCATCACGGGCGCGGGGAGCGGTATCGGACGAGTCACAGCACGCGAGCTCCTTCTCAAAGGCTACCGGGTCTTCTTAACCGATTACAACGATGCCTTCCTCGAAGATACTTGCACCGTACACCTCCCCTCTATTATTCCCGAAGACAGGCAGGGCAATTTTCAGTGGGCGCAGATGAATGTCTGCGATCAGGGACAAGTCACCAACGCAATTGAGCGGTGTGTTCAGGCTTTTGGAGGCATTGATATCCTAGTAAATAGTCTGGCTTGTCCTTTTTCCTCCTTTCCCTTGGACGCAGTCTCCAATTATACACTGGGAATCTTCAGCTAACCACGTGTGAGGTCAATATAGATGCAGGAATCAATGTATGTACCCACCCAGTTGCGATGGAATTTTCAAGCCTTTCAGAATAACACCGCCCGGAGTACTAAACGTAATATAGAGCCAATACATGCGCGCAGGGATCAGAATGGATCAAGTCCCCACATCGGATTTTGAAAAGATCATTTCTGTTAACTTGGTTGGAACATACCGTGTCTCCCAAGCAGCTATCCCTTTTCTCGAGAAATCTTCTGGGGGCGGTGTTATCATCAACATGTCTAGCTGCCGGGCAACCCAGCAGAGCAAGCATGGTGAGGCCTACGCGGCCTCCAAAGCTGGGATCGAAGGCCTCAGTATGGCCATGTCTGTGAGCTTAGGACCGAAGGTTCGGGTGCATGTGGTGAGCCCTGGCATGGTGGATGTGCGGTCCGAGCGGAATGAAAGCCTTTTGCCAGATGTCCAGACTCTACGGGGCGATCTAGATCGGGATTTCCAAAGCGAGTATGCGCCAACTTGGGGCGCGGGCAAAAGCGGTGCGCTGAGTGAAGCCCACCCGGTGGGCAGGATTGGGAGAGGTGAAGATATTGCACGGTATGTAGAGACGTCAATGGTTCATGGGGTGGGACAAAGTAAATAGGCTAATCTGAAACAACGTTGGGGGGGGGATAGGTGGGTTGAATTCTTGGGTGTTCTAGAAGGCGGATTTACAACGGGTGGGGTATGTATTTGAAACATATATGGAGTTCTTAGTTGCGTACTAACGACAGAACACAGGCTTACTTGGTGGACGGAGGATATTCAAAAGTGCTCTCTTATCCTAGCTAGTGGTTTAAGGTTTGGTTTTGTGGGAAGATAAGGCTGGATAGAATAATTCTATGGCGTCAGTTTGTGTCACGGAAGCCTAGCATACCTTTCAAAATCTCCCACTGGTCGCAGGAAGGAGCTCGCATTGATTTTCCGTTCCCTGGGTGAAACTGATTTACGCGGGAGGATGAGGGGTTAGACGAGGGGTGCATTAAGACCTTTCAACGTACTTAAATAGCACAGGTTTCCCGAATCTCAGTATTCCCCAGCTGATCAATCACCTAGACTCCTCTGAAAAGTTCGCCTGACCTCAACGATATGCCGCAAATCAAAGTTATTCTATTAGGCACAAGTCACCCCCACATCTTTCAACGGTATAAATATCTCCAGGAATCCACCAACATCACACTTCTTGGTTATTACGACAGCGATGATGAGGTCGCTCGACGCATGCAAGACCATGCAGGATGTCGACGGTACAGCGACCCTGGTAGCCTGCTGGCTCTCCACTCCGACGTTATACTCATTCACGGTCGCGATTGCGAGAACGCGAAGTTTATCCGCTTGGCCCTGAATAGCGGAGCGAGAGGCATCTTCGTCGAGAAGCCTGGTGTCGCACAGCCAACTGAATTCTACCCGCTGGCAGAAGAGATCCGTCAACGTAAAAGCACGATCGTATTTGAAGTCGGCTGGGAGCTTCACTACCTCGAAACCGTTGCGTTTGCACGAAGGGTTGTCCGCGAGTCCCTGTTGGGGACCATCACAATGGCTCGATTCCACGGCGGGTGCCCCGGGGGCGCTGGGGCGGAACCTTGGCAATCGGATGAACATAATATCGGCGGTTTCTTCTATAGTCTTGGGGGTCATGTTGTGGAGATCGCCGTGGATCTCTTTGGCCTGCCGATACAGGTCGTCAGTTCGATTCGCAAGCTCCCAGCACAGCCACCTCATAAGGGATTTTCTTGGGTCCCTGGACTTTTCGATGGGCGGGAAGTAAATCCATGGCACGCGATTGGAACGCTGGAGCATGAGGACATTGCATCTGCAATACTGGAGTATGAGCATTTCAATGTGCACTTGGACTTTTCCGCGTGGGAAGGGAGTCGATATTTAAGAGATTGGAGCGTGGAAATCTATGGAGTCCAAGGGTCCTTGCGATTGAACATCGACGGTCCGGGGAGTTGTCTCCTGTTGAAGGAGAAGAGAGAAGAATGGGGTTCCGGGAGAAATGAGGTGTTTTCCAAGAGAGAGGTCGATTTAGCTATGGCTTTCAAGGAGCAGATGGAGGGCTTTTTTCGAAGAGTGGAGGGCATTACACGAGACGAAGAAAGTTGTGATGAGAGCATAGCAGAGAAATTGCTAAGGCTTTACAGTGCTTTGTATGAGTCGGCTCGGACTCGACAATGGGTCTCAATCTAGTAAGAACTATGGTCGGAATTTCTCTAGAGCTAGCTTAGAACTTGCTACCTAATAATATGTTTCAGCATCCTGAAGCCAATAAGGATCCTCCACATTCTCTCCTTTCCAGCAGTCAACAGTACACAAGGAGTACCAAGTCGTAAGCGGGTGATTAAACTCGTCAATAGTGGCCCCGGGCTCTGCAAGAGCCAGGAGAATCGTAGCTTCGGTAGTCAGACTCGGCAGACGTACGGCAACGTTGTATATGCCATTATTAGTCATCTCGGAGCAACTTGTATAAGCATTGCAGGGATTTGTATCAACGAGTTCAAGATGCGCATTCAAGGGCAATAGTAACGTGATTTCCATCGTGATATCACCCTGGACTAGAGTCGCAGTACGATTGTCCGTGCCCAAAGTGATATCCGCAGTCGTATGCCAGCTAGCAGCAATGTCCACTGCTTCGGGCGCAATTATTTCGTCTCGAACTATAAACTGCGAGTCATTGAGAACCCCTACCCCGCGAAGTACGCTGGTCGTGACGTTGGAATATGCCTCTGTGAGGTTCGCAACCCCAAAGCGACTGGATGAGTCAAAGCTACCCGCCCAGAGTAAAGAGTTGTTTGCGGACGGAATCTGATTTGCAAAATGCAGTGCAGTCTGAGCTGTGTCCGAAATGCTCAGAGTATTAGCACCTTCTGAGCGGCAGCGGTAGTATGTCCAACGTCGCGGCGCAACAAAGTAATTTGTGAGACTGTAACTGTCGGAACCCAAAAGTTCAGCCCATCGATATCCCTTATAGTCTATGACGAAGGAGCCAGCGTCTAAATGACCATGAGAGCGTCCGTTGTATCCTCCCATAAAACCATAGAACCAGCCGTTTGAGTTAGTCCACGAGGTTCGGTAGGTCATTCCTGCAACGTTCTCAAACTGCTCATACCGTGGCATATCAGACAGGACATTGGTAGTGTTCAGTGTGGCGTTATAGAAAAGAAATGCCTGGAAGGTTGCCGCTTGAGCGGCTGTAAATCTCGATAACATTCCCTGTAACCATCCGGCCTGGTTGAATCGCGTCGCCCAATACCCGACGCTCCACAAACTGTTGGCATTCGAGAATGTCCACGCTCCATCAGCCCAGCTAAACCCCCCAGTTTGACCAAATCCATGGGTTAACCAAGCGCCCAGGTTCTGCATTCCTGAAAGGCTCGAGATGCCAAGGTCGCTTCCCAGTGCACTGTCCAGCGAGCCCATCATCAGGCCCAAAAATATGCCAGCGTATGTTCCATAGGAGTAGCCCTCGATCCAACCGCCATCAGGGGCATACTGCTCCAAAGAGACTTGTAATTTTGGAACTGAAAAGTCTATGATTTGATTTGCAAGAGTTTCGTTGACATCCCCTACGGCCAGAGTGCCAATGATCAAGCAGCCATGTGTCACCTGTGCCCAATTATTTGTATGCTCACTCCACGAATTGATTGAGGAGTTAAGCGCCGGCACGAAAGACTTTTCAGCCATCGCTGTCTCAATTGCCTCCCGCTGGGCCTCGGTCAATTCATCATATACCCAGTCGTAGCCCAGGGAGACTGTCATGGTGATGTCTGCCGTGTTTAAGAAATTCGATGGATTCCAATCTGGGAGATCGGTTACCGTAAGAATTGTTTCGATCACCCAATCGGAGTAGGCAGTATCATTCGTCAATCGATACATGCCTGCTGTCGCACCCACATTTAGCCGAATGGTGCTGGACCATGAGCTTGACGACGACAGCGATAGAGGAGTCTCAATCGCAGTGTTTGCTGTCTTCTCCAAATATCCAAGAACATTCTGGTAGTACAGGTCTGTTTCGCTCATTGACAGCACAGCTTGGACCCGTTTATCGGTGAACATCAAACGCGGATGGGGTGGGAGGCTTGTGAAGTCAATTGAGGCACCTGCGATCGACGCAAAGGCCAATAACCTCAACATCCCGGCATGAAAAACGAGCATTTTGTCAAGTTTTTGCCCAAACGGTTTAGCGAAGTCCGCAGTACCTTTGCAGGAATACTGTCGAAAACATGGGTATCTGCGTGCGCTTATCTATGATCCCACATGATCTCGAACGATTATCCACCATCCCACATAGCCCGCCGGCTTATTTCGAACCATTAAATTATAAAACTTTAGATTCGGTGTTCAGGAGGTTTTCGATTCCCTTATCTGATAACCTCTCTCCATCCCGTAAATTGCGCGGGATATTGCTATCCGAGCGTTTTACCGAGGGCGGAGCAACCAATATATATGAGGAGAGACTGGGGTTGTGGATGGGGTTTCCGGAGAACCTGGAACAACAGCAGCTCCACACACGGCAGAAAACCAATCTACAATGGACAAAGGAGAATCCCAAGCAATCGATGGAAGCCACACTAATGTTGAAGAAGAGCAAATTATGGCCAATCACAGTAACGATTCGAAGATCCGTTACGCTCGATACAACTCGCCCTTTTGGCAGATTGTGATAGTCAGCTTTGTCGCATTCGGGTAAGATCTATTGAGCTTTCAACCAGTGCTATACGCTAAAGAGTGTGAATAGATGCCCTGGCATGTACAACGCTCTCTCTGGTATTGGAGGAGCTGGTCAACTAGATACCACCACATCGGCCAAGGGTCACATCGCGCTCGCCTCTGTGAGCGCAGTAGGAAACATATTCGTGGCTCCCATTGTGACGAATATTCTGGGCCCAAAGTGGACTATTTTCATCGGCGGACTGCCATACGTGCTTTATGCCGGATCGCTGTTGGCTTACAACCATACCTCAAACCAGGGTTTCGTCATCGGTGCGAGTGCTATCTTGGGTGTTGGTGCCTCGTTGTTATGGATTGCACAAGGCTCGATCATGACCGGGTATCCCTTGCCACAGCAGCATGGAAGGATGATTGGAATTTTTTGGATTATATTCAAGTGAGTTTTGAATAGGATTGGAAGGTTGCTCAGAGTGTTAACCCGAGTTATACAGTCTTGGTGGATTCCTTGGCTCCATGATCTCCTTTGGGTTGAACTTCAGCTCTGAGAGCGGCACGGTCTCCGACGCGACATACATCGCATTCATGTGCATCATGGCTGGTGGCTGTCTCTGTGCACTTGCCTTACTCAACCCGTACAATGTCATTCGAGAGGATAACTCTCGCGCTGCAGTCTCAAAGAAACCAGGTGTTTGGGAGGAATTTATGGGGCTGCTGAAGGTCCTACGTGACTGGAGGGTGATCTCTCTCATCCCATTTTGGATGGCTGCCAACTGTGAGTGTTATTATTTCCTTCTTTTTCCTCATTTAATCCTAACCGATCGCCTATCTAGACGCCTACAACTATCAGCAAAACACCTACAATGCAAAACTCTTCACTCTTCGCACCCGCAGCTTCAACGGTGGAATGTACTGGTTGGCCCAGATGGTGTCCAGTTATATATTCGGCCTTTTCCTCGACAACCAGTACATGAACCGCCGTCAGCGTGGCATCTGGGGTTTCGCCATCAATGCCATCATCTCGATGGTCGTGTGGGGCGGTGGGTTGGCCGCCCAGCTCAAACGCGGGCCCAATAGCGACTATTACGCCCTGAATGAGATGGACCTGATCTCGTCTGGTGGCAAGTACGCCGGTCCATTTTTGTTGTATTTCTTTTACGGTAGCTTCGACGCTATCTGGCAGACGCTGGTCTACTGGACGATTGGTTACCTTTCGCACGAGTCCCCTGAGCAGGCAGCACGGTACGTTGGGGCGTTCAAATGCGCCGAGGCGGTAGGCAGCGCTATCGCATCCAAGGTCAATTCGGAAAAGACAAACTACAATGTGGAGTTTGCAGTAGATTGGGCGTTTGTGGTGCTGGCTTTGGTCTGTGCTGTCCCATTTGTGTGGTCGATTCAAGATGCACCTCCGCACGAGGGTCAGGAGACGGTTTACGTCGAGGGTGATAAAGGGGAACCAACTGGAGCGAGCGCGTAGATTGTAAGATTTTGGGGAATGGTCTTTGATAAGGGAGATTGTTGATTCAAAGCTATGTAGCTAGACCCAAGCCTCGCTCGATCCCCTCAATCTGACTACGGTCGGCAATTGGTGGGAATATCTGTCGGCTGATAACACTCCATGCTCTTTCTGATCTTCAAATCCAAATCGTAGGCATCGCTTAGAATTCCTTCGAGACACTCGAATCTTCGGATCCATCTCAAACATATTATGATTGGCCGAAAGAGTGGAGTAAAAAGAGGGGAAGCCTTCAATGCGCCCCGCAAGTTATGTGCAGCTGGCCGGCATCTAATAATTTGATCGTTCACCCCCATGAACTATTGCAGTAAATGCTGTTCATCCATATGAATATTATTAGTGGAGTCTTCCTCAATCACGGATGATCCCAGGATTAAAACTATAATATCTAGCATGGAAAGCCCACCGATGCGAACCCGGCGCCCCTTCAGCTGCAAGGAACCGGGATGCGGTCGGTCGTTTATCCGCCAGGAGCATCTCCAACGCCATCGTCTCAATCGTAAGGAATTTCCACACCAGACTGTCCAGGAATTCCACCCAATGACTGATTTGACCTGACACTCATGCTGTCTTGTAGACCAACCAGCGGAGATATTCTCCTGTGACCTATGTCCCAAGTCGTTTGTTCGGCAGGATCTATATCGCCGACATAAATTACGCCATGCCAGGGGCATGTTTTTCAGAAACACAGGAGGCATCGTGATTTCCTCCTCATCCGCCGGAATTCCCTCATCGGAGGACCGACCAGGTCTATCGCAGTCGTTTCAAAGCCCTCATGTTCATGTAATGCAGATACAGAATGCTTCGGGAGAAATTCCTGAGCCACTTGCTCCAGAAAAGGTTGTCACATTTCCCACCAAGGACAATGAATTGAGCTCCTTTTGGGCAGGCATTGATCAGGTTCCTAGTCTTCAAGATGGCCTGGATTGGTTCTTTGAGCCTCTGGAGGGTATCAGTGACTTGGTCAACTCTCCCCTGCCGCCACAATTTGAACCCGATGTATCTATTCAGATTCAGCTTCCTACGCTACATGATTCAGACAGTCGACTTAGGGGAAATCCTGCGGATGGAGACGAAGTCGGGCTTTTCCTGGATATGAATCCCGGCATGCACCAAGATAACGACTGGGCTTTTGCGCGATCCAACATGCTTGACTCGCTCAGTCAACTCGATATCCAAGTCTTGCAGTCGCCGTTCTTTGAGGTTGACAACTTGAGAATGTTTTTAAGCCTCTATTTCAAGCACTACCACCCCCATTTTCCGATCATTCACCAGGCAACGTTTTCAGTGTTGGCCTGTCACCCGCTCCTTCTGATTGCAATTCTAGATCTAGGCTCGGCTATGGCAAGAGACGAGATGCTTTTCCATCTCGGACAGCAGGTGCATAATTCTTTACGATTGACAGTTCTCAACGTACGCCAAAGAACCAAATTTCTCTACAAATACGATTTTGAACTAACACTGGCTAGAGCGGGATATTTGAGCCCCCGATCCCTCTCTGGTGCCTTCAAGCGCTTCTCCTAGTTCAGGCTTATGGGAAGATGATCTCATCACGGAAGAATTATGAAATGGCACATATATTCCATGGGACAATTCTCACGGTGTGTTTCTACGGCTCAATCGCCTACGCGATGTCTTTCGATGCAGATCAAGCTAACGAAACCTTATTTCGCGAGAACAGATGATGAAAAGAGGCAGTGTTTACCTGGCAGCTTCCACTTCGCACCCACCCGAGCCTAATGAGCCTCTACAAGCAAGCTGGCGCCGCTGGATAGGCGAGGAATCTTGGCGTCGAACCGCGTTCTTCGCATTTGTGATGGACGCCCAGCACGCCTGCGTATTCGGACATTCTCCGGTGCTCTCGGTGATCGATATGCGCATATCTCTTCCCTGCCTTGAATCGATATGGGAGTGTACCTCTGTGGAGACATGGCAAGGACTGACTCGACCTGAAATGACTGCGTCGCTCTTCTTGCCGACTCTTAAGTCCCTGCTCCGCGAGAATGTGGTTCCACCGCACTGCAGCGAATATGCGCGCTTTGTACTCTTACATGGGCTGATGAGCCTCCAAACCCACCTTCAGGCTGGCTCGAGATTAACACTTGGGATTGAAGTGGGGAGACTCCATGCATATTCAAGGACCTATGATCCTCTTCACCAGCCCAACTGCCCGGGCAGCAGCAGTAACAGCGCACCCATTTGGGCAAACACCATCGACGCCGCCCTAGACACTTGGTCTACCTCTCTCTTCTCACTCCAACCATCACTGTGCCTCGAAGCAGCCCGCCCCTTACACCGTGTGGCACAAATTACTTTACACGTCAGTGTCCTCGATCTTCACGCTCTCGCCATGGATCCCCAGTTTCCATCCCGCCTTACCCAGTCAAATACCGATTCCGGGATCTACTCTGCCAACGCAAATACAACCAAGACGCTGACACGCCTGCAGCGCTGGGTTTACACCGAAGCCGCTCGTAACGCTTGCCGGTACGCGCTGTTATTGGTGCAGGAAACTATGTTCAGTGGGAAGCGCTACTTAGCTCGCGAAGATAATGTCGCACCGCGACCCTGGTGCTTGTATGTTGCTGTGTTGACACTTTGGGTCTACGGCCAGGTTACAGAAGGCCCTGCTTTGGACGGAGAATCTGCTGCCGGGGCTGAGGAATACATGATTCGGATGACAAGAGCAATACAACACGCCGATCCCACGAAACCCATCATCAGCGGTGCGAACCAGATCTCTGGCCTAATCCGGGCTGTGAGGGATGCCTTGATGGGATGTCGATGGGAATTATTGCAAGAGGCACATTTCGTACTCCGGCGCCTCGGGGGCGAGACTGTGCTTGACGCCGGGGGTGATAGAAAGACTTTAATCTGAGTTCTTTTTATTGGTACCACGAAGGGCCGGCTCGCAGTACGAAAAAGGTCCCATTAGGATAAATATTGCTCTACTCTTTAATGTTCCCAAAGTAAGAAAAAATGGGTTTGAGTTGGATTATTCCCCTGGGAAAGGCAACCCACAAGAAATAGTCGCGATTGAAGGAGTTTTTCGTATTCCAGACTCTAGATTGCTATGCTATGGCTTAAAGTGCGGCGCCCTTGATATCCTTGTCCGGGTCACAGGGTTGAGGTCACCGTCAATTCGGAGCCTAACAGATGTATGATACACCCTTCCCCCATACTCTGAGTAATCCAATGAAACGCTTCCAGTTATTGACATTAATTTGCAAACATCAATGAAGTCTCGTCCGGGATAGTGGAAATTTACCCTCCCGCATAATAGCCCGTGCTTTAACGATATCAACACTGCGGGACCGATGAAAATTCCCCTTACTGACATGAAGACCAGTACTGACCACCGGAGACACAATTGTACGGAGGCTGGCACTGAGTAGGGCCAGTATATCCTTGTCCACCACATTGGCCCCATTGAGCAACGAGAGTCCCTCCACTAGAACTAGGGCCAGAGCTCGAAGTTGTTGAAACCGTAACCGTAACCATAGTTGTAGTTGTGGTTGCAGTGGGAGAACTGGAAACACTGAGGTCACTAGCAACCTCCTCAATGAAGCCGCTATTTGCGTACAGCTGGGACATGTCCCACATCATGACTCCTCCAAAGCTACTATACTGCTTCGAATAAGCAATAGCTGCCTTGAGCTGTGACCCACTAGTATAGCCAGCGCCAGCGGCGCCAGTGTTCGCTGGAATTCCCAAGAACACTTTCACATGGGGGTTCAGGCTGCTCTTGGCCCAGTTATCCCACACGTCAAAATTAAAAGCCGTCTGTGTCGAAGATCCCACTTGGAAGTTTGATGTTTCGCACCAGTTATTATAAAATTGCACTAGGACAAGATCGAAAGCCACGCTGTCAAGGGTTGTGCCATCAGCGGCGTCGGGGAATACACACTGGGGCGCAGCAGACAGATAGTATTTCTTATCAACAGCAGCGTCCATCAAGCCGCGAAGCTTAGCACCGAATGCTGGAAGATTGTTGACGGTTGATTCAAAGTCAAAATCAAAGCCATCGACAACAGCGTCTCCAAATGGACGGTCAATTTGCACCCCAGTCAAGGGGCCAAACATATTCCACACAGTCTGTGCCGCATTTTGAGCATCACCAGTGGAAGACCATCCGCCCTGAGTATACGTAGCCCCTCCAAGGGACAAAAGAATGGTCTTGCCGTAGGTCTTCTGGCAGGTTTTGATATCATTTCTAAACAACAGTTAGAGCGGCTATAAGTGGCGAGTTAAGAGAATACATACGAGATTTGGGTACAGTTAAGTAGATTGGTGTTGTCGGGGAATGCAGTGCAGTTATCCCCGGCGTTGGCGAAGTTCGTGATAGGAGGAGTAATTCCGTTCATAAATGCAACAGGGATAATCTAGTATGTCAGTCACTTTGAGTTCAGTAAAAAGACACATTTGCTCTCACATCGATATCCGTATCTGGACGTAAACGGAGTTTGTCAGTTTAGCCGTGATCTTGTCCAAACGCTTGTTTTTATATGAAAACCTACTGGAGCAATAGTAGGCGAGATTCTTCTGAGCAAATGAACCACTACCTTGACCATATGAGTTTTGTCCTAAGCACGAGGCATATTAGCACCATTCTCTATCATAAAAGCAGGAACGTAGGAATATTATCCCACCCCAATATACTGCAATGTTGCCGGACGAGCTAGGATCAAACCCAGCGCAAACAAAGGGTATTATGGTTGAGACAAAGCCCAGAATGAGCGATACGGATGCCATTTCTGCGGGAGATGAATGAATGTAATACACTTCCAAAAGCGAGAGGTTCTCAAAGGAAATCGATGCCGCTGCTGTTGACGATGATTCGGAGGGTTTTCTAGGCTTGGTTTATATGACCCGACCTTGGATTCTACCAGAGAGAGGCAGCATCCGGGAGACTTGTCCTCCGAGGGGCGAGAGTAGAGTAGCGTAGCATAGAGAACTCAAGGTTTGGTGCTATGTCACGTTAAAATCCTCCAGCGTCTCGCAGTTTCAATGTATCTGAAAGGACTATAGCAGAGACGTCTCCAACGAGGATCTGGATATTTTGAACCGATGTTACTCCAGGCTCAGGGGAAATAGTAGTAATTGAATACATAGTGTCAGGGATGGCAGGGTGGATTTTTTAGTGTCCTGCAACGCTCAGATGACATGCACCGCGAATGGAATGTATCGCTCCAGTGATATGTAACATACGAATGGGTATGAATGAAGCGAAGCAGGGTCAACTGACGTTTAATATCAAGCATAAGATGGAATTTAGTCCGTGGATGACTGTTTTGACATAGGCAGTAGATGATAAGACCAATTAGATGCAACTTTACGATGAATCTTATCTTCGGGGTGACATTCCAATGGAACTTAGTGGCTGAAGAGATCAGGGGCACGCAGTCACTTTGCCAGTCATTTTGCCAAGTAGCAGTGATGCCGCCAATTACACTTCAAATTTCAAGATGTTGCATTAGATCTTTGAACGTGACGGCAGACCCCTTTCGCCCCCAAAAAGTCATTTCCCTCGGGTCTCGTGTTCTATTGTACGTCGCGTCATTCTTGCTTTTACAACTCTCAGTATGGAGCAGTGTTGAAATTTTCAGATAATCGTCATGATCCTACTTCATTTTTTCTTTGATTTGAATTCTCCTACTTTGAGCCTCGGCCAGTGAAGATAGCAAGATAGCTGCTGATGAAACGCAGTGGCGCTGAGCCGTCCCCTGCTAACCCCGCTCTCCTCTCCTTGTTCATCCCCGCCCTAGCGATCGTCACCTGTGTCTATATCAACCCGGGATGCTACATCATCCAGTGAATAGGAAATATTAACGGGGTAATTTACTTTTTACGCCAGGTGAGCTCGTCTTCTGGGATATCTCCAATTGTAGATGCTATTACAAACCAGCACTCGTATTTGGTACTCCCCAACGTCAAGGGTCTCTTATAACGTTAACAGGTAAGAAGACTGGCACAATCTATTCTTTACCTAATTTCTTCTTGATTCATATAAGCTCCAAAAGTAGGTAGACACACTAGAATATTTGAGAAGATCAGGAATTCAATTATGAGCTTAGCTACAATCGTAAGGTCAACAACGCTACTGAGCTTGGTAGTTGGTCACTATAAGCCAGCCTGTTCCTAGATTGCAGCGATGTAATTACTAAACATGGTGACCAAGGTCATGCTGATAACTATAGGATGCGTCTACTAATGCCGATACCTACAAAGGCACCCTTGTCGGGATTCCCGGATTTCTTCAATCTCTACGGTCTCAATGCCGCGACTAAGAAACCCAGTCATTTATTTTCAATTGAAACCCTGCAATGAATTCCGGATGCTGCCTCCTGTATAAGGTTCTCGGTAAGCATGTTGACTCTATCATGATCAAACCTGTTACACAAAAGTGAGACCTTACGTGGGTACATCGAAGCCCGCAGGAACAAAAGCTTGTTTTCAGCAGTGGTTGCGAAATTCGGTGGATAGACCCATTGACAACGAAAAATAATCTAATCATCCTCACTGCATGTACAACTGCTGGCATCGCGCTATCTTACTTAGTTACTCAGACTTCGAACACCAGCTCTCAAATCAGTCGATTTTTGCGCGATCGCTAGAATGGCAGTATCTGTGGGTATATAGACATGGTCCTTAATCTCGGTCCCGAGTGCCACTTAGTTTACTACATAATCTACTTTGTTAGTAGGCAGGAAGTGACTGATGACATAATCTACTTTGTTAGTAGGCAGGAAGTGACTGATGGACCACTTTTGAGCAGATGATGAAATTTTCGAATGTCTCCTAGGCGCACGTCGTGGACGAAATCTTTTCCAATGACTGACTTTTCGAAACTCTGTCCTAACTAGCATGTAGCAGGATCCAGTGTCTATCTTACGACTTTACCTGAACCTAGGTAAAATCTCGTGGAAGTAGGAGAAATATTTTCCGCTACTCCTATAGAAGAAATTGAGCAACATCAAAAGAGGGTGGAAAACGATACTCCTTTCTGGAAAAAGATATGGATGGGATCAACTTTGTCGTTAATAGAACATTATCAAAACCATGAACTAACATCCGCCCCTAGTATGAAAGATGAGGTGCGAGAAGGATAGAAGACATCAACCAAGCTTTTTCCGAATGCAGGCGTCGATTAAACGCTAGGTGAGGAACCTTGCACTCTCAACCAACTGTAACTTTGGCGACTACAAATTCCAGATTAATTTCGCAACTGACTCGTTCGTCAAAAGAACCATCCAACTCACAGGTTTAAAGTCAGTCATGATATCCCGTCCAAAGACATGGTAATGTGCGGCCGTATGCACCGTTAACGGAGGACACAGAGCGAGATATATGGATAAAGAATTTGGAGCACAGGGGAAGGGAGGGTGGGGGAGAACAAGCGCCTAGTCGCAGAAAGATCTTTGAGCTCTACGGCCTCCTCGCCTCGTAATACCTATCTATAACTATATGCTCCCAGTCTAGACCTTCCTTTATCACTAACCTAGCTACATAATTATATAGGCCCTTGATATGCCAGCCCCACGTTGACCTACTGAGGTTATTCCGTGGGCTCGATAATAGTATTCCTCGGCTTTCTCCAAGACTATCCCTATTCCTCCTATTTCTTGCCAATGAGTAATTTCAAGTCGTTCTAGACCTTGCGACTGTTATCCAGTCGTTAACGATGTTCCTCTCATCTTTTTGAGCGCACATTCTTCAGGGCATCATTATTCCTTTTGTTATAAGGCGAATCGTGTGAGTGTAGAAACCCCTATAGCCCGTTAGCGCTCGTGGTTTACGAATTCCATCATCTGTGGAACCTTCAGATAGTATGTAGTGCGAGTTTTTTTTCTCGTGGTGGAGACCAGATCGGCTTGATGGAATCTGGGGTGGGCAGATCGATTGGTTGATCAATCCGACTTTATGTATGAACACAGTGGACAGCCAAGAAAAGGTCCGCATGGAGCAACAAGCCAAGCGCTTGCAGACTTAAGCGAGGGCCACGTGGACTCGAGCTGCCTGATCGGTAGAATGATCCTGATTGTTTTTCCCTCTATTTTGTTGCTTGGACCCCACCTCTACGATCTCCCGCTTGATGATTGGTGATCGAGAGAAGATCGGGACTGGGGCCTGGGGTTGGCAAATGGAGTGGTGGGATCGGTCGCGACGAATCAAAAGCGTATTACAAGCTCTGGGAGAACATCAGCTTTCTCGGCTATATTTCTGCATGACGCCACTTACGAGGTGAGGCTTGGAAGCCTAAAGCGTTAAATACTCCTGAGATGCTTCCTCGTATTCCGAGGACGGCTCAATTTTCATTTACAATCTAACAGCCGCCAGGCACATTCTCATTTGCTGTGGCAAGATCATAATCGACCATTCATCCGAGCCACATTGCGCAGCGCACGATGAATGTACAAACTGTTGTTGGTAGGTTGATCTATTTTATCGAGCGTGCCGCATTAATGATTTGCGATATCCGAAAGCTAAATCCTGAATAGCACGGTCATTTGGCTATGTGGACCCTAACTTCGCCAATCCCGGAGGACCGAACGATACTAGCATCATCATATACGGGTACACACCATCCATCGTCATCGCGGCTTTCGCCGCAGCATGGTTCTTTTTTCACTTGATAACCCACACAGCGCAAAATTGGAAGTATCGCAGCTGGTGGTGGATGACTTTTTCGACTGGCTTGGTCTTTGAAATCATAGGCTACATTGCAAGGAGCTTATCAGCCAAGAGGGACCCGTACAACCTCATCTACTTCGTCCTTAACTATTTCTTCGTCGTCACTGCACCGGTTTTTCTCGCTGCTGGAATTTACACCGTCCTTTCAGCCCTTATTTCCAGACTGGGAAATGAGTACTCATTTCTCCGGCCAACGGTCATCCTGGGATTTTTCATTACTTCGGATGCAATTTCAACCATCGTGCAAATTGCGGGCGCCACCCTCGTGGGCGTAAAGGAGTCTCGACGTCAAGATCCCACAACTGCGAACAACATCCTTCTAGCAGGTCTTGCCTACCAAGTATTCGCTATGAGCATTTTTGTCCTGCTGATGGCAACCTTCCAACTTCGAGCTCGACACGCAATTAAGGAACATGGCCTTCAAGTCTTTTGTCTGTCTTTCTCGGTCTCGACCCTCATGGTCTACATGCGTACAATCTTCCGTCTCACCGAGACAGCAGAGGGTCTGGGAGGGAAGCTGTCAACTCATGAGGTGTATTTTGCCTGCCTCGAATTTGCGCCCATCGCGCTTGTGGCTCTTCTTTTTTGTATCTGGCATCCCGGTCGCTGCCTCGGAGCCAAGTTGCGTGTTCACAACGAGAAGCTGCCAGTTAGAAACAACCCTGGCACCCCTGCTGGTCATTTCTACTCTTAAGCAGACTTTCAACCCTTCTTGGCTCTATATTTACCTGGAAATACGTTCCAGGCCCTCTCTGCCTGAATATAATGTTAATATTAAGAAACCCTTGGTAACATTTAAACTTGACAGCCGATGGTATGATCTCTTTATTCCCGTTTTAATTATACAAATTCAGAAAAATTAGATCAAAACTTAATTCATTCTAGCTGTTCGGATGCGAATGGCCGATGCATAGAAAATCCGGCATTGCCGTTAAGGCTACGATTATGTCTTTATATTCTCTATTTGGTATAAATTATTGCATTTAAACCTTGCTAAGAATTCTATAGGACACTGTAACCTTATCGCTCTTTTGAATCGCATCATTGCTATCAAATAAATCATGATTTGCGTAAGGTGAGCCATGGCCTGGTCATGACAAATCTAACCGAGGTAGTCAACCACGCAAATATGCTTTTAATTGGATGGGTGAGATCGGTTATCCATTTTAATCAAGCCAGTGATATTTAACAACTAATAATGGTATCAGGTACTCAATTATGTGCGTTTGATAATTAATGCTACGGGCGTTCCGGACACGGTAGGCATAAGTACTCTCCTTACCCACTCCTATTTTTCCATCAATGACCGACCTTGTGATCTAGATGGTCTATTGTGTAAACAATGCTCTTATTTCACAATCAGCGATATTTCTTTGACGTATCCAAGAGGCGCTTTAAATCGAGAATAGCCCTTATCAGGACAACAATGGAGCTTTAGGGGTCAATAACAATGATAATAACAAAGACTTAAATAAACATAAAGGGAACAGAGGTCATGCTGATCTCCCCGTCCTTTCTATATCATCAAGAACCTAATTTTAACTTTCACGATCACTCGAGCAGTGCCTATAAGAACATCACTTTCTCGCTTGATCAAACTCTTCACTATCAATAGTCCGGTCAGCAAGTGCCTCTTCAGCGTTTTCTGTACATCCAAAAAAATTTCACTACGAACCACCTTCGACACCACTCGAATATATCACGAAACATGTCTTCAGTCGATCGAAGCACCTACAATATCTGGGTGGCAATTTGCAAGCAGCAGAACCCTAGAGGTCCCATTCATTGGATGATTCTTATGGGTCATCCAGGGGCGGATCGATGCACGCGGTTCCACTGTACTGGCTACCCAGGTAATTATGAGGTTCAAATTGAGGCTGGCAAAAGACTCGATAGTTGGAGTCTAGAGTCAAAGCACTTCATTTCTCGAATCCCTGCATCTTATGGGGACACGGTGTGGGATGAAGCTGAGGCTATTCCAGCGCAAAGCTGCCAATGCTGGGTTTCGTATCTTTTGTTGAGACTTGAGCGACGTTATCTAGTTCCCTGTGGGACCTATGATCATTGGGTTCGTTTTCATATGACCTCCCGTCGTGAGGATCGGGGGCTAGGTTGCTTGTGCAGGTAAGTTCATTTGGTCTCATATTCTAGTCTTTGGTCCAGGATCATAGGTTGTTGGGTGACAAGTTCTGACATAATCGAGCAATCAATTCCAGTCATCTTATTCGATTTTATAATAGTTCAATTAGCCAACACCCTGATAAGCGTGTATTATCTCATCATTCTAACATGATATATAGTATTATTCTTCCACAACGCTACTTGGTCATGTCACACCCAAGGGCCGCACTAGGTTAAATATCTTGCGTAAAGTTTCCCCGGCACCGAAGCATCTCTGTCATTCAAGACTCTTTTATATCCGATTCGATCATATATTGCATTGCGGTCATTAGTAACATCACTTGAGATACACAAGGCTTCCGCTAGGTAGGAATGAAGTGTTTGGAGTCATTCTCCTGTTGACTGAATGATTGGGGGAAGGCAGCAATTCCACCGACGATACCGATGGCCATGAACAGAAGAGAAATGATGGACCAGACGACACCCCAGCATTGCGAAGAGCCTCCATATTTGCGAGCGAAAACGCTGGCATCGGAGGAATTCACTTTGCGGAGAATGAGGTCATCGCACTGGATAGTTTGAACGTTAGTACTGGAGGTCTGGCCAAACTTGATCCTTGGAGGACTTACAATATCCCAGACACTGTAAAGGGCAGACATGACGCCGATGAAGAGCTAGTGAGCGTAGTTAGATATCGGTTTTTGTAGCGCATACATGCAAATAATTTTCTCGCGGTTCAAGCACTTACCACAACCCATCTCAGGGCCTCGCCGTGAGCAATGAACCAACATGCCACCAATAGACCTACTGCCAGCAGAATCGTCATGATGGTCAACCAATCTCTCCGCGCCCACCACAGAGTTAGGAGAAAGCAGACGCCGAGCACGATACTCGCAATTTTGCTAGCGACAATATCGAATCCCGCAAAAATCAACAAGGCGCCGATGATGGACGAGCCAAGATATCCTGCCGGCAGAGTAACGGCGCTGATGCCGCCTTGCATGTGGGTCACGCCGCCCTCGTGAGGATCGAGCGAGATTGACTTGACTCTTCCACCCGTGCAGCACGCGGTGATTGCATGGCCAAATTCATGAAAGGCGATGACCAGCATCTTCGTATATTGTCAAATCTAGGCATCCACATTTAGGTTTTGGAGGAGTTAACTCACCTTGAACGGCCACAGCGACCATCGCACGTAGGGTAAGTTCCAGAGGAGCGCGATCACGACAACATAAACGGCCATAATACCCAGAGTGATGGCTTGCGTATGGTTCACCGTGAGAGTGCGCTTGATCAGGTGCGGGGCCAAGTCGGCGGCCCGACCACCGAGGGCTGAATACACAGCGGGCATGCTGATGGAAACAAAAGAGGGCGCAAAAGGAAGACCGAGAAATCGAGAGGGGTATAGTCCAAGAGAGAGGGTAGAGCCCAATATTTCTAGGGGTTCGATAGTTGAATAAAGTGTTGGATGAAGGGGGGAAGTTGTCTTTTGTGTTGTACGCGCGGAATGGGAAAATGGACGCGCATGCGCCTTTGTTTGGTGATGTGGCGGATGACCTTAAAGGGGTATAGCGGGTGTGGCTTAGCTCGTCCCCCGGGCAATTCTGTGTATTACATAATGACATTTCATCCTATTTTTAGTTTCAGAGCCCATATAGTCCTTCAGCCCTACGGTGATCATAATTGCAAAACCGGCCAGGCACTACACTACCTACTATACTACTACTGTCTCTTTGAGATTGAGGTAAACCCATTCCATGAATAATCGTCACTTTCCAAAAGGTTCGCATCGTCATTTCCGCGTGATTCTAGGTAGTACGTGGCTATGTGACACGTATTTCTTTTCTCTAATGTTGTACAGAGGTCAAGACAACTGGAAGGATGTCCATTCCATCCTTCTTGACGTATATTATTTTGCTAGCTGGATCCACTCCCTCTTCATGACCCTGATTTAATAAGAACTTGAACTACTTTCCCATTGGGCCTATAGCTAAACCATGGCGATATCACGAGCCCTTCCAATGACCCACCCAAGATATATACTTTGACAAGATATCGACATCTTCACTTCAACACTAATGAATCTTCCATCTTGCTGTCATGGTATTAGAACGTTGTAGTTTTAAATCAATAATTCTCTGATCTAATTCCTCTATTTAATAGGATTACGCTTAAGTTGCCTCTCTCTGGCACTGCCCCTTGTTGTAAATACAAAAGGAAGCTTAATTCTTCTTCTTGAGGAAGTACATGAGGCTATATATACAGCATGAAGTCCAAGTTGATTTCCAATCAACTTGGTTCTTCCTATACATAGAGCAGGAATTATTTCCGATGTTGCGGCTTCATTCCTGAGCAGCAAGTGCCATGTATCACAACACCCCTAACTGGACCGGGTTCACTTCCAGGTGAGTTGGCGACTTTCAACCCAGCAGAATCTCGATTCTACCGTAGGAAAACGATTAAATTGATTTAGATTAACCTAACTAATTAGATTAATAGAACTAAAATTAAATATACGTTAATCAATAACTTGTTAAATCTTCTACTAATTCTAAGACTAATCTTAAGACTAATCTTGTCTATACGTTGAGAATACTTGGTTCGAGCAGTATAGGGCGGTGGAAGAAGCGGTGAAGGCACTCTGTAGGATTTGGGGAAGCGAACCCCAAGAGTCCGCCGTAACGGGCCTTCTTCCAAGGTTGTTGTTAAATTCCTGCCTCTTTTTCTTGTGATTACTTCATGCCAACGAGTTTATTCAAGACGGGGAATTCCCCCTTTTGAATGGATTGTTGACGGATGGACGGTCCAAACGCGACGAATGCGACCCTGACTGGTTTGGATTCCCCCCGCAAACCGACCGGCTTCTCCTGAGAATGATGAAGATCAACATGCGGGGGAAACCCCCAGGGTTACTCTCCTCCACCTCCACCTTCCCTCGTCCGACGATTATCCCGCTCGGGGGTATCTTGAGACGTCCTCGGAGAAATCTGGATTGGAAATGACCGTCCCTTCGACCTCGTCGCAACCGAAGAAGCCCCGCGAGCCCATTTCACCCTTTACATACCCTCCATCTTCAATGATACCGTTGTCTACTGGCGGGCTTCTGCATTCATAGACATGGCTGTCATTCTACTAGTTCTGCTCACTCTGGTGGGAGCTGTGGTCGCCAACCCAATAGGTCCGGTTGGGAGCGAATACAAGCGTGATACACCCAACTATCATGCCGATGCGGGTGTGCTCAAGCATGTCAATCCACGTATCGGAACTTATGGCACATCGCCGAACGACAACGGGGGGATGATTCCATCGGTCGCGCCACCTTTCAGCATGACCCGCTGGACACCACAGACGCGGGAGAATTTCATCTCCCAGGTCCCCTACGGAGACGGTGATCGCCAGATACATGGATTCCAAGCAACGCACCAGCCGGCCATTTGGATGGGTGAGGCGGGTCAGGTGGTGTTGACCCCGGGCCTGGGAGACGTGCAACCGCTCTTCCAAAACCGAGGATTGTCATTTCGCAAGAAGGATGAGCACAGCACGGCTTATGTGTATGAAGTCTTGGTCGACGCGACACAACTGATGGACCAGGACTGGAATGCCACAGCAGAGGCCGTCGGCGATGGTCCTGTTCCGGGAGGTGCAGGTACGGTCCCAGACACCGTGGAAGAAGGTATTGCATCGCCTCCATTTTATCACGGATAGTCTTGGGAGCATGATGGAAACTGAGCTTGTTATCAAGGTGCAAATGGACGGACGCGAAAGCGCGAGATACAACCGGAGCCACTGAGCAGCAATGTCTCTGACGAAGGTGCTTACCGACGATCAATCCAGGTATACATCCCCCGGTCGGGTTATTATTTATAGAAAGATGATCATTACTGACTGCCCCTCAAGGCTGCTCTCTCTGCAGACTCTCACGTCGGACACCTTCGATTTGATTTTAAGCAACGCGGCGAAGTATCCGACAGTCGAAGCCTTCAACCCTGGGTTTTCATCGAAGTCTCTCGACGGAACTGGACGGGGGAGGTTCATATCGATGCTGGGCGCAGAGAGATATGTGGGTACAATACCGAGAGACAGGACTATCTCCTCGGCCCTGACCGTGCATCTTCTTTCAAGGGTTACTTTGTTTCCCGATTCTCCGAACCTTTCGCGGAAGTTGGGGTCACCAACGGCAGCCAAATCGTTCAGAATGTGTGCAAACGACATGGTAACTTCACAGGGGCCTATGTCAAGTTCCAGCGGGATGTGTCCCGCGTCGAAGTCCGGACTGGAGTGTCTTATGTCAGTGTTGAACAAGCACGAAAGAACTTGGACATTCAGATACCGGACGACGCAACCTTTGAGAGCACAGTTGAAAATGTGAAGCAGAAATGGCTAGAGAAACTTGGCCGCATAAGAATTGATGGGGTCAATGATACTGATTCGGACCAAGATCCTCGGACCATTTGGTACACGGGTCTTTTCCACGCACTCCAGTATCCTAGTGACTTTTCGGAACCGACCTCTAAGGATAAGGATGGCGCTCGCGTATTTTATTCGGGATATACGGATCAGGTACACCGGCAAAATGATTCCTACTATCAATCATGGTCCATCTGGGACACGTACCGGGCAGAGCATTCCATTCTCGCCCTGTTCGCCCCGGAGCGAGTGAACAGTATGATGCGGTCCTTGCTCCGCATCTTCGACTGGTCTGGGTGGTTGCCCATGTGGGCTAACATGGTAGAGACAAACATCATGATTGCTACCAATGCAGACGTGGTGCTCGCCAATGCCCTGCAACGCGGGTTCCGTGGATTTGACATTGACAAGGCATGGGCTGCCGTTCGAAAGGATGCATATACTCCGCCAGATCACGATACGGAGCTTCTTTATTACGATCGAGAACCAGGCACTTCCTACGAAGCCCGAGCTGGACTCACTGCCTACATGAAACAAGGCTGGGTGTCTAACGATGGTTGGGCCGAGTCTGCGAGCCGTACACTGGACTATGCATTCAATGACTATGCATGCTCCATCGTTGGGAGTCACGCTAGAGCTGATCAAGGAGTTATCACGGCACTTCGGGACCGCAGTCGAAATTACGCCAACCTCTGGAACAATGAAACTCAGTTCATGCAGGCTCGCAATGGAAATGGGACATGGGCCAACAACACTTGGGGTTGGACAGAAGGTGACGATTGGGTGTACACATTTGATGTGATGCACGATGTGGAGGGACTTGCGAAGCTCTTCGGTAGTCGAGAATCTATGCGTGACAAGCTGGATGCGCATTTCCAAGGAGGACACAATGAACAGAGCAATGAGCCGAGTCATCACGTTCCTTACCTTTACTCGGTGCTCGGATACCCCTCGCAAGCCGCGGAGGAAATCCGAAATATCGCCTGGACGAACTACAACGCCACCAGTGGCGGGCTCAGTGGCAATGAGGATCTCGGTCAAATGAGCGCTTGGTATATATTCTCAGCTCTTGGCTTTTATCCTGTCAATCCTGCCAGCGACGAGTACGTGGTTGGCACGCCTTTCTTCGAGAAGATATCCATCCGCCTGCCATCCGAAGCATCTACAGGAGGTGTTATGACCAACCAGCCAGACAAGGTTCTCGTCATTAGTGCCCCTGGTGCACCCACCAAGCCATATATCAAAAGCTTGAAAGTTGATGGGAACCAAGTATCCGTGCCGATTCTGCAGCATAGTCAAATTGTTCATGCAACGGAGATTGAGTTCGAGATGAGCGAAGTCCCTACATCGTGGGGCACGACGCCTTCATGGTAAAACACGGCAAAGCCCGCAGGCTCCACTGCGATTATTCGATTATCCTGCTCATTCGGCACTTGTTTCTTCCCACTGGCCATGGGCCGGAGAGACTTGTAGCGCTTGTAAATATTCTTTCTACGAAAGCTTTGATTCTCTCAATCTTTGTACCTTAGACATGCGTCGTTGCAGCAAGTTCTCAACTCGTAAACCGAGTGTATCTGGGAGTGACTTTGATCTTTCTTATACCGTGTGTGATGGTGAATCCTCTGCCGTCTCAACTTTCTATGACGCCATTTCACCTCCAGGACTCCGTAGTCGGCGATGGAGCGAGTGCAGGAAAGTGGAGAGAGCAGCCTCAGTACGGAGTCCCGCAAGCCCCCACGTTTTATTAACCGGCCAATTGAGTGCAATCTTCATCAGTAAGTAGATGGAATGTTACACTGATGAGTGACTTGTTTTCACAGCCAGAAGTCTTGATAGTTTCCTTGGAATGTACTCGAGCAGGCAGTACTGACCACTCAAAAGCTGACACTAACCCCCAGGCATGGTAAAGAATCATCCTGCTTACATTTCAAATGCAAGAATCTGCTGCATCTCCACGGCTGGCGCCCCCCGCCCCCCCCCCCCCCGAGAAACCCCATTAACTCATCACTAAACTGGGGACGGCAATTCATTCAACAGGGCCGGTCGGCAACTCTCCGAACAAGAAGCGGAGACATCGACACGAGCCGAGCATAGGCGACGATTGTGGGGCAAATGGCGCCACCTGCGTGGTTAAACGGCCAACGACTTCTCGTCACAACAGCTGATCTTCATTTACATTTACGCACCTTCGGCCTAGTTGCTTGTCCTGTCGGGTTTCTGGTCATTTCTACAGTTGCGGTCGGCAGCATCGACTCGGGATTATGACGTGCAGCGGCAGCTCGATCAAACGATTACTCTGGACATGCCGAGAACGATGACCCCGGCAGGATCTCTTTAAATGACAGGTTCACCGCCGGTTGATCCTTGTTCTTTTGCTCGATCCCTGGCCTGAACTAGTCATCTTGTGTCCAATATCACCCCGTTGCGCCCACAATGTTGGGAATACCCAAGGCATGGATCTGGACAGCCATTGTTGCTGCGTCTGTGCCGTCCTCTCTTGCAACTCAGACACCGTTGGATCTTGGAAGTGGTTTCAGCCTTGCGATCAATGAAAGTGCCAATCACCTCGCCATCTCTCGTGGAGAACACACCATCTGGGAGACCATTCCCAATCAGTCATTTCTCAGTGCCAGCGCGGGGTCCGACCAAGTCATCGGCTCCAGTGGTAACTTCAAGATCAATGAGGTTGATCGCAGCAAATGTTCTGGGCAGCGTATCAGTCGTATTGCCCAGAAGACATGGCCAGGCAGTGCTAGCAACCAAGCAGCTGTGATCCAAGGGTTGCTCACTGGCTGTGGCAACAGTTCAGCCCCATTTTCTCTTGCGCTTTGGGTACCTACCGAATTCCCAGACCGCATCGCTTTCCATATCGACTTGAACCCTGATTCTGCTTCTAATGACCCCGAGACCAAGCTATTCTTGACCTACCGCTCCTCGCCATCCGAGGATTTCTACGGTCTGGGTGCCCAGGGATCGTTCGCCTCATTGAAAAACCAGTCGGTGCCGATCTTTTCGCGAGAACAAGGTGTGGGTCGCGGAGATCAGCCAACTACGCGCCTCGAGAGTGCAGACAGTTTCTTCGCTGGAGGTGATCAATTCACCACTTATAGCGCAGTACCCCAATACATCTCATCTCACTCGAATGTATTTCACCTGACGGAGGAAAGCACTGCCTACACGAACTTTGATTTCCGCAATCCGAATGCTGTAACCGTACGATATGCTGCTTTGCAGGTCGATGGCTACTTCATGCAGGCGAGCAATATGCTGAATGGTATTACCATGCTTACGGAATATACCGGTCGGATGCCGGAGCTTCCGACCTGGGTGGATTCGGGTGCAGTCCTTGGAATCCAGGGTGGCCAGGCAAAGGTGAATCGAATTGTCGAGCAAGGACTTCGACAAGACTGCCCCATCGCTGCCGTCTGGCTTCAGGATTGGTAAGACTGCCATGGCCAGATTTTGTACCGTTCATTTATTGACGTTTACTAGGTCTGGCACTCATACCCAGAGTGTGTCGTATATGGCTCTTAACATCTCCCGCCTATGGTGGAATTGGGAGTATGATTCAGAACTCTACCCAACCTGGCCAAAGTTTGTGCAAAACCTGCGCAACAAGCACAATGTTCGCACATTGTCCTATATCAACCCCTTCCTCGCCAACGTCAGCACCAAGCCCGATGGTTATCGCCGCGATCTCTTCTTGGAGGCCGCAAAGGGAGGCTATATGATTCAGAACGCGACAACGAACGACACTTCGATTGTTTCTAGTGGCCCGGGTATCGAGGCAGGAATTCTTGATCTTACCAACCCCGCAACTCGCTCATGGTTCCGAGATGTCCTGATTGACCAAGTTTGGAGTGCCAATGTGTCTGGTTATATGGGTGATTTTGGTGAATATACCCCGGTGCTCGCAGACACTCGATTTGCCAATCGCAGCATCGACCCTTTGTTCTACCACAATGAATATCCTCGAGACTGGGCCAAGCTACACCATTCCCTGACAAAGAGTGTCTCGAGTTTCTCCGACGCTATCATTTTCCACCGCTCATCGTCGCTGGCTGCCAACCGCTACATGAACCTCTACTGGGCCGGTGACCAGAACACCAACTGGGGTGTCAACGACGGAATCAAATCATCCGTGACTGTCATGGGTCACATGGGATTGTCTGGATATGCGCATGGACACATGGAGGTCGGTGGTTATACCACAACGTGGGACAGCAATGGAATCGTCAATCGATCTGCAGAGTTGTTGGGTCGCTGGGGAGAGTTGGCTGCTGTGTCTAGTGCGGTCTTCCGCTCCCACGAAGGTAATGTGCCCCAGGTCAATGCCCAGTTCTATACCAACTCTTCGACATACGCATATCATGCCTACAATTCCCGAATGTTTGCCAGTCTGGCAGCCTATCGTCGCAAGATTCTGAACACGGAGAGCAAGAACCTGGGATGGCCTTTGCTGAGAATGCCCGTCATCTATCATCCAGATGATGCGAAGGCTAAGGCCATTAGCTATGAAAGCTTCTTCATGGGTGCTGACTTATACGTTGCACCCGTTCTCGATCCGGGCCGGAAGAGCGTGGATGTGTACCTGCCTGGTCAAAATGAGACATACACTCACGTCTGGACCGGGCGGAAATATCACGGTGGCCAGACTATCAAGGTATGGGCCCCTTACGGCAAGCCTGCAGTATTTGTTGTGGGACAGCCAAAACATGATTACCTGAAGGGCTTCCTGGAGTTTGTTCAGAAAGAGAATGGGACTGTTATTCGCGTCTGAGCAAAGGCTTGATCAGGCGTCTCGAGCGACGAAATGTTACGACTTTCACAAGGTTGCCAAATAACCAGCCTTTCAGTCTAGGTTTAAAATCTCTGTAATAACACTTTGATGCGTCTCGATTGATAGAGGACGGAGTTTATGAATTTGAAAATGTCCGATGAGATTTATCCTACAAATTCAGATTTCCACATCAGGCAAAAAGCCGACGAAAGGCTGGATGGATGCGATCATTTCGGGCGTGCCACCGGGATCTACATAAGTATGATACGTCAGTAAGAACAGACCGTTATCGGGGTTACATTTCCCCTCATCGATATGCGACACCCCGCTAAAAGATCAACAGTTAACTTGCGAAGCCATTCTACAATAATTCAGTGTCTGAAATCATGGTATCTCATAACCAGGATTAAATAGATGATCACACCCGCCACCCAGACGAGTAATATTTGTTCAGTGGTTGCGTAAGAAAACAACACGCTTCAACACTGATAATGAGGCTCCCAAACTTCAATAGTCTGTATCTGCAATTTACAGGTTATTTCTATCTGATAGGGCCTGCTCAAGCGAGCTCCAGCCGTAAGTCCCGAATACTGACATTCAAGAATCTTGCTTTTCTATTTTTGACTATTCACACTTGAAATAACAGTGGTTCCTTTCGCATTCGAGCCCCTGCCTCTGGGGAGCATCAGCCCAAATGGATGGCTTCGCACAGAACTTGAGACATCTGCCGCTGGATTAGGAGGACATCTTTATGACTTTTGGCGATTTGTGGCAGACTCAACTTGGATCGGAGGTGCCTCGGAATACAGTGTTCTCAACGAGGCTATGCCATACTGGGTGAACGCCCTCGTTCCACTCTCGTACACCCTACCGGATGAACGGTTAAAAGCTCAAGTACATTCTGTGGTTGATACAATCTTGGATCGTATTCAACCGGATGGCTGGATCGGACCCGAAACCCTTGCCGGAGGAGAGCGCATGATCTGGGCAAGGACATTGCTATTCCTAGGGTTGACTAACCTCGCCGACGCAAATTCAACGTATCAAGTGCCGATTGTCAATGCGATGCACCGGTTTAATGCTCTCATGAACTCGATGTTGAAACAAAACGGCACTGGAATGATCTATCATGAGGGCGACAAGCCTAGCGCTAACGACTTCTCCTGGTTCCGTTCACGGGCAGAAGACATGATGGTCAGTTTGCAGTGGCTGATTGATTATCACCCTGGAAATCAAAGTGCAGTCCTGAAAGAAAATATTGATATGCTCCATCAATTCGCCGATAAATGGGAAGGCTGGTATACCGAGGGCAGCTACATCAAGGAGGATCTTTATAACCTCCCGGAGTCTGTTACGGACGATCAGTGGGCATTCCTCCACGGTGTCACCATCGCAGAAGGTGAGAAAATACCTCAATATTGGCTTCGAATATGCGAACTTACCTTTTGCTTGAAGGTCTCAAGTATGCAGCCGTTCTGCGGCGCTCTACCTCGAACGATAGCCTTTTGACAACCGCAAAGAATGGGGTAAGCGCCAACAATAATGATTTATCACGTCACGCGGTGACAGCTACTGATACTTCACAGGTAGACTGGACATTCCAATATCACGGTTCCGCATCGGGCACAATTCTCGCCGATGAGCGTACTGATGGGCTTAATGCCTACTACGGCTCGGAACTCTGCACAGATGTAGAGATAATCTATTCCCTCGCTTACAATTACTTTGCAATCGGTGATTCGGACTATGCAGATCGTGCAGAGCTTACTGCCTTCAATGCTCTACCTGCTGCCGTTTCAGGTGACTGGTGGAGCCATCAATACATGACGGAGCCTAACCAGCCTTTCTCAAAGAATTTGTCTGCCACGCCATTTTTCGACACTAACACCCTGAGTCAGACCTTCGGCCTAGAGCCTAATTATCCTTGTTGTACTGTAAATCACCCACAGGGTTATCCCAAATTTACGATGTACAGCTACCTCCGGAAGGGCAAAACGGGCATCGTCCATGCACTGCTCAGTCCTGGTCGTGTCGAAACTCAAGTTCAAGGGAAGCCGGTTTCCGTGGACTGCCAGACAGATTATCCCTTTAACAGTACCTTTTCCTATACCGTCGAATGCAAGGATTCGTTTGAGTTGTACCTGCGTGTACCTAAATGGGCTACCAGCACTACTGTGCAGGTTGGGGACTCGCAAATACATACGCCACCCGTGGATCCGCACTCGGGTCTGATCGAACTCAAAGTGCCTTCTGGAACTACGAAGATTCGATATGATCTAGGAATGGAACTACAAACAGTCTCTCGTGCGAATGACACAGTTGCCATCTACAGAGGCCCGCTGTTATATGCATTCCATATTCCGCATACTGTGTCGTCGGGGCCCCCAAAGTTTTACACCAACCAGACAGACTACCCAGCCGGGACATATCCTCCCCAGGCTCAGGATCATACCCTGTTGAATACAACCGAGTGGAATATTGCCATCGACCCGACGACCTTGGAATTTCAACAAGGCGATGGACCATTGCCCTCGCCGACATTCGAAGATGGAAAGTTACCTGCATACGTTACAGTAAAGGCTTGCCTTATTGACTGGCCCATGTTTGTGGGAGCTGTGCCTGGCACTCCGATTCCGAAGAATGAGCGAAAATGCCTCGGGGATACTTTTGAGGCAATTCTTCGGCCGTATGGCAGCGCCAAGCTACACATGTCTGATCTGCCTACGATTGATCTTTCGGGATAATGAGAATATGGTCCACAATCAAGATTATGCATCGAAGTCTTGGTTCTCTAGTTAGTTGCAATTCATAACGGGAATGATCATTGAAAGGATATGAAACAACTATGCAGACAGACCGGATCTCTTCGTGCTCAGTTAACAGCGTAATGTGTAGAAGGCAGAGTGACGAATGAATGAAGCGCGGATACTGGATGAAACGGTATGCCAGCAATTAAGAGCCAGTGTCCTTTATAGGATCCTTCTGGGCTCCTTCAATCTGTTTCAAGAAAGCATTTGCAGCATCAGGGTCGGATGCAAATATGTGCTCTGCAACCATCCGTCTTGGCGTCTCTCCCAGCCATTGGAATAGCGAGAAATCCTGGAATTTATCCGCACGGAAGAGCTCAAGTACTTCCAAGGGTTCATCATCACTCAAATTCTCAATAAAATGCCCCATATTTCGGGGAACAATGCCAACATCACCAGCCATGTAATCAAATGTCCGGGCGTTACCCTCCGCGGCAAAAATTGTAACTCGTGCACGACCTTTCTTAAAGTAGCTCCATTCATCTGCATTTGGGTGCCAATGCATCTCTCGAAGCGCACCGGGCTCGATCTCTAGGTGGGCTGCCGCCACTGTCTTCGAGATGGGGAAGTTGGTAGAGTCTGTGATTCGCACTCGGCCTCCGGAGGTATGAATCGGGACCTGTGCGTGCATGTGATGCGTGAAGCGCAATTTGGATTGACGGAAGCCACGCGGCTTCTCATTTTCGATACTGTCCGGCATTGATCCTTTGAAAATGTACTTTTCCGAAGTCGGAATTGACTTGAATGTATCAGGACGTAGGCGGAAGTTTTCCGCTAGCACAGCCTTGGATGTGTGTGCTGGTGGGAATGATGAGTTGGAAAGCAGACAATCGGCCTTTCACTTGCAGGGATGACTTACCCATCCAGTCGGTCAACAAAAAGGTAGACTCTTCGGAGAAGTGGCCATCATCGAATATAAGGAGAAACTCTGTGCCATTGGGACTGAGTCCTTGCAGGGAGTGCGGATGCCCTGCGGGGAAATACCACAGATCCCCAGCTTCGAGGTCATCCATGAAGCTGCCTCCATCTGGATCAAGTGCAGTAACCTAGGGCGATGAAATGCTCGGTCAGTACATGGTCAGATGGCCACAAGCCGTAAGCCATTTAGATCGGCGAGGATATAGATCACGAACGTACTCGAACTCGACCTGCGAGGACATATGCCCACTCAGCTTCGGTATGCCAGTGTAATTCTCGAATCACGCCTTCCTCCAGGCGCATATTCACTCCTGCTAGTTCGCGACTAGTAGGCAATTCGCGGATTGTCGTCTGGCGAGTCCATCCGCCTTCCTGGATGCCTGGTTAGCCGCAAGTTCATGGTAGAAACAGCCAGTTCTGCTCAACTGGCTAAAAACTATACCTCAATACGTGTATGCGAGTCGGCAAAGCTCCACCTCATATTTGACATACTGCCATGATCGGTGCTCGGAGGGCGAACGAGATCGGGGTTCTGACGCTCGCGATCTTTGTTTCGCGGGCCCTGGACGGTCGCTCCGTCGCCATTACGGAACGGCAATGGTTCACGGCCCTCGCCGACCGAGTCAATCTTGTGGTCGAACGGGTCTCGATGCCCTGGAGTGTAAGGGGAACTCCCAAACACATCTTGGCGATTACTTGCAGGGATCCGCATCAATTGTTGCAGTGCATGATCAGGTGCAGGGCTGGCAGAGGCTCCCAGGAGCAGCCCCAAGTGGATCAGAGTCGCCAATGGCGGAGATTGAAAGTGCATAGTGATAGGAGAGGATATCTTAACTCGCACAGGCTCACTAGTGAAACTCGATTCTCGGCCTGGCAAGTCCTCGAACTATAAGATAGTCAAAAGAATCACACTTGGACCTCGGGGGAACCAGCGCTGTTTAAAGTCGAGGATTTCCCCACTTTCTCTCCCCATGGACTCAGTGTCCAAGCGCACCATGGCGTGTTGTATTCGCGCTCATCCGACATATCCGCGCCTTCTGGCCGTGTAGGATTCCCATGGATTCATGGAAAACAGGATCTTCAATGGATATCACCGATTCTCCGTCTGCGGTAGGGCTGAGGACCCCCTGCGTCGTCCCTAATAGGCCCACAGTGGATCTTACCGAACAGCAGGATTATTTTGCAGCCTAGCGTTATCTTTCTTCACTTGAGCTGGGCCTCAATTAGCTTGATAGATGGATCGATGACGGCAAGTGGAGTGGGGTTGCGAAGAGAGAGAAATAGAAACAAGAAAAAAGTCGCGGATGGGCCGCTTTTTCTCCGCACGAGGAGAACCTTCCACCATCACAGTGTTATTATGATCCCGTCCAAGTCTCTTTGTCTTCGAGAATAGTTCTTCGAGAATAACTCTTCGAGTCCTGGATCCTTGAAGATACGTATTTCATTCCACTGTGAGGAACGCTGAGAACTGCTAAGGCTGCTAAGACATTTGCTAATGCATCTGCTAGTCGCCGGGACGGCCACTAAAGAACATCGTACAGGGACCATCCGTTGTTTCCTAGTACTTTGAAGCTTCAGCCAGCGTGTATCTCTGACATTTGGCCGCTGGCAAAATGCCATCCGAGGCAGAGCCTCTTCTGAGCAATCAGCACCCACGCCCACTCGCTTCACGGTCACAGAGACTGTCGCGCTATTTCCACGATGAGCTCGATCCACGACGTGGAGATTTGCTGCTCCTCTTCTGTTATATTATTACAGGCCTACTGGACAGTTCTGCCGTCTTCATCTGGGGCTCCTTTGTGAGCATGCAGACCGGGAACACCGTCTATTTCGGCCTCGGCCTGGTCGGAACAGACGATGATCGTTGGATCAAATCGGGCGTCTCGATCGCGGGCTTTTGCCTGGGATCCCTTTGCTTCGCAGGCTTCCATCGCACTTTCTCTCCTCGACAACGCTGGGTCCTTGTCACTTCTTTCCTGATTCAATTGGCGTGTATCACCGCAGCAGCCATCATCGTGACGATTTATCGACCATCTCGGGACGCGCCCCTGAGCTGGCTAGTCTTAGTCCCCCTTGCGCTGGTCGCATTCCAGAGCAGTGGCCAGGCGGTGACGAGTCGCGTGCTCAAGTATAACGGCCTAACGAGTGTGGTTCTCACCAGCGTCTACTGCGATTTATTCTCTCATCCTGATTTTCTGTCACCCAAGGTTATTGGCAATGCCGAGGAGATGCGTCGCACGGGAGCGGTGATCTGCCTCTTATTTGGAGTCATACTGGGAGGGCTGTGGGCCCACAGCTCGGTGGGCTTGATGGGGGCGCTATGGACTGCGGCATTGTTGAAAGCAGCGATCGTGCTCGCGTGGCTATTTTGGAAGAAGGAGGGACGTTTAGAGAGGTGATTGTAGATCTAGTCGGGAGAAGCGGGATTTTTGCCTTTACACGGCTCTCTGGTATCGAGTCTATATTCATGTGAATTCTATAAGGGATATCTATATGCAAGTCTATATGTTTTCATGAGGCCTGGGTAAATGCAATCAAAGGCGAACTTGGAACCGCGGATGCGTGCGAATTGCTGCGCCATATCGCGCAAACAGCAGAGGCACCGCGCACAGGGCCAAGGCGATAAATGCCAGGAGAGAGTTTCCCCATCCAAGCCCGAGGGCGCTGTACATTGACGGTCCTGCCAGAGGGAGCACAGCTCCGACCAAAGATCGTAGTGCGGTACTAGCTGCAGTCTAGGAAAAGTCAGTTTACACAACGTCTTCTCATTGCTGTGATCATATAGGAGGGGGTTTAACATACCACGGAAGCTGCATGAACCAAGTAACAGTCCACAAGGTAAGTATTCGCCGACATGAAGACCGTAATGAGGCCGACTCCAAAGACTCCGGTTCCCAAGATGGGCACAATCCAGTGTGTGTGAGCTTGCGCCGACCAGCCATACCAAAACAGACCAATGGGAATGGCCCAGCATCCGTAGATCATGGGCGGCAACCGGGATTCCGGCGTGAAGCATCCCCGGGCAGTGTGGGTGACAGCAATACGATTGGCTACACGACCGCAGACAACGAGGCTGAGCAGACAGCCAACGCCAAAGCCCAGATACGCCAAACCGGCGAGCCCAGATGAGAACCCATATTCGTCCTCGAAAATGGACGTGATTGTGGTGAACATCAGGTAGAGATAGCCATAGGTCACGGCCGCGAACAGCGCCAAGAGAAAAACGATGGGCGATCCAAAGAGAAGCTTGACGGGTCGGGCGAGCGCTGACAGAAAAACCTGACGTGGAGGCCGGCCGGTGTCGTAGATCGATCGAAGATTTGGATTTCCAGTCTCCTTTCTGAGGCGAGCGGCCTTGCGTTTCAACAAAACAGGTGCGTATGATTCCCGGTAGCTGAGGACGGTTCCAATAATGACGACACCGGTCTATCGATATATCAGCTTCCATCTCCTTCAACAGGAATAAATTCATTTCATTTTTGGCCTTACCGTGATAGCAATCACCCAAAATACCCAGCGCCATCCTTCTGCTTCGGCTAAAAATCCGCCGGCGACAGGTCCGATCACAGGACCCAGAATGGGCCCCATCGCCCAGATTGCCATGACGCCGGCCCGTTTTTCTTTGGTAACCATGTCGGCTAGAATTAGGTGGTTAGCTGAATATCTAGAGTAGGAAGATGTCAGGATGTTCAGCACTGACCTGCTGTTCCAGAGCCGATTGTCAGTGGGCAGACACCTGCAACACCTGCAAAAAACCGGAAGACGATCAACTGTGGGAGGCTCTGGGCAACAGCGCAAGCAATAGTGAAGATCAAAAAGAGCACATTGCAGGCATGATACAGCGGAACTCGTCCGTATAGCTCAGACAATGGTGCGATCAGAAAAGGGCCGACCATGTAACCCAAAACGTAAACTGAGACGACGAATGAGGCAAGCATGGAGCTAGAAGAGCCAAATTCGATCATCACGTCTTCCACTCCCGGGGCGAACATAGAGGACGCTAGGGGACTAATGTTGTTGATCAGTAAAAGCTGCTTTGTTTGGCGCAAACTTGGGGCCATATAAAATCAAGGATGCCATACGTCAAGAAAGTGTTGAAGGCCATAAACACGAGTTGTCGAGCCTTTTTATAAGTTTTCCAGTTGAACGGATTTTCAGGGTCGTCTGGTCCATCCCAGGTCACCAAATTAGGATCCTTCGCCTCGCCATCCAATCGAGATGGTTGAGGTATTTCGGTGCCCGTCTTCTCTGACTCTCCAGTCTGGCTCCTAACCGATACGGTGGTCTCGCGTCCGAGTCCCTTTTCAAGGTCAGACCGGGGGAGGGACGAATCGTCACTCATGATGAGTAGCTATCAGATTACACTGAAAGCGAATCACACGTCCCAGGAGGTTCTTATTGGAGGCAGTGTGCCTTTTTTTTCAGCCGAGGTAAGAGGGGACACCATTTCCCCTTTATAGTCTCAAAATTTCAACGCCCTTCTCCGTGGTTATTGAATAAGGACGACATAACTCTCGGGATCGAAATATACCGGCTATCGGCCATATGATTGGATCCATTGCCATCTGGCCCACTCGAATGGCCCTTCATAAGTAGGAATAAAAAACACCGGCTGGGGCCAGCCCGGCACTATCGCGAGAGAACCACTTCGCTTCTGCCGACGTGTGCATAAATCGGGTAACTCGGTGACTAATCCTCTTCGGGATAGCCCGCCAGTCATGTGATTTTCATCATGGAGTTGTATGCCGGTCATGCCATCACGTGATAGCTTCTCAATTCCGCTCCAACTGACAACCTTTGCAGTACCTAAATGTGGACACTTTATCTCAATGCAGAAGTAAATAAGGTGTCTACCTACCTATTTAAACTTTGGATTTCTATATGACACATGTGGATAGGCTGAGCAGCGCCACTACACATGTGTAACACCAGGAGTGGCCTGTACATGCAGTTCTGCTGAAGAATATATATCAAGGACGAACTTCCAGGTGTTGATCTTGAATGGTCACTTGCAACGGTCTAACAAATGCTAAACCCAACCTTAAGTGCCTCTGTCAAGCTTGTTTCCAGCAATGGTAGATCTCGATTTTGATAGAAATTAGAAGGAGGTAGGCTAGAAATAGCGCTATAGAAATTTAAAGCGAGTCCATCTGAACAACCTAAGCAGGTACGAACCCAGAGGGGTACGCGGTGGAACAGGCCTCGGGCAAGCGTATATGAGGCATTTGATGGAAATCACGGGCTGTATAGTCCTTGAATGAGGGCTCTCAATCATGCAAAGTCTTTTAAAACCTAAGTTGGATTAGCTAAGTGATGAATAAAGCTGCTTACTGAAGGACGTAAATTGGACTTTTACTCATCTAGAGACACCATTGGGAATGGGATTAAACAGGCTCTGTTCAGTGTCTGATGGAATAGTACGGAGATAGCTTATACTCAGCGATCCACCGAGTTCAATACATTCAACTTGTGTCGCACTGTAACAGACATGACGACCTGCCTGCCAGGGCCACAATAGCTACGAGAGCGGACTGCCGTGGAGCTTCAAGTTATTGCTCAACAAAAATTGGAATGAATTCTGAGCTGTACAATTGCAGCTGGTTGTTCCGTCCACACTACCCCAGACCGTTTCCCATATCTCCGCGGAGCAGTCACCCTGAATGACGATCCGGCTTACTCCCATTTGGAAACACCCGCCCATAGCCGTGGCGTTGCTGACGTTCTTCCCACAGCCTTGTTACTTTTAGTTGTCGAAGTCCATACTGGTGACAGGAGCGCCGAGGCTCTGAACTTCATAAATCGATAGAGACAATCACCTAGTAATGGCAAATCGAACGGGAAACATGACTGATCATTAACGGAGTAATATTCAACGCTCAAGTGTGCCAGGTAATACCTGTTTTTGGGTGGCGCAGTTAAGTCTTTTGGTTGGACAGAGCTCGACATCTCAAATCAAGCCATGGCGTTGTTTAGCGCACATCATGCCGGCTTTCCGAAACCTTTTGATTAAACATCAACCTTTGGTGCAAGTTTAACGCGCCCCTCGGATTGATTTGACTGTCCTAATGCGTGTGTTCTACCTTTACAGATATGTTTATAGCAAAATAGTAGGCCAAAGCCCATAGACCTGCTTTTTGACAGGCGGGTATGGTGGATTTAGGCCCACCCTATGATGGAGTTCCCCGCAACCAGACTTTCTGGCTGGTCCCCTTCGCGAGGTGACATCGTTGTCGCAGTTTGGGTGATTGAATTCCCGAGGCCATGCGACGCGTATGGTCAACAAAATGGACGTGCGCACATGAGACCCTGATACTGCGGCTTTACGTTCGCTCATCTCAGGCCCCCATCTCCTCGTGTTCATGGTTTCTATTTTATAACCCCTCTCCCTCTCGATCCAAAGTTCCAATCTGTGGATTTCAGACCTATCAAATTCCGAATCACGCCCAACCTTCCGATATTCGCCTTGAAATTAGATTGATCTCTTCTTGGAAGCTCTTCAGAGTATGTCGCAGACCTACCGTGCCCCCATCGAGAGTGCCCGACCAGGGGAACGAGATGGTATTATTAAGGATGAGGAGAGAAGCCACGTTGAAAATTCCGGTCCCGAATATGAAGATCCATTTGGGAACGAGGAGTTTGCAGAAGTGAGATATCGGACGTTGTATTGGTGGTATGAGAGCATCTACCTATTGCGACCGACGGAACACTCGCTAACAACCAGAATCACACATAGGCAATGCGGAATGAGTACGTTTTCTCCCTAGCTTTGCATCTAACGATAACAGCGAACAGTACTGAGCGATATCGATAGTAATGATCGCAGAAACCATCTCACTAGGAATCTTGTCGCTACCTTCTGCTGTGGCGACTCTCGGGCTTGTCGCGTCAGTGTGAAATTGTCAAACGATCAATGGAAATCAAAACCAGAGGATCTGACAGTTTTTTAGGGCGGTTATTCTGATCGTTGGACTCGGACTTCTGGCTACTTATACAGGATATGTTATAGGCCAGTTCAAACTACGATACCCACATGTGCACAGCATGGCAGACGCCGGCGAGGTACTATTTGGACCTATTGGACTAGCCCGCGTTGGACGAGAGTTTCTGGGAACTGCGCAGTTACTTTTCCTTGTCTTCATTATGGGAAGCCATCTTCTCACGTTCACCGTCATGATGAATACTCTGACAAATCACGGCACCTGCTCTATTGTTTTTGGAGTTGTTGGGTTGGTCGTGTCTTTCGTCTTCGCCCTCCCAAGAACCTTGAGAAAAGTCTCCTGGTTTTCGTTCGCATGTATGATATCCGTTGGATTTCCCCCGCAAGACATATGAGGGCTGACTATGCATAGCCTTTGCCAGTATCTTAGCTGCGGTGCTCATAACGATGATTGCGATCGCTATACAACGCCCCGGAAACGGCAAGGTGGACGCGACAACGAAGACAAGTGTTGCCAATGGATTCCTAGCTGTGACAAACATTGTATTTGCATACGGTATATCTCAGACCTGAATATTTGACGTTGATAATATGCTGACGACCGCGATCCCCAGCGGGCCATGTCGCTTTCTTCGGTTTCATTTCAGAGATGCAAACACCGACAGACTACCCAAAAACTTTGCTCCTTCTCCAAGGAACCGATACATGTATGTACGTCGTGGCGGCAGTAGTCATTTATTATTATGGGGGCAAGGAAGTCAAATCCCCTGCCCTGAGCTCAACCTCTCCCATCACGGCAAAGATTGCGTATGGAATCGCAATCCCGACGGTACGCTTAACACTTGTTCCATAATCCTTGAAGCCTCACTAAGATTATAGTCATAGATTGTGATCGCTGGTGTGATCAATGGACATGTTGCAGCCAAGTACATCTATGTCCGTCTGTTCCGTGGCACCAATCGCATGCAAAAGAGAAGCGTGCTCTCCATCGGAACATGGGTAGGAATTACATTAACCCTGTGGATAATCGCATGGGTCATCGCAGAGGCAATTCCAGTTTTCAACGATTTGCTTAGTTTGATTGTGAGTACCAAGATTCTTATCACGCCAAGATGAAAAACTGACGGACTTGTTTCCAGACGGCTCTGTTTGCAAGCTGGTTTACATGTAAGTACTGCCATAATCCCAAGGAACAATACTGACATGTACATGCTGTAGACGGGCTTAGTGGGATCTTCTGGTTGTTTTTGAACTGGGGAAAGTATGGTAGGTCCTGGCGGAAGATGTTCCTCACTGGCGTTAACTTGATTATCGTCGTGATTGGGGGTTGTCTGGTGAGTTTAAGAATACCTCTCTTCTATATGGTTATCGAAAGAGCCATTGGGCTGAATATTCGCACAAGTGTGGTATGGGTCTATGGGTCTCCGGAAAAGCCATCCACGATAACTCTAGCAAGGCCAGCTTCTCGTGCAATGCCAACACCTAAGCGTGTGCCCCCCCGGTCTAAGGAGACTATAATAGGAAAAGATGATATAGGAGCTTAAGTTTGTGTATCTGACTAGTTCAGAAAATTTCAATCACAACTTTCTGGAATATGTCCAATCATTGAAACGGTCAAGTGCCTTTTGGTTATGGTTTGAATTCATGTTGATGAAGTAAATTCCGTGTACTTTAGATCGAAACTTTTGCTGCAAAATGAAGATTTTCTCAAGTCATCCCAGAGATTTTGAAGTTCCTGCCAGGGTAAAGCCACCCGAACCCGGACTTCCCATAAAAATCCCCGAGAAAGGCAGATATAGACCCATTCACACCACAGTCTTGTCAGCCTGATTGTCCTGTAATGTCCTATCCTGCGATTCAAACATAGACTCGCGCATGAATGGGCTACGTCGACGAATTTCGGGCCCCTTGAGGACCAAAACAACTGGCACAACTGAAAGGGCGACTCCCACAAAACCAAGTAATGATCCAGCCCATCCGTAGCCCAGCGTATCGAATAGCTCAAATGAGGCCAACGGCAGAAACGCACCAAACGTATTTCGACCTAGCGATGCGGCTGATAGTGCCGATGCTGCGTATTTCTCGTAGGCATCCGTCAGATAATTCACGACAGCCATATAGATAGAATAAATCCCCACGCCAGTACAACCAATTCCCAAGGTAGGGACGATCCAGTGAATGGATCCGTCGCCCACGCTCCCCCATCCATACCAGAAGAGACCTCCAGCAAAGAGTAGACTGCCAGGAATGGAAGTATATAGCCGAGCTTCAGGGATAGGGTGACCCGGACTTTCTCGGTTATTGCGGGCGGAGCGTAAATAGATCCAGTCTTGAAGTGGATTGATCACAGTACCAAGGACTGCACCAACTGAAATCGCAAGTTGAACCATGCCGGTGGTGAATGTTCCCCATCCATAGTTATGGCTGAATGTCTGTCCGACACTAGAGAAGAAAAGGAAGAGAATTCCCCAAGCAAAGCTGACCCACAAAGTGAAAAACGTAACAACTGGCTCAGTTAGAAGCATTCGAGTAGGGCGCTCGAAAGAAATCTGGAGCAGCTTCCACACGCTCGTTGTGTTCAGCTCGCTCTCGGCATAGATAGGACGGCCGGTTTCGCGACGTAGCCTTTTGGCGCGCTTTTTTAGAATAACATCGCCCCGTGTTTCGCGCAGTATCAACCAAAACACTGGAATGAGCGCGGCATTGTAAATTATCTGAATATAGAAAATCCTGGACTTCGTCAGCTCTGTTTATGTCCACATTGGTTGATGGGGGAATGGGATTTTCCCCTTACCATCTCCATGGACTGCTTTTGTGGATCGTCTGAATCGCAGATCCAATAAATGGGCCCAGAGCAATGCCAACTACACTAGTGAACCCGAACAGCGACATAGGTAGGCTACGAGCCTTGTCACCGTACCACACATCACTAATACTGCCCCCGACAATATTGATCGAGACAGAGGATGCCCCTCCTCCAAAAAAGCGAGTCACCACCAAGGTAGCGAAATTCTGTGCAAATGCTGACGGGAATAGCGAGACGACCAGGATAAAATAGGACACAAAATAGCCTGGCATTCGCCCAGACGACTCGGTGAGTGGCACGAAAATGAGTGGCCAAAAGGCGGCTCCCATATTCCAGGATGTCGTTGCCCAAGCCAGGTTGGGGAAGGGTTCATTTTGGACATGGAAACGCTGTTCCATCCATGTGTTCCCAGCACCGTAGGACCCCGCCGGTAATCCAGTCAGAATGGATCTATTCCAAGCTGTCAGAATATACACGCCGGCTGAGGTCTTGGAACGAGACTTACATAAAACAAATGGTGAGTGTGAGAACCCATTTGTAGGTCTTGCTCCAGTTAAATCTATGCCAATCAGTATGACGGTCTCCATGCTACCTGGTCATTGCGAAGGAAGTTGCCTAGAACGTACGGATTATCAGGGTCATCGGGACCTGCCCACGTATGGATCTCAATATCCTTTTCGTCTCTGAGAGGATGGCGACTAACATGTCCGATATGAGTGTCACGGTTGAAAAAAGATCGAACCCTATTCCGTAATCAAGTCAGTTATTTTGGCCGTACTCGATCAATCATGCACGTGAACTCTACACGATACCTAGACAAGAAACGATCGTCGAATTCGTTATGATGCAGCGTGCTGATGGTTCTCATGGTCGATGATCGGTGGATAGGGTCATTTGTAGGCTCTGCCGAGACTTGACTTCGAGACACATCCTGGGCAACTTGGCTCTCCATTTTCGAGATGAAACATAGTGATTCCAATGCTACAGGCTGCCAGTCCTGCGATAATATCCCAAATGACAAAAAAACAGCTGAGTCAACGACTATTCAACAGTTCCTGCTTTGTGTCTGTCTATTTCGTCATCGCTAAGGGTGGACCGTTGATGAACTGAAGAGTTCCAAAATCGAAAACAGCCAAATCGGTAGGATTGAACGGTTAGCTACCATCGGTTCCATTATGGATTGGCCGTATGGAGGTATTTGACGACTACAATAACTGCTTGGATTGGAGGTTATTCCTGTAGAAGGGGGACATACGATCAGCACCATATTGTACTCATTTTGGGAGAGGTCAAAGGGAAGGGTTTTGTTAAGGATCATGATCGGCCTAACAAGGCCCGCACTATGGAGTGGGGCGTGAGAGCATCATTCAAGCTTGAATAAGGCCGCAGGCCCCATGTATTGCGTTGGCGATAATTGAATCCTAAAGAAACTAGGGATCAAAATGCAACTTGTGGTGAATCTGGATGACAATTCATTATGTCCTCCTCCAAATTTCTTTTGTTACGAATTATGAGAATATTATTCATGCAATATAAGACTCACTAGGTAACTAAAGTAAGTCGTGGCTCCAATAGGACGATGAGATCATGTCGATTACATAAACCGCCTTGGCCAGTCATGACGTCACTTCTCCGAGGGGATCCGCTTTACGTTTCCCCCAGAGTGTCATCAATAGCATAATGGCTTACTACTGTAGCAACTAGTCCTCTGGAATACAAAGAAATCATTAGTCAATTCTGGTAAGCGGGTCACAAACAAGGATCATTAGCCCGGGCGCAGGAGGTCCTCATTATCATTAGCGTATCAGAAGAAAGAACCCCCCATTCTAAAAGTTATTGATTCGGTCATTGGGGGTCGCGGCCGAGTTCCAAACCGGCAAAAAAGAGGGGCAAAGGGTACATCAGCATAGGCAAACTGGATTCGTTCCTGTACTTTAGTGAAGGAGGGGTGACAACCTGAGATGACCGATAGCTCGGTCATACCTTTCTAATCGTTTTTAAACCTTTCCAGGCCCTGCTTATTCTCTCGTCCTGTCTTCTCCCCTCAAAACTATAAAGTATCCTCTCCAACATCACCATCTACTCTCTCTATCTCCCCGTCTTCCCAATTACTACCACCGCAATCTCAAACATACTATATCCATCCCATCGATCAACATGCCTATTCCAGTTCCCCAGGCCGATAGCCTGAAGGACCTCTTCAGCCTTAAGGGCAAGGTCGTGGTCGTCACCGGTGCCTCGGGCCCCCGTGGTATGGGCATTGAGGCCGCTCGTGGCTGCGCTGAGATGGGCGCCGACCTGGCCATCACCTACGCTTCCCGACCGGCAGGCGGCGAGAAGAATGCCAAGGAGCTGCAGGAGAAGTACGGTGTCAAGGTCAAGGCCTACAAGTGTGATGTGGGCAGCTGGGAGAGCGTTCAGGACTTGGTCAAGAACGTTATTAAGGAATTCGGCAAGATCGATGCTTTTATCGCCAACGCCGGTCGTACTGCCAGCAGCGGAATCCTCGACGGCTCCGTGAAGGACTGGGAAGAGGTTATTCAGACCGACTTGACCGGTACCTTCCACTGTGCTAAGGCCGTGGGCGCTCACTTCAAGGAGCGTGGCACGGGTAGCTTCGTTATTACATCCTCTATGTCTGGCCACATTGCCAACTTCCCGCAGGAGCAGACCTCCTACAACGTCGCTAAGTCCGGCTGTATCCATATGGCCCGGTCGCTCGCCAACGAGTGGCGTGATTTTGCTCGTGTCAACAGCATTTCCCCCGGCTACATCGATACCGGTCTGTCTGACTTTGTTGACCAGAAGACTCAGGATCTGTGGCTCTCGATGATCCCTATGGGCCGCAACGGCCAGGCCAAAGAGCTGAAGGGTGCTTACGTCTACCTGGTCAGCGATGCCAGCACCTACATGACCGGCAATGATTTGCTCATTGACGGCGGATACTGTGTCCGGTAAATGTATCCTGTACATAATTTATTTCTGGTAGAGGGATGACCTCATGGTTACGTTCAATCTTACCCGGGAGACCTTGATGGTCCCTGCCATTTAACGAATTAAGAAACAATTGAATTGAAAACTTTCGATATGAATCAATGCAAGTAGTCTCCAAGAACCCACTGAGTATAATATTCAGAAATAAAGGGCATAACAAGGGCTGTTGATGAAATGGTATGACATGTTGCTCTTCCAGCATGACCCGCACTGCTGAGATGGGCCCAGTCAAGAATCATTCCGACTGGCCCGCCAATGGACCCGCAATGGTGGCTGTAATCGGAGCGTTTTCCACAAAGATGCCAGACCAAAACCAGTCCTCTGCATCTGAGTCGGTGCCTCCATTGTCGAGTCGTAGCTCGCCAATATGCCAATCAGCAGAGTTGGTCGAAGTCGATGCACTGACACCAGTGACAACGGCAGTCAATGGATCAGAGCCATTACTTGCCCACAGCGAGACAGTCTGCGCGTCAAAGTCGATATCATAGGCGAAATTGTACCAGTTCTCGGCTTCGAGCTGGGTAGACCATTCCGTCGTTCCGCTCACACACCAACGCAGTGTGTTGTCCTCGCTGGCCGAGTCGCCGCTCAGCAAGCCGTACTTTAACTCGGTGAAGTGGCTCTATACCCTCAATGTCAGACTAGATTGTCTTGGAGAGTGGACGTTTGCATTTACCTCAAAGAACGCGATTTGATGTTCGAACTTAGGGCTTGGGGGATTTGTAGTGTTGGTCATCAACGAGAAATGATAGAACAGGCGCCCACTACCCAAGTCCTCGGAGGTTTGGGGGATGATCTCACTCCGCTCCATGGTCTGACCATTCCAAAAGGAGGTTCCATCCTATCAAGAGTCAGCTGGTGCATCTCTGTATCCAAGAATCAACTTACAATAGATATCCGAATACCCTGGGAATCACTAGTATCCGCTGGATTCTTAAAGTCCGACGAAAGTCCAAGATATTCAGAGGTATTTCCAGTGCCGTGAATGTACCACTGCCAAGGCGCAATCTGGTTTGACCAGGACCCTTTCATCCAATGTTAGGATGAGTCAATGGAAGCCAAGAAGTAACTTACATTTGTCAAAGTCGGCAACGGAGGCAGAAGAATTGAAGATTCCACTCCACAACAGATCGCCGCATTGCACAGCGATCGGGAGGGGAATCATCCACGCAACATATTTCCTCATTGTGGGCCAAGACGCTCCGTTTTCTATGTCAAATATATCGAGATGGAGTATTGATCAGTTCCTGAGTTAGCCGGGGAATTCTCAGTTGCTATATAGAGATACTGATGCCATTTTCCCGAATGAAACGGGTCAAGTGACAGCAAGTTCCAGTTATGGTATTTAACCAGAAAGCGAAACAGAGGGAGTTAGATTAGGCATTCCTTCATTAAACTGCATTCACTACCGCAAGAGTGTCAACTTTGTTTTGATCGACAGCGTCGGTTCCCAAATGGAGCACGGGCCGAGCAAGTTTCGGATGTGCAGCTATATGTGTTACGAAACGCTGTCTGAAGAAACTTTGAAACGACGCCAAGACAGCAAATCCCCGTCCCCCATGCCTCGTCTCGCCATCATTGATAGCAACCTGCCAACATGCTATGCGCAACAGGAGGACAGAATTAGCGGTGAAGAAGGCGTTGCATGTATATTGGCTTGCGATATCATTCAAATTGAGTTTTTTTGACAAAAGCTGTCCAAATGTAAAGGGAATTTGTTTTTTTTTATATTTGCATACTCTGTCAAGACCATACAGCCAGAGGTTTAGATGGTGCACAAAGGATAGTCTGAGGTGCTGCCCCACGTCACCTTTGAACCATATTGACTATTCCAACTTGGAATTTCAGATATCATAGCTTCTTCAAACCAAGCTCGGGGGATCTATGAGGGAGTAAGCAAAGAGTTTAGAAGGCACCCTATTTGATAGGTAGCGTCCCATCTGTTTGCATCATCTGGCCTTGCCTTCGTAGGATTTGAGGCCACTTGTATGGGGATACATACATTCGTCAATTCATGGAACCAGAAAGAGGAATTTGAGAACGGTCGAAGAGACCTCTAGCCCACACAACGTTGAATATTTAGAACGCTACAGGAGGAATATGTGACTGGCAAACTGACGGATATTGAGGCAGGAAAAAAAATCGAGAAAAGATACACGACAACCACACGACAGCCCCAGGATGGTGTCGTTCATCTAGCGCCCACGGTTGAGCTAACTACCCCGTAACGCTCGGCATCCTGCTTCTTCTCTTTGCGTGGTATCGGATACTCACAAGGCGTGATTCGTGAGCTAGGGCCCATCTGGGGTTGTCTGGTCGGTGCAACGTGGTGCGCCAGCTACTTTCCATCGGGATGAGTCCTTCCCAGACGGCAGAGGAGGTTGTAGATCACTACCTGCAAACCCGTGTGGAGCTCGAAGCCAGCGTCTTCCTCCTACTCATCGGCGGCATCTTATGCCCTTTTCTATACAGTGGGAATTAACAATGTGTTGGAAAATATTCCGCATACAAATCCGCACCTATTCTGCCTACAGACTGGATGCAGCTGTGCCGCAGGCGGTTCAATGGTTCAACTCGCTGTCTTCTTAGCCACAGCTACGTACCGCCTCGACAGAAATCCCACCATCACCCATGGATACGGCGATCTTGCGTTACTCTACTATAGAATGATGAGTGCTTCTTGGGCCCGCGGGAAATTTCCAAGTCTGTGGTATGTCTTTCAGACTCGCGTCCCAGTCCGCTTATCCCGCATTGGGTCTCCTTATTCAACCTAGTCTGCACGAGCGCTTGGTTCTTGGCCTATGCGTCACACACAGCTAAGAACAGCCCAATTGCCTGGAACGGGGGTTTGGCCTTCGCGACTGTCATAGGGGTTTATATTATTCAGAAGTTACGGGGCACCTGGTATTTTTTCAACGCTGCTGGGGCACGAGGGTAGATTGAGTCCCACTACTGGTGGCTCTTATTTATCACCTATTGTAGCATGCTCTGGGCTATATGAGAGGTTAATTCTGCCTTGATTTGATTCTTCATTTTTGGTCACATGAGGGGCTTGATGTCGTTCTTGTGTCTTGTTCGACGGTTTGGTTTCATGCCTCTTCTCCAATTTTGTATCCTTAGGAAAACCGACTGATCATCCTAAACATATACTCTTATTATTGCTGTTTCCTATCCTTATTTACGTGTTATTCTAACAGATACCGTAGTCGATGTCCTACCGGCTAACGCACTGCCACTTGGTGGAACCATCCCCGCCTTTCGACCCGCAATATAGATATCCTCATCCTCGTCAAGCACAGTTCTCAGGTTGTGCAAGCTGGGATATGTGTCAGGGTGATTATACCCTCGCTTCCTCACATTTCGTTCTAGTGCATCCCGATATATCTCCTTGGCATCCGCTCTCTTGCGCTGCATTTCAAGTGACACGCCGAGATTGTTGAGGATCTGGAGTGTATAAGGATGCTCAGGGCCAAGTACTCTGTCACTAAGCTCCAATGTTTGTCGATATGAACCCTCGGCTTCCTCAAACTTCCCCAGGATACTGAGCACGTTAGCTAGGTTGCCTATGATGAGTATTGTGTACCGGTACTCTGGCCCAAACACCCTTCTGTTCAGCGCTATCTCCTGTCTGTCCATCTTCTCGGCGGCTTCATACTTGTATTGAAGCATGAGACCCTCGCCCAGAGAAGGAGGGCTCGCATTGGGCCCTAGGGCAGTTTCCCTTAGCGCCAAAATTTGCCGGTACAACTCATCGGCTTCTCGATACTTGTGTTGCATGTCATAAACCAGTACAATGCGGTACATGGTTGACAGAGTGTCTGCATGCTCGGGGCCTTGCACATTCCTCCTCCATTCTACCACCTGCTGGTAGGTCTTTTCGGCTGCCCCGTACTCCCCGCGACTCTCCATCTCCATCGCCTTCGCCTTTTCGGACATCTTGGTCATGTCAGATTCTGCGTCTATCTCAGCCAGAGGAGAAACTGTGTCGCTAGACAGCTCCACAGTTATTGTTTCTTCGCCCGATGGGATAACGGGCGGGCTGTTGACTGGCATTCTCAAAATAGCTGGCATTTTCTCTGGCAGTCCTGCCGAGTCCAGCTCCGGCAGTTGATTCCCACTCTTGTCAGCACCAATCTCCACTGGACGAACTGGCAGCTGTTGAGAGCGCGCTCAAAGTAGAAGTTGTGGAAGCCAAGGTTGTGGAAGAAAGGGAGGAGGGAGTCGATGTCGAGGCCGACGTTGATGTTGATGTTGATGCACAGCTAGCGGATTGAGGGATGGCTACTCCGCTGGAGCTGCAGAAATCGTTTGCTAATGATATTGTTTCTGAAAGGAAAAAGCCAGTCAATGATTAGACAAATCTTTGAAACTTGATTCCGTAACTGGTTACCACCCATCTGTCTCAATGATAACCCCTATTTCTACCCAACCTTATCATTCGTGTTTTATCCGTATTTCAAGTCATTTTGCCGAATCACCAGCGATATTTATCGTCTTTTCATTGAACCCAGCACTATAGAAGCGCGTTTTCATCGGTGTTTCTGCGCAGGACTTGAAACGGGCCAGTCCTCATGCCTACCACGCGAACCCGCACGCCTCCCACAGGGACCAGTATAGACAAAACCAACGAGAACAGTCTCACTGACAGCCATCACGAGCATCAGAAGCTTTTGCCATTGGAAACTTGAGTTCCCTTTGTTGCCATTGGGCGTCTGAAATTGCACGGATTCTTAGAGTTGGATTCCAGAGTCGCCACGATTCAAGACCGACGCAACAAAATACAACCGAGCAAGTCCGAATTAAGCAAGATCATCTGGGAGATAAAGCAGGCTGATGAGAATCCCGCTGACGGAGACAGGATGTCCTTGAGCGACCCGCCTCTGCCGTGGGGATGGATGAAATTGATGCAGAGCCCGGTCCTCAGGACAATTTAAGTACTCGCGATTTCTAGGTACATCACTTCCATTCGCACAGGAAATGTATATTGCTTTACTCATATCGATATTCAATCAGTGCTTTCTACTTTGGGGGCAAGCAGAAAACTTTCAACCTCAGTGATGATCAATTTCTGCAAGGTATGGTGGTGTCGGTCGACACCCAGTTGGCTGTGTTTGATGTTGTGAACAAGATTCTCAACTACCTTCTGGCTATGGCCTCAGACCATACGGTCTCCACGGCCTTGACCCTGTGGATGGCTTATGAGTCATATACTTGCGCTTTGTGGATTATTTACTGATCATGGATTGTTTTTCCAAGACTCTGTCGGTGATCTTTTTGCCGGCATTGACGTCCAGGATTGCTTAATGAGAGACGGCGGTATTCCCGATGCGGCTCACACTCTCGTACTCCCTCTCATGCGAATTATTTGCCTTGACGCCGGCGCGATCTGGGCACAAGCTGCAGCAATGGCCGGAGATCCAGCCGCGAACACGATCGGACAAGTCGTCGCTGGCGGGCGTCCATGACCTTCATGGGTCTCTCTGGTTTGTGCGTTTTTGTTTCCATGCAAACATCTAAGTGCTGAAGCTCAAGACTCATATTTTCATACGGAAGAAATGCCATGAACAGTAACCGGACTCAGCCTGGCTTGTACGAGGCATATAAGTCTTTGGGGACCTATTTGACGGGCATCCACATTCCAACAAATACTTCTCAATCCTTCATCCGGACCGTTTCGCTGCAATTTACCGGCATTGCGGCTATATGGCAGTCGTAAAGGGAGTCTGGGAATGACTGGGCTCGTGGGTCATCTGGCTACACCGGCTTTCTCAATTTAACGTTTCCTTTCCTTGAGACAGGGTGCGTCCCCAGCAACAACCTAACGGCAACAGCAAACGACAGGATTGTTGCTCAACTTCCGATCAATATGGATTCTGCATGACAGCGATAATATGGTTGACTGGCCTCAAATGTATTCGGAATTCAGAATACTGTCCAATAGAACATAGTATGCGCGTCCTATTATTCACCCCGATTTACGGTACAGATCAACGGACGGGCTAAGAAATAAATGAGCAGACTTCGTACTACCAAGTTGCCCTCGGTTTATTGTATCCTTGTTACCGCTGATCCTCATAATCACGGGTGAAGCCACGTTAGGTAACATACACAATTCTTACATCGTGTTTCCTTTAGAATTTCTTTAACAGCTCTTCGTCCTGATGGTCAATCGTTATGAAACACAAGAACAGCAACCCGTAAATACGCTTTGGGCCTCATATCTACGGCCCGGACTTAAGTGGGATAGCTCAACGTTAGCCCGTGCTGACATTGATTTAGAGTGGAATTGCGCCTGGAAAATCTGTGACCATGCATAAAATCACGCATTATGGTTGGCCTCAGTATGTACGGTGCCACAGGGTCACGGTGAAATAAGGTTTTGAAAGCTTGCTCCACTGAACCTAATTCCGTTACAGTACCAAAATCAGGAGATCGGGGGAATTAAGAACCCGACTCCTGTCCAGCTCCACCACGATACCCCCACAAATGGATTATTCCATACACCGAGCTCTCACTCGACCGATGGTATATGAACATGTGACAATATTTATGCATCTGGTAGGGAAGTTCGAATCCTTTGTGCTGTCAAGACTCAAGCCAGTACCGAGGAATGGATTTGAGCAAATCGCCTGTTCCCACTGGTTTTCGCCTGTGGCGTGGAGGAAAGCCGTCAAAATCGGGCCGGTGTCCTTTGCATGGCTTCTGCTCAAAATATATAAAGAGCAGAGAATCAGACATATGTTGAGACTCTGTCTATAAGGATCTGACATTTTCCAGTTCACTCCTTGTTTCGAATCGTATTCAACCATGGCCGAGAAAATATCACTTGTGACGGGTGCGAGTGGGTTCATCGCGAGCCATGTTGTCCAGCAGCTACTCGAAAAGGGCGAACAAGTCCACGCCACTGTCCGCAGGACCGGGAACAAAAAGAAAATCGGTCACCTCCTCGAAATGCAGGAACGATGGCCCGGCAAGTTGACATTATTCGAAGCGGATTTGCTTGTGGCGGGCTCGTTTGAAGCTTCAATGAAGGGATGCTCCGTCGTTTATCATATCGCCTCTCCTTTCTTGATCGAGAACAGAATTCGCAATGGCGAGAAAGAGGTTGTTGAGCCTGCTCTCAAGGGAACGCAGAACGTGCTCGATGCAGTCCAGAAAATCCAGACAGTCAATCTGGTTATCTTGACGTCCTCTGTGGCAGCTATCTACGGGGATAACGCCGACGTGCAAGACATGAGAAACAAGACACTGTCCGCTGATTATTTCAACACAACGAGCTCTATCTATCACAACTCCTACTCCTACTCAAAGACGGTGGCTGAGAAAGAAGCATGGAAGCTATACGAAGCACAGTCGGGGTCGCCACGCTGGAAGCTAGTTACCATCAATCCTGGACTTGTTTTAGGGCCGTCTCTTTCCCAAACGTCTGAATCTGGCAGCCTGTCTCTGTTAGATCAGCTGCTAAGTGGCCAGCTATCTTTGGGGGTGCCGGACCTATGGTTCGGAATTGTTGATGTGCGAGAGGTGGCAACTGCCCACATTCGAGCTGCCGAAACTCCAGATTCTCACGGTCGCTATATCCTGGCCGGAAACAAAACACACGGCTTTGTTGAATTAGCCCGCATATTACGGTCCATCACTCGATCTTCCAATATTCCAACGAAGAAAATTCCGAATATATTGGTACGCATGTCAGGGCCATTTCTTGGCTTCAGTCAGAGATGGCTTAAACGGAATCTGGGGATTCCTTTCGACATCGATAATCATCCCAGTGTGAATGAGTTGAAAATCGTGTATCGACCATTGAACGAGACATTGGCAGACCATTACCAGTCCTGGAAAAGTATCAAAAGCCAATCGAGCTAGCGCCGCTGGTCTCTATAACAACGATTGGCTAAACGCAGTCTACTTTGAAAACGGGTTTCTTTACGGTCCTTTCGGATCTACTGTTACTGTCATTTCTTTTTGTCCAAATTTGATCTTCCTCTTATATTTTGGTCTTCGTTTTTTTCTTTTCTTTTTTTAGAAATCTCCGCGAGTTGCAATTGTTATAAATAATGATCTCACTACTATAATTCTAGCACGATCTTTCATGCACACATTTTAGTACCAACCACTGGTAAAAACGATCAGCTGAACTTGGCTGACCCGCAGCCCGATGCTACATGTTACCGTAAAATTATTCAAAATAGACATATACCGTATCTTCGTTCTCGTCCGGCCTTTCTACAACCCCTCGGGGAATTCTCGGGCAGTCCTCGGATACGTCCTTAGGTAAGAAGCTTAATTACCAAGGAGTGCCCGAAAGTGGATAGTACAGAGTCGGGCCGATTGTTGGCCCGTTTCCGTAGCGTGATTATAATTCAATGTCGGTTTCTCTGACATGGAGCCCACTAAAGGAGATTTACAATTATGCATTGTATACTACCTCTTGCAAAGTGTGAGCCGAGGCTAGAGCCAACCCATGGTACTCGGACATTGATGGTGAGCAGTTGCTGACCCGTCCATATCCTCGGTTTGTTAGTTACTTATAGCTATAAGATTCCAAAATTCCACCATGTGTATCAAGAGAAGAGGTATCGTTCAAAATTCATAATGCCGAGTACTACTCTCCTCAAAGCAGCCGGATACGGCTCTTTTCTTGTTGCCATCAAGCATGCGGTGAGTATGCGAAATATCAACATTTTAGTGGGCACTGTAAAAGTTGACATACTTTCTTTCTGATTAGCTTACTGGGAGAACTTTCCAAAGACTGCGCCAGTTCCAGGAACTGCCAAATATTGCATACACATGCAGCACGGTTGGCTGGTACCAAGGAAGCGCCTATCTAGTCCTAACCGGTACTATCATTTATCAATGAGAAAACGTTTATTATTCTGACATTAATATTATATAGGGCTACTTAATCTCCACTGGGCCCAGAACCCTAACTCGTTGGGGGAGCCAATGAGCCGTGCGATGGCTGCCTTGCTCGCCATCATTGCTTGGTCTAGCTCTGCTTGGTATCTTCAACGGGGAATTAAAGCGAGCGCGTTTCTCACAGCAACGGCCGGTATACTACAAGCCTACGCAGTACTTTACTGATGCGCCCCTTTTCCCGAATCTCGGGGACTTCTTTGCCACTTATGTGACGACGGAATATTCAATATTGAGGTTGGTAGTTTAAGTTGACTATTACTATCTTGTTGGAAATGCGAGAGACTTGTAATGCAAGCTCTACTATAGAATGGATTGAAATCAAGGCGGACGCGCCAGACCGTCTAGCAGCCAATTCATTTTCACATTCATTATAAGTTATCTTTGAAATCAGTCTCGAAAGACGAAGGTAATGGATGCAGATCCGCTGCCAATACTGGAACTAGCCTCACAACAAACATGGGATATAGCATAAAAGAGATATCTGCCTATAAGGCAAAACATAACTAAAGAATGATTGGGCTTATAACTAACTAGTTATATGAACTAGATAACATAATCGTTAGCTTATTGATAGCCTAATTTCTAAGGATTCTAAAATAGTTTAGTTTATATAGATAGCTAAACTAAGGAGTGAGTATTTTAAGGTATAAGTTTTACTATATTAGGCGATTCTGTGTAGAGCCGTAGCCTGAAAGCCAACAAGCAATCACCGAACAGACAGTTTCCCGACATATTAAAAGATACTTCGATTAGCACTACTAAAGATAATCCGTCCATAGCTGGTTCCGCAAGCCAGCACTGGTGTTGAAATCTGAGTCTGCTAGAGCTAGCAATCCCACATGATAGAGACTTTGACAAAAGGAAACTGTTATGCCCGTCGTGCTTCCTCTGTCGTCATACCGAATTACTGGCGAGTACTCCAGTACCCAGACGCGATTGATGTCGAATTTTCGAAGAAATAAGGTTTCCTCGTACCTGGTCAAGAACCCGTATTTTAAGCTGCAGTCAACCATATAATGCGCAATTTGCCCTACGTATATATATATTAGTATAAGCCTCTACCAATCGGGTAATAGCTTTATATACTAACCTAGTACATGTCTAAACCTTGCTTCTTCTGCCCCAGTTTGAAAGTCACGAGCTAGGCGCCCTAGAGAGTGTTGGCGTATCCAGGGAACCTTAACTTCTCCTAAGACCTTAGCTATATTAGCTGAGGTCTTAAGCGTAAAGTCAGGGGTCTTCCTGTATTCTGGGTATGGCGGTAAAGCACCCTTAAAGCCACATAGCTTTAGGTCATGGTTCTGAGCTTTGAAGGCGGCTCCTAGAGGGGTCCCGGCTCGATCCTCTAGCTGGCTTTGTATACCGCGCTCGTCACACACTTGCACCTGTTCTTCATCGACCGAACCGACGAGGAGATTGCCGCTTAGATTGGAGGCAATGGTTCGCGGGTTTCAGGCTTGGCTGTTATGTGTGTTGGCAATGTCTGCTTTGAAGCCGGCCAATGGCTGCAGTGTTCCGACGAACTGTATCGGGTGTAACGCGTGGCTCGTAGTATGGAGATCGGAAATGTCGAGCGTGGGGAGTGGTTCTAGAAAGAGACTAAACGAACTGTGAAAAACCGAAGTAGCCATGTTGATTCAGAGGTGGCGTAAGCAAAGATGAGAGATAGGAGTGTCGTTGAGCAGATGAAAATATTGAGGCGAGGTGCAGAACACGTCAGGTACTGGAATATGGGATGGCGTCCTCACTGTTTACTTCTTCGGTGAGAGTTTACAAGGTCTAGCGTAGAGTGGAGTTCTTAAGATGGTGAGGAGCAGCCGCCGTTCCGTAGTGGTTCAACATCTCCCTCGGAGCTTTAGGAGCTCTGTGGGACAACCTTCAGGAAATATCAGCTAAGTTTTAATGCCAAAGCTTTTCACCCCTTAGTGGCTTGCACCATGTAGTGAATCGGCTTTGATGGTAGTGCTTTTCGCGGCAAATACTGGAGCGCTGGTAAGGTATCTTCGCCATTATCCCGATACGGATCTACGTCGACTTGCTTACACTCTATACCGAAGGACAAACTTCCCATTCCAAGCTGCATCCCTTGCTCTATTTACCTATTGACAAGGTGGAGAAAGGCACAGACTTTCTCAAGATTAGCTCGCGCATTACCATCATTCCCAAAGTGCTAGACCTCTAGGTTTTGTGTACCTTTCCCAGCCATAGTGCTCAGTGGGCTTACCTTAGATCAGCAGCTCTACAGGGCTTCGAGTGTATTCTATCGCTCCATAGGCCAGTTCTATCGGGCGTTTAGCTGGCCTACAGCTAAAGATCGCCCCAATGGTTCCTGTTCTTGACTCTTGACGCGCCAACATTTCCTTAGCCGCGGATCTTTGGGTGAAGGGGGGTACAAAAGCCTTCTCTGCTAATCTGCCAAGAGTAAGTTACTAGATTGATTTCAGGCGCCTTATCTTCATTGCGCGTTATTCGGTTCGTATCATATAAAATAGGCAAATGCTATGATGTATACGACTGTTGACTCCAACTAAAAACCAGGTGCCGAACAGTAGTAACCCATATGGATCCTTGATGCTTTACCCTCCCAAAGGTCGTGTAGAATACCATAACTTGATTGCTCGAGGTATTTTCAACTAAGCTGAAACATAATTTTCCAAAGATCGGGACGCATCCAAAATAATCATCGGCGGCCACACAACCTGTAATCAAACGGAAAGTTCCGCCTTCGTCATACAGAGCAGGTGACCCACATAAGAGCCTCCTTCTCCCTCACTTTCTCAAACTCCCAAACATCCACTCAGGACACCCATCTCCAACGCAGCTCCAATGTCGTCCTCATACTCAACCTGGTTCCAAAAGGGCGTCAACCCTGGAACCATTATCGCTCTTGACAAACTCCACCCTTCCCAATGGAAGATCCTCGAGAAGCTGAACGAGCATGAATATCGGTACAACCAGGGGGAATACGCTGACTATGGCTTCCGTTCGTTCGCCACCGCTAAACTCCTTTGCTGTGACCCCCAAGACCGAAAAACGACAGCTTTTATGCGAATCTACATTCAAATTCCCTACCGACCCTTTAAAACAGACGATCCTGCTACCAGAGGTCAACAGGCCACAACGTTCACCCCGCCAGAATTGACTGCTCTTCTGGATCTCACTCAAAAGCGCTCAACCAACACACCAAAGCTTCTTGGATACAAAGTCAGCACTCAGGATAGCTTAGGGCCAGTTCCAGGTGGTTTTGTTATTTGGCTTGTGTGGGAAATTGTTCCAGGGCTGCGCCTCGGCGATAGTACTGGCGCCGATGCATTTTGGGGCCTTGAAAGCTTCGAAAGAGAGCAAGTTCGCTCGATCTTTATCAAGGGTCTTCCGTAAGTTCGATGGTTCTTCTTTCTCCCTGCCTCTCTGTCTTCGTGCTAAATCTAACCTTTATCGCCGGTTTAGCAAGCTATTCGAGAACGGGTGGTGGCCGAGTGTTGCCAGAGCAAAAGATCTGGTTTGGCATCGGGAGACGCAAACAGTGTATGTCTTTTCCACGCTATCTGATGTGAGGCGATGTGCTGACATAGTGTGGAAGGTACTTTATCGGACAGTTCAGTAGGGCCGGTAAGCCTAAACGTCCGATTGAGTATGGCCCTGCCTGGTTAGCGATGTTCGACCTCGCTATACCCGATCCTCCAATTAGATATGACGAGGAAAACTGCGATAAAGACACTTCAGGCTGGAAATGGTAGTTGAGAAAACCAAATTGTTCGTTTAGCTTCATATTGTTCTGTCGGTCAAGTTCAAGATATCCAGTGCGCCATCGCGGGAATTTCGTACTCATTATTCAGACAACCGATCTCTCGTGGATGATAATACGTTGTATCAATTGAACAGTTCTAGTGAAAATATAGAGCAATAGTTAGCACAATCTTATCATGAAACTTGTTCAGTTAATCTTGGGAGATGCCAAGACTCGAAGGACACTGGGGAAGGGCTGACGCGGTCCCTCGGAGCACAAAACCTCCGAGGGAGCCCTTAACGCCCTTGATCATTGTACTGTCGACTTTCAAAATCCCCTTTTTGCACATTGAAACAAGCTTCTTTGCAATCCACTCACAGTTATTCGTCAGCCCCGCGACGATCTCTCTCCGTCTCGAGTAAGCTCGTGGGGCGACGATATATCGAGCCCCACGCTTCGCTGTGTCAGGAAAAGCCGTCGACACGCGGCGCCAAGCACCCATAGAGATTCCGCCCTAAATAAGGATGTGAAGCGTCGTAGAATCACGCACAGGGAGGTATTCTAAATAGTCTCTGAAGGGTTCCTTCTAACAATAACCTCGTCCCCTGGGATCCCGCCTGTCTCCAGAATGACGCGTCCGTTTACAACGTCGAGATAGCCCGCCACGGTTGGAGAGGTATAAAATGGCAGATGGGCCAGGTATCTCTGGATCTTGATCAGCATCACACACAACATCGCTCACAAACTCCTCTTTATCATCATGGTCCAGCTGTCAAAGATTCTTGCCGTTGCGGCGGCTTGTTTGGCTACCCCTGCTGTTGCTCACCCCGGCGAGAAGCACGACCCGCATGTCGTCAAGCGGGAGGTTCACGCTCGTGATGCCATGGCTGCGGCAGCCAAGCGCTCGCTTGGTGGTTGCGAGAGCTCTCTTCATGCGCGAGAGTTGAACAAGCGCAGTGTTGCTCGTCGTGCACGTACGGTCAATCAGCTTCGTCAGAAGCGTGGTATCACTGCTAGTAAGCATATCTATCCGAACCCCAAATTGACTTTCACGCTTTTTGAAAACTAACACATCGCTTTTGGCAGACCCCCAGAAATGGCGCCGTAACCTGGCCCAACTCGAGAAGTGGGAGGCAATTGACCACAACAAGACCGACATTCTCAACTACAGCCCGGCCACCCCGGAGTCGATCATCTTCTCGGCTAACACCAGCTGTATCCTGACTCCTACCATCACGGATGGTCCCTACTATGTCTGGGGTGAAGTGATGCGCCAAAATGTCAAGGAGGAGAAGTACTCGGACGGAGTGGATATTTTCCTGGAAGTGCAATACATTGACATCAACACTTGCCGGCCTGTCCCGGGAGCTCTTGTTGATATCTGGCAAGCCAATGCCACTGGCGTGTACAGGTCAGTCATTCTTCTAACATCAACATCCATCCCCATCTTTCAAGAACCAATCTGACCCGAAAGTAGTGGTATTTCTACGTCTGGTAACTACGCCGCCGACGGATGGGACTCGACTTACCTGCGTGGCATTCAGCAAACCGACCGTGACGGCGTGGTTGAATTCGAGACCATCTTCCCCGGTCACTACGATGGACGCGCGACTCACACTCACCTGTTGACCCATTTGAACGCTACTCTCCTTCCCAACAAGACTCTCGAGGTGGGCACCGGCAGTGTGGCCCACATCGGCCAGCTCTTCTGGAACGAGGTCCTGCGCAGCGCCGTGGAGGATACCTACCCATACAACACGAACACTCAGAGCATCACTACAAATGAGGATGACATGTGGAGCGTGCTGCAAGCCAACAGTGCTTACGACCCCTTCCCGGAGTACATCTACCTTGGAGACGATCTCGACGACGGTCTCTTCGCTTGGATTCAGATTGGCCTCAATGCTACCTTGGATTACACCGACAACTCGTACTACAGCATTGCTGCCTACCTGGAAGCTGATGGTGGCCACAAGAACAGCGACAGCGTCGTGGGCGGAGGAAGTGCTCCTAGCGGTACCAACGGCACCATGCCCTCCGGGATGGGCAGCCCCAGTGCCTCTGCCTCTGCCTCTGCCTCCGCATGAGGGGTTTGGCGTTGATGCGGCGTCAATCTGATCCATGGGACTAATTCAGCCGAGGGGACGATCCATACGGAGAACACCCACATGGAGAACACCCAACCCATGTCGAGAGTTGTCAAATACTGGGGGATTGCTTTGGACAGTGGAATAGAGTATAGAGGTATCCATTATTGCAGGTAGAAAGAGATCGAATAGAGATATAGAGTTATTGATTTCTCCCCCTCACCGTATGCATTTCTTCCCTGGCGGACGGAGCAATGCCCTGTATTCCGTTTCGAAGGCAGTACAAATATTCTCGTGCAGTGCATATGTCGACTCCGGACCAATCACCTACCCCAGGAAACGTGAACCAAACCATCGTTCAAGCAGGGTCCATGTGATGTGCGTTGCTCGGAGATCCGAGCACCTTCTTTTCCGCGCGTGTAAACTTCTAAAGAAGGGATAAACTTAACCTTATGTATATACAATCGATCATTATTGCCCTTTTCTGGACATGGCGGCGCCATGTTGGGGATAGTGCGGCAATAGCCGCGCACGGACTGCAATGAATACATATGTTATTTTGGAGGGCGATTTGGCAGATCAGACTAATGAAAATCATCGGCACTACTTCGTATTTACTCCGCTTGGGCTGAGCTAAGAAAAGACGATCCTCTAAGAGGAGTTGCTTAGCGATGGACAAGGCGATGGACCAAATCGGAATTATTTTTATATTCGATAAGGTCGTTTCTAGAATGGGCAACTAGTCCCAATGAGGAAGGCACTAGTCGTCATTACCCTTTTCAGTAATTAGGGCTAGGGCTGCCGGTCTTCCGGTGATGAGGTAATCTGATCCCCCGATCCCCCTCCTGCCGAGGCTCAGTCGATCTCTTGACCTTGTGGCAACCTTGCCGGGTATTCCGGACGACATGTGTTAATTCAACAAAACACCATTGCATGGATGTCCCTGGGGGATCTCAGCAACAGGCTTTGATCAGAATTATGCAAAAGCCTACCTCTCGGAAATATTTCACAGCGGAGTTCAACTCGCCCCTCTCCTTTTTCCCAAGTTCTTCCCCCGTGCCCACATTCCATACCAGTGGTTCCTATCCCTGGTTCCATACCGCCGGGCTTCGGGGAATTTGACTCCACGCGGACGGGCGAACTACCTGGAAAGGAGAACAGTCGGGATGGCTGGCAACGCCACCATCCAATCATCACGTAACATGCGTGGCTGTGAGTTGACCGATGCGGCTCCTTGCCCGGCTTTTCGAAACTCATCGCCGCTAGACCCAAGATAACCCGTATGGCCTGGGCTCCTTGGAAGGCTTGGCCACGTCGACGGAGTCCACCGAAAAGACGAGAGACGACCGTGCCTTGGGTCGACAATATGAACCAGATGCAGCGAGCTGGCAGAAAGGGTCATGCATGTGCCGATGCTCAATGCTAATGCCAATACTATACCAACGAAGATTACCGTGGATCATCACCATCACCTTCCGGACTCAGAACCCGATCCAATGGCCCCCTTCATCACCCTATGACTAAACTTCTCATCCCGCAAAGCGGCCTCGACCCGGCTTACTTCCCCTGTTAGCCACCGCGCCTATCCGAGTGTAGTAGTCGTAGTAGTAGTATCTTGGGGCAACTTTGCAATTCGCGTGCCGATCGACAAAAAATAGACTCGGCCCTAAGAGTCAATTCCCCCCACTTGTACCGAACGATGGTGATACGCCCACCATGCACACCATGCAGGGGGCAAGAAAGAGGAGAAAAGAGGAGGCAAGAAAAAAAGCAGGTTGGAGCAAAGACCAGAACAGTGGGTTCTCCTTAGTCTCGGCACCAAAGTCAGGCGCAAAAGTGGAGGTCTAGAAACTCTCGTGAAGGTTTCCATAGGAGATAATAGCCGGGCAATAGCGTGGGGATCTTCAGGGAATAAAACCACGAGGAACCCCGGCCTCATTTTTGAGCTACCCTCTTCTCCCCCTCTTTTTGGCTGTTTCTGGCCTCGACCTCGCCCTGGTCGATTCCATCTTTCCTACCGCATCCTGGATGCGGATAGGATTTGGTGACAGCGTGACTCCTTCAATTCCGCCATGAATGCCACAGAGGAGATCGCCTACAAGGCTGCGGTCCAGGCTGCAGTCCAGGATGATAGCCGCAGCAATGCCATTCTCATTGTCACCGCGGTCTTTCTCGGAATTTCCCTCAGCAGTGTCCTTCTCCGATGCTTTGTACGAACCCGCATCGTACGGGCCTTTGGATGGGATGATATCATCATGCTATCAGCCATGGTAGGTCGACCGAGATTGAAGCAATGCGCATATCGTAGGGCGCGATGCGCTAGAAACTATGCGCTACGTTTGAAATGATCTGGTCTAACGTTGTTTCTCATATAGGCATTGAATATGGCCTTTGCGATTTGCGGTATTATAGGCGCCAAGTATGGCATTGGTCGGAAATTGCTGTATTTTGTCGAGTATCCGGACAATCTAGAACACGCGCTATTGGTATGTACATGGTCTCTGTTGAATCGCAGGATTGGAATTCGAGATCCAATGGACAAGGCCATCAGGCAGAGAAGCTAATTCCAATTGCGCCTGTCCAGTGCTGGTGGCTAGGCCAAATTTTCTACGTGATCACTTGCGTCCTCGCCAAAGTCTCGATTATCATCACCTTGTTGCGCATTACGGTTGATCGCCTGCATGCCTGGATTCTTTATTCGGCTATTACCCTCTCCACCGCGGTCGGTCTGGTTTTCTTGCTCTTCACCATTTTCCAGTGCAATCCGGTGCCATACTTCTGGCACCAGGGATCGACCACGAGCCATGGGTCCTGTGTCAACAAGGACACTCTCATTGCAATCGCGTACCTCTACAGTGTCGGTGCGGCCGTCACCGATCTGACCATTGGTCTCCTTCCAGTGGCGTTGATTTGGAACTTGCGCATGAATCAGCGGACTAAGAGTGCCATTATTATCATTTTGGGTATTGGTTGCATGTAAGTCTCTTCTTGGCCTTTCGCCTCTTGACGACGTCGTTTGGCCACCGGAGCTAACTAGTCCACTTTGAACAGTGCGAGTGCTGCGGTTATTGTTCGCATTCCCTTTGTCCACCACTACAAAGACACCGAATTTTTATGTATGGACCCGCTTTCCTCTGCTCTCGCCCGCAGTTCCGAGAACTTCATCTAATTGACACTTTCTATAGATAACACATACCAGATCTCCATCTGGTCCAACGTCGAGGCAGGTCTCGGCATCACTGCTGGCTGTCTGACGACTCTGCGACCACTCATCCGCTTCCTCCGCGACGGCTCCTCCGCCTCGCGCAGCCGCAATCGCACCCCCGGATCTTTTCCCTTATCTAGCAATGTGGCGCAGGGATACCGGTCATCACGTTCCAAGCATGGGCGGGACGACTCGCACCAGCTATGGACGGGCAGCGAGAATGACGAGTATCATGGCGTGACAACAACCATTATGGGTAGCCAGCGGCCGAATCCAACCAGTAGCAGTGAAGAGGATCTCAACCCGACAAACCAGCAACGTCCGACAGGGTGGAAGGTCGAACGGTCCGTTCGGGTGTCCGTGCGCGACGATTCATGATCTGATCGAGGGACGGAGTTGGATTAATTATTAATTTGTTTTAAGTCAAAAAGGACATCCCCGTCCGTGATACGACGGAGTACTTGCGGAGTAGATTTTACTACCGCAAGGATCATTTTTTGCATGTATAATTAAAGATACCACTAATGACGAACTGCAAAGAACAAGAAATCATTCTTCAAGTTTCATGTCTTCCTGAATATTTTCGTCTGCATAAAATCGCATTCTCCATCCACCATTCAACCACCAATCGGACTAATGCTTCCTAACAAAACCCATTATATCCACACCCGAAACGCCCATTCGTCACCATTGGCCGCAGGGGCAACCACCAACGGGAGCCTGACAAGGCACGATCAACGTGGCGCCGGTGGGTCAGCTGTAAGCGAGATGATCCTCATGAGCACAAGCCGCCTTGAACGGGCATCGACTCGAGTGACTGGCCGTTTCACCTTCAACGTTTTGTCTGGTTTAGGCTTAGCAAAGACTATCCCGTGTATAAGATTATCTCTATTTTGAATCCCGCGATTTAATCCGTCATGACGAACGCCATGACCAAGAGGCTGAATTCTAGAACGAGCAACGGTCGTGGGCTGTGCCGAGGTTTACCCTGATAATTTGATCGCAGTGCAGCCAAGTACAGTCATATCGATCGATTGATTTATCTGCAGGCGAAGGGCTGCTGGGCGTCGGACGATCCCCGAGGAAGGCAGTTGGACACTACAGTACATACATACTGTATAAGGCTAATGTACAGTACTTCGGGCTGTTCTCACTCGCTAATGCAGCTCCACATAGAGTTTGACTCTGCCCATTGTTAGCACCGTCAGCATTATTATGATGTACAAGGCCTCGATGGGCCGGCCATTTTTTGCCCAGTCCAGAGCTCTACCAGGGTCTTGCACAGTTAGTCTTCGACTCCGCTGTGGAGAATAATTGCCGACCGAGCCAATGTTTCAAAGACATCAGCAAGGCTACTGCCGAAGACAAATTAGTCTTTAGAGATGTACAGTACTCTGTGAATAGGCTACAATATTCATTGGGCATGCAGTCCATAATACTCAGAAGACTACACTTGCCTCCGCGGCGTAGTTGACCAAATAAATCAGGTTCATTGATTCATCTCCACATTAAATTTGCAACTTGTTCGACTAGAACGGGTAATAAAACAAACAGACGCACAGTATCGTATAAACGATGCCATAGTATTCCCACCATCGTTTCACTCCTTCACCTCTTGGGTCGTCTCATTGCGCACAAGACCCTCCTGCGAAGGGGACACACCGACGGCATACGCGTCCACGTGGGTGGAAGCGAACTTGCGCGCAGGAACCTTTGTCGCGAAGAGAAGGTCCAGCTCGGCATAGGTACGTCCCTTGGACTCAGGAAGACGGAAGTAGGCCCAGGTGAAGGCGATCAGGGCCGTGCCACCCCAGAAGAAACCGGTCTTACCAGACGCGTTCCAGGCCGTCGGGTTCATGAAGTAAGGCTCCAGCACCTGCGAAACAACGTTGACCACCTGGTACGCCGTGCGGGCCAGGCACACGGTCAAGGGGCGCAGGCGCACAGAGGAAATCTCCGACACGATGGCATACGCGATGGGGCCGACGGTCAGCGAGTAGACGAACAGCCACATGAAGCAGAACGCGGCTTGTGCCCACATGCCGCCCGAAGTGTGCGAGGCCGAGTTGACGATGGCAATGAGGAACAGCAGGGTGCAAAGGATACCCTGGCCCCAGACGTACAAGGTTCGACGGCCAAGGTAAGTGATCAGCCACCAGGACAGAGCAACTCCGACAAAGGCGACTCCGGTACAGCCAACTCCCAGCTGGAATGCTCGGTTGGCATGCATGCCGGCCTGTTCGAAGAAATACGTTGGGGAGTAGGCGAAGGTGCTGCCAGACAGAATCTGGCCGAAGAAGGCGACACAGCAGATTTCCGTGCGGCGCAAGTCAACGCCCGTGAAGCAGTCCCAGTAGGTGGTGCCAGCCTCAATATCGGCCTCGAGCTTAGTCGTGTGGACCATCATGGCCAACTGACCATTGATTTGCTCCTCGGTCTTGTTTCCTCCCAGACGACGGAGACTATGCTTGGCATCTTCCAGACGATCTTTTCGCACCAAATACCAGGGACTCTCCGGAGCCAGCCAGCAGATGACCATCAAAGGGACGGGCCATATCCACTGCAGAGCGAAGGGAATGCGGTATGACCATTGATCGGTTCGGCTCACCAGTCCGTACAGCACGCCGGATGCAATCAGCTGACCGATAGCCCAACACATGTTCACATAGGTGGTGAGATAACCACGCAGGTTTGTCGGGCAGACCTCCGAGGCATAGGCAGGGCCAATCGTGGCGAACACACCCCAGGACAGACCACAGAGGATCTGACCGACGAGCAAGACGGCAGCGGAGTTGGCGAAGAAGACGACGAAGATGAATGCGGTCATGAATCCCAGGGCGACGATCATGACCATACGATATCCGTACTTGCTAGCCATGTAGCCGTTCAGAATACCACCTAAAGAGCATTAGGTACGAAGCACAACCCAAGATGATAGCCCGGGAACAAAAAAGATGCAGCAACTCACCAAAGATACAACCGACCGTACTGGCCATGCTCAACCCAGTCTGCCACGGAGCAGACACCTGATAACCGGTTTCCTCACCATACCACTGGCCATACTTCTTATTGAAAGAGGGATAGGCAAAGAAATTTCCCATCAGGATGGTATCGTAACCCTCCATGATAATTGACATGGAAATCAAGACGGACCATGCCACGGCCTTGCGGTTGTCACGCAGAGCCTGGAAAAGGGTTTGCGCATGTTCTTCATCGGTGGCCTGCTTGGCCTCGATGACTGCGCCAACACCTAGTGTATCCTCCACATGGTTGGCGGCCGCCTTCTCCAAAGCAATCTCGGTCTGGGTCGCGGTCGTCGCCATATCGAGAGCTGGTGATCGAGTGGATGATGAATATCCGTAACACCGACACCGACACAATCCCGTAGTCCCAGAGCCTCGTAGAGTCGGTATATCGTGTGGTCTCGTTATAAACCCTCGCAATGAACCCGATCGACACGGACGGACCCCCTCGTAGGCTTATATACATGGTCCCCCGGCGGCCATCATCTCATCCCACCCCTGCACGTGCCGCAGTAGAGGATCCAGGGAATTGCGGAGAGAGCTAGGGACCAACCGCGGAAGCAGCTTCGGTTGTATTCAGGCTAATACGGACAGCAAGGATCAGGATGGGAGTGCCCTATTGACCAGTCGTAAGCCGTTGAGATATTGTCTCATCCCAGCCAGGGAATGTCAAAGCTGCGAAACAGCTGCATTTTCGCACCTATCATGGGATGGAAGGGATGACGCTAGGTTGAATGAGGATAGAATGCGGGAATCATAGGATGATTAAGATCAGCTAAGCGGCCTGTTTCTGGGGTAGTTTGATTCTGGATCCTCTGGGAGGGTCTGGAGTTGAGGAGTGTTGGGGTGATGATTGGATGCACAGTCTAAGGGGCTTGACGCCTCCCCGACTTTCTCATCTTCGCTTCCTCCCCGCTATTCCTCATCCGATACGGGGGATAAGTCGACCATTGCATGAATCTTCCGAATGGCACTAGCGATCGGGTAAAAAAAGAGACTGTCCAGAGATCCTCACAGACCTCGATGAACTTGAAACGGGGCATTCTATTCTCCTATCCAGGCCGAATTCTCTGAGTGGTGTACTCATCGGTCGCGATTCTTCGGACCGGCGAGTTGACCTTGGCCGATTGAGTCATTAGCCCTTTAATAGCACCAGAAATCGCTTCCATCGGGCCTTTTTCGGGCTTTTAATTAGCCGCCGACTGAGTTAACTAGCCTTCTTTCCCGACTCACTCTAACTATACCGTAATCCACAGCCGATTCGGCCACGCTGGGTAAGTCTCCCTACTATTCTAATTCAAAACGCGCGATTACCCACTATATCTCTGTAATATTTAAGACTCCTTACCACATCCATCAAAATCATTAACCCGAGATATATTTTCCTTCATCTTTAGACTGAGCAATAAAACTTAGTATTATTCTCTTAGACGGGGGCTGGGTCGTCGCCAAGGGCAGTGTGATTCTTTGACGCCTTTTGGGAGCAGTAGCTTCTTACTTTACATTTCTCTTAGCAACTAATGTCTTTACATATCTTCTTTCCGTACCATTAGCCATCTAAAATAACTGGCTTCACTATCCAAATAGTGGTTATTTGAATCTTGATCCCATAACTTGGAGTAGGTGTGCAAGAAAGTTACACAGCGAACTTGTCCGAACGTAAGGCATCTCAGTTTCCCCAAGCGCAGCCCTTTGCATTACCATTCCGACAGTCGGATTTATCTCGGAAATAGGCAAAGATCGATGGGCAGTAATTTTAAACGGTCTTGAATGAATGACTTTTTGTTGAATTAATGATCACTTGTTCCACCATGAGAGAATTTTACAACCGCCGAAACGCACCCTGAGGTGTTACTGGAATCGCTAAAAATACCCCTATTTCGGGCAATGATCAGTTGGAGTATTCCAACGGCCGGAACTAGCTATTTCCTGCTATAAGATTCCTTCGAGAGTTTCGGGAGGTTGAGATCGTGGTGAAGGGTAATATGTATGTATGGAGTGGAATTAGACAATGTGGTGGCCAGCACGTGTATGTAGTGTCAAGCCTCTTTAAGGGAGTAGGTCTCTGGGTCGCTCGCATTTGTGGCCTGGGCCGCACGGCTGGCGAACTGATGAAGCATCAGTTCTCGGATCGTTCTTATTTTCAATTAACCACGACGCTAGTGGCAGATATCGCAAGCGTAATTGAATAATCGCTCAGCTCCTGCACCAATTGCTGGGATTGAGAGAATGTCCCGTGCCACCCTTACTAGAATAGGGAACTCATACTCATGCCCCCTTGAACTGGGTATGCTTAATAATTCGGAAAGGCAGGTGAGCGGCAGAGATAAAGTCTAGTATCGCTTTTACTAGATGCTCCTGGGAGAAGGGTAGGCTTTATGGGAGACTTGACGTTAGGATAGTAGATCAGAATTAGCAAGAGAGATACTAAGAGTCCAGATTATAGAAGAATAACATACTGTCAGATTTATGCGCGGTACATATAAGCGTTGTGTAGACAAGAAGCGTATGTGCGCATGAGAAGATAGGATGAAGCGAGACTGGACATAAGATAGCAAAGAATCGGCTTCTTAAGCAGAGGAAACCAAACTGTAGAAGGTGGGTTTACTATGATCCTTATAGCCTGCTCATATCATGAGGGAATGAGCTTTAAATATTTTGAGAATACTGAGCCCAAGACATTCTCGGCTTTCTGGAAATAAAATTAAACACTAGGAGAAACTACCTATGACTGCCTCTAGTGCCAGCTAATTAGAAATGCAGATCTATTTTTATATGCTGCTTATGCCGCCTTGCATTGGTATTCGTTTTTCTCGAACTACTTCTAAAAGTGCCCCGTGAATCCCACCTTTCTAGGAGGCTACTTTTGATGACCTAGTCAAGGCGATTAGGTAGGCAGTTCCAGTTTTAGATTCTTTGCGTGGGCTTTTGTGGGTTACCTTACAATTCACCACCCAAAAAATCTTGACAGTTTCATCTTTCCAAAAAGCTAATTTTGGCTACCTCTAAGCACTAGGAGCATGGTTCGCGATTCTCAGTCAAACGCAGTTGCGCATAATCGTAAGTTAACGCAACGCTAAATACAGTAGTCGCAATTGAGGTTAAAAGTCCCATATTGTAGCCTTTGACCATACTTAGACTGACTGACCTGACGCACTAAATGCACCGCAAGTACCAACAATGACATTGTAACCTCCTGTATCAGCAAATTCCTGGCCAGAGACGACATAAACGGAAGCGTTGCATCCAAACAGGGTGCAAGATGCACTAGGCGCCCACATGCAGTTCCGGTTAATATCCTGAGCCATGGTTGCAACGGTTCCACAGGGAATTGTTATGGCGTTGTAGTTGTCGTTACAGAGTACAATAGCCGCTCCGCCATTGCACGTAGTACGGATGCATTGACGGGCCGCCACAGAGCACCCTGCAGTGACACCACGAAGATGCTCAATGCCATCGTTAACAGAGGTGGCCCCAACTTGGCCGAAATTGTTGCAGTATCTCTGAACAGATTATATAATGTTAGCGCTTAGCTCCAAGTGATTGCGTATTAATTATAATCAAGCATAGAAGTAGCATACCTCTCGCTTTTCAAGGCGTCCCTCTGTCACACTGCGTTCGGAAACGATTGCATTATTGAATGCATCCAGAGAACCATCAAAGATGGAAAATCCAGGCTTCTTGGCTTGAACAATAACATCAACATCCTGGATAGAGTATTAGCTATGTACAAAGATACAAAGTCAAACCAGAATCATCTAATACATACGTCCAGATCATCAGCCCAGATGGTCTCTGTAGGCCCATCCTTGGAAAGCCGGCCAACCCACCCTACTTGGCCCATAGGGTAGGGCGGTTTGATGTCCGAATCGTCTACTGCTGGACGTGCCTAAAGAATAAGTCAAGTTTGTTAGAGTTACCTAAAACCGCGTAATAAATAGGTGGAGTGGGCTTTACCAAGGCTGGGACCACTGAAGCAGCAAAAGCAAAGATAAGTGCAAAGTTCTTCATAGTGGAAGGCTCAGCTTAGCAAGAGCAATTGTAAATGACTTGGGAATCTTTGGGACAGTTTGAACGACTAGCCGGCTGGATGCACGGTGATGATATGAAAGTGAAGTTCTCAATGGATGCGAGGAAGCCTGGGGTATTTATACTTGAACTCACTCCATCAGAGTGTTCCTTCCGTTCATATTGAAATCAAAATCATCTAAAATAGTGGGGATGTAGGCCAATTGACGGTCATAAGAGTCGAAAAGGATCCGAGTGCATCTTTAGCCTAAACATTCTAGAGAAATGTAATGCCCTGAATTGCCAAACGTACGAGAATTATGGATGATTCTCGAAAGGTGTGTGCATAACGGGACAGCCCGACATTATCGAGACCCTGAAAAGAAGGTTACATCACGAAGATGTAAACCTAGGTCCTATTTTCTTTTGTGGGCCGGTAGCAGGGATCGTGATCGAACTAGATACCGAATTGGATCGTCGTCTCCGGCACTACGGGTGGACGATCCGGATCAGATGGGCCCCGAGGCACATGAACGAGGCAGGGAACGAGGGGGCCGATGTTATGGCCAAGGAGAGCACAGAGGGAGCCTCCTGTAAGGCTAAGCTGCGGGAGAACGGCTGCGGCTGAGTGGGGAAAAGCGCAGGAAGGGTTCCCCTATAGGCACTGACTGCGAGATATCCTCCTAAAGCCAACGAGGCTCCGTCGGGCCAGGAGCGCTATTCTGATTTAGATGAAATTCGTACGCCTAGCATGATCTATATCCGAACAACTATGTGGGCCCTCCTTACAGTATCACTTGTCTTGCTAGCTTGCCTACTAATTATGTAACGTACTTCGTAAGTCGGCGGCCAACTTGAGGTTGAGCAGAAGGAGATGGAGGTCATCAAGGAGTATCTTCCTGCTGAGGAAGCTGCATTGCTGGATTAAGCTCGAAAAACAATGCCCCAGCTCGAAACAAGTCTTATATGGTCCTCCGGCGCGTGCCGAGACAGAGGATCCGGGGAATTGTGGAGAGAGCTAGGGAACCAATTGCACGTCGGTTTCGGTTACATCCAGGATGAGCAGTTCCTGCCAGCCAGTCGTAAGACGTTGGTATATTGTCTCCTCCTACAGTAGCGAGGGAATGTGAAAGCTAGGCTAACAGGTCCAATAGCTGCATTTTCGCACCTATCATAGGATCGAAGGCATGGCGCTAGGATGAAAGAGGAGATTACGAGCGGTAATTCACCCGAGCATAAGATCAACCCACTTTGCTGTTTCTGGGGTAGCGAGACCCTGGAGGTGGATAAAAAGGAGAGTCACGAGGTGGTGATTGCCAAGACTTTTCCAACTTCGCTTCATCCCCCGCTATTCCCCATGTGAGACGGGGGGCATGCCCACATTTTCAACATTCCCCCGAGTGGCACCAGCAATCGGGTTAAAAAGGGAAGCTCGCGGATGAGTTTCATATTTCAACGGGTTTCAACGGGCTTGCAGAGGTGCCAGAGGAAGATGCAATGTCGAACTGTCTAATGCTGCCTTCTCTGGGGCAAATTACTCGGACCGGCGAGTTCGCCTTGACCGATTCAGTCGCGACTGGCCGTATTTTTAAAGGACGCCTTCCGGTCGCTTGTGAGCCATCGGGCCATTCTGTGCCTTGATTTTAGCCGCCGACCGAGGAAATTAGCTTTACCGAGCTCAGTTTATACTTGAAGCTTTCAACTTCCCAAGTGGCTGCGATGATCGGAGATGACGGAAATGAGGGGACATTTGGAAATACAAAGTACGGCACACTATGAAGCAGCATTGTCGCTGGAATCTTTATTCCATTCACCCTCCATGCTATCTTCTTCCTCGTCTGCTCACACGCCAACCTCGAAGATCTGATACTCCACAAGCCGCTGGTCATTCTCCACGCTGAATCGCCCACGGGCCACAAAAAGCTTCGATTCCGTCCACTTGAACTGAGGTACTAGACAAAAGATCATTCAATTAACATGTCGTCCGCGAAAAGACAAATCGGGGAGCCATGTTGCCTACCGCCAGTCTCGATCACTGGTCGTACCCACCAGTCATGATCCTCAAACTCCGTGGATTGAGCATCCGGTCCGCGAGCCATAAACCGTCTCGCCTTCTCATCCATCTTTAGATACCCAGTGTACTGCACGGACACGCCCGATCCATCCGAAAGCTTGCCCTGGGTACGAACGTCAATCTGCATCACATCCGTAACCGGGTCATGTAGCACCCAGTCACTTCCACCGGGCACGAGTGTGGCATCCATGCCTTCGCCTCGGGTGTTGGGAACACCGCGGAAAAGCCCGGCATTCAATGGAGTAATATGCTTGTGAGAGCCACTAGGATGCGTTCCAAGATGGACACTTGACTGAGGAACCTGTATTTGAAGAGTAAAGACATGGGTCAATTTTGGCTCCATGATTTCGAGTTGAAGCAGTTGGTGCAGGCCAAACGGTCACCCAGCTTCTGTGTTTTCCCCTCCATGCGCGGGGCAAGATTCATTATTCCAGATACTAAGACAGGGCCAAACAGATACCATCCGAAATCGGCTTAACCTTGCGCTTGATGCAGTTCTCAGGATCCGCTATGCGGCCATGATTGGCCATGATGAATGGGTTGAGCTGCACGCTAACGCGGAGTCATGCACGACGGTACATGTATTGTTTCGTCTCTCAGGAAACACTGCAGGCAGTGATAATGACTGTGTATATAAAGACTATTTACAGGGCTTGAAGGACGAGCTCGATCTAGTTCGAGGGGGGTATAATAACTCCAAAAATCACAATGCAGATAACTCCAGCACATGCGCTTATGCGATCTCATGATGCATGTCGGTCCATCGACAATATGCGAACCCATCCTCCTTAACTGCTATCGATGCGAAGCTGAGTTTCATACTCGCCAGCCCGTCGCTTCGTCTTCGATCCAGCCAGGCGAAGGGACCAAAACGGCCGGTGATCCAAAGTGCTCACTTCCGAGCCAGAATCCCGGACCACCCAGTTGGTTTGACCCTGAGATCCCAGCAGGAAGCCATCAACCGATTCCCCGTTGGCGTATTGCTGATATACCTCGACGGAATCGCTTTCCTTGGAGCCCAGTCCCCATTCCATCTCGCCCGTCCTAGGATCTCGACGAATCCCGATCGCATGCCAATCTAACCCGCTAGCGCCGGAAGGAACATAAGCTTCGAAGGTGTGCAATGCGCCGTTACAGCGGAACATCGTCTTCGTACTGTGTAAACTGTCGCCGATGGTAATCTACACGAACAATTGGTTAGTCTCCGATGGCCTCCTACGACTAAACACACCAAATAAACACTCAACAACCCGAAAGACATACAATTCCATGTTCAATTCCTTTATCTCCCGCCGACCGCTTCACGTCGCAGGTAGCTCCATAGCCCTCGATATTGCATGCGCCATTGAAGGCTGTCCCATTCCGACATCCCGTGAGCTGAAATGACCACGGACCAGCAATATTCGTCTCATTATTCCAGCTAGGAAGTGTCGAGCATCCATCAATTGGGGTATTAGTGACACTGCGTGGTTGTGCCTGCACTCCGATCGCGAAGCTCAGCGCGATCACAAACACCGAGGGAAATAGCATAGCGACGAGATCGCGAAGGCGAAAGATTACAAAAAAAAAATTCTAGAAGAAAACGATGCAAGAGAAAAGAACAAACTTCAATGATCATCAATAATCCGCAATCAGGCTGCCTAGCTTGAACCAGTGGGTTGGCCTCGTATGTCGAGAGTTCCCAGTCTCCACCCAACGCGTTGCTCTCTCCACAATCCTCCATGGGATCCGCCATGCGCCTCGTTCCTATTTATGTATTCAGTTAGGGGCATTGGCAATAGGCAGTTTACAACAGAATCTCAATGACACAATATCAGCAATAATCTGGGGGCGAACTCAGCTTATTGGACTGGTGAATTGAACAGCCTGATCGGGTTTTGTCGATCATCAAGGAGGCTGCAGCCTTGGGCGAGTGGATTTTGAGGCGGAGTCTTGTGCCAGCACAGACGGACACCAGGACTTTAAAACGTCGGGCAGTTTATGATGTGAATTGCAACGGCTGTGGACCCGTCAATTAGACTGTAGTTTTTCCCCAGAATATTATCTCAAAGTAGACAGAAATTGTCCTTGTTGGTCCATCGTCGCCGCTACAAGTTGATCATCTTGTCGGCCCCCTCGCGACGTCATTCCTGATTAGGCCCTCACTATTTTAAGAATAAATCATGACCAAAGATCAAGGACACCAGAAGGACACTAGAATTATAGACAGGGCGATTTTCGAGGTAATGAAGATCTATATGTGCTTCGGGTCCAATGGAAATGGGGGGTCCAAGTTTCAAGTACCTCTGGCCTGTGGGGAGAAATATATATCTGCACATGATGAATCCAACAGTATCTGCTAGGATACAGTATTTAAACTAAGATACGGGATTTAGATAGAATATTTACTCTTCTGCAGTATTTAAAGAGATATTGTACCTAAATAGAATGCGGTCAAAAATTTAGAATCTTTTAGAGTGCCATGTTTTGCCCCAATCCAGGGCCGTTAAACTACCGGTTAGGTAGTTCGAAACCTCGACGCGCCCGTATGGACGTTATATATCGTATGGTGTCATGGAACCTTGAGAAGAAATGCATTCATTCATTAGTGGATAATAGATTGGACGACAACGTCCCTCTATACCAAGTCTCTATGATCTATATAGTACTCATCATCATGGACATAACATAACTCATCAACAACACCAGGTGCCGATCCCTGAAACACTTACGCCTCGCGGGCTAGCAAACCCTCAGCCTCCTGTGCATCGTCGGTGGCTCCTCCGTGCGATTTATGCCCTTCCTTCAGCGTGTCCGCCATGACCAGAGCATCGCGACGACCCTTCTCGGCATTCACCATCCAGACTAATGGGATAGGCAACACGATCAGTACGGCAATGAAGAAGAATCCTGTCCGTACTTGGCCAGTCGCATCAATAAGCACACCGACCACTGCTGGCCCAATAAACGAACTTCCCTTGTCGGTGGCCGCATATAGGGCGTAGAAGGCTGCTTCGCTGCCCGGGGGAATCAACAACCCAAAGAAGGACCGGCAGTAGGATGCCAGGCCGCCAGAAACGATGCCGTGGATGATGCCCAATGGGAAGATCTCCCATGGCTTTTGCAGGCCAATCACCCCCCACTTCTTCACAAAGGGAATGTACGCCAACATTCCGTACAATGGAATGATCTCGAAGAGGGCAATGCACAAGATAATGGTGTGGTTCGACTCCAACCCAAATCGTCGAGAAACGTGCGGCCAGAGGAATGCCCCCGCCATCCCCGAAAGAGTGACGGTAATGGACAAGCAGGCAATAGCGGTTGTGCTCATCTGAAGCTCCGTGCGCGCGAACAGAATCGCCGTGCCGGAAACAGTGGCCATTGCATCCGAGAGGAGGAACCAAGCGACGAGAAAGATGAGCACTTCTCGCAGTCGCACCGCGATCGTGACCGTCCGCCAGAGCGACTTCCACGCGAAGCCCACCAAACGGAGCCATACGCGCCAGCGGGCAGTTCCCGGAGTCGATGAAGTATCCAATGGAGGCCCAGGACGGTCACGCAGCCAGCGGCGAGTGACGAGTGTAAATGCACACCACCAGATTCCTACCAGCAGCAACACAAAGCGTAGCGGAAGGGTTCCCGACGCCTTGGCGAGAGAGGTCTTGCTGAGAGTGATGAGCATGATAATACTCAAAATCTGTACGAACACTGCCGCACAGTATCCGAGACCCACTCCCTTGGATGAAATCTTGGTAGATAGCTGCAGCTCCGGCGAAGAGAATTGTGTGCTCTTCGACTTCAATCCATCTTCCAGAGACTCCGCGGGATGATTGTCAGCAGGCATTCCATCCAGACTATCACTGTCGTCCCAAGAGTTCCATTCGTTGGGTTCCTCATCCCGATCCAAGTTCGACAATTCTTCGCCCCGGTCAGGCTGGGTACTTTGGATCGACGGATCATTGGCGACCAATAAGGGTAGAAAAGAGTTGAGTACGACGAATGACGAGCCAAGGCAGGTGACTCCGATGACAACGAGGATCGAACCGAGGATGAAAACCGAAGGTGCAACAAAGACAAAAAGCATGCTAGTCGCCGAGCCGATGAAGCCGAAGGACAAGAGTAATGTTTTGCGGTTTCGCTCTAATCAACTCATGGGATTAGCTGGTCACACTCGTTTCCTATAGACCGCAGTTCGCGCATAACTATGCAATCGTACCATAGTCAGCCAGGGCGCTGAACGAAATCAAGGCCAACGCCTGGATCAGCACTGCCAATGAGAAAGTATACATCGCGAAGCTAGCCGTGGTGATATGGAGTCCTAGAACTCCGACCATGCATTGCTCATCGCCCTTGTTTTCCGGCGCCTGGGGACCCCAACAGGGCAAATGGCTATTTTGTAGAGTGCCATTCTCGCGAGCAAGCTGTTCGAGTGTCAAGGGTAGAAATGACCCTAGATTGAGCAATTAGTATTTCGCTCATGGTAAGTAGGGATGACTGCGAAATGACCAGGGTAGCGGTCAACTTACCAACACCGCACACCGCAAATACTTCGGCTGCGATACCGTACGAGTACCAGCCGAGGATCTCTCGGTGGCTGGTCGGGGTGGTGTCTTCGCCAGCATACCGTGGGGGTCGCCGTTGAACCCCGTCATCGGGCGCAGGTGTAAACGCGGCAAGAATCGACGCGAGCATGGAGAGAGAAGGTGAAAAGTGGAAGAGCACACAGCTCTCCTGCCATGGAACTCATTCCACTTCCCAGTGCCCACCAAGCAAAAGGACCGGATGCGGGCGGAAACCAACTTGCAGCTCTCTTTACAGGGCTGAATAATGGCTGACCTCAGCGGGGACGATGCGGTCATCAAAGTGGAGAATCCACCAGGAACACACTCCAACCCACTTTGACACTCTTCAACCATCTCGACCACGGCCATCACCGCCATCGCCAGTTGCAACAATGAGATATTTCGATAAAATGAGAGGGAGAAAACCCTCTCGAGTCGGGTTATGCTTGAAAGAAAATCCCCGGCTTGACCTGCGCAGTTTGTGCGACTCGCGCCTGCCCGGTCCCGGCCCGTTTCAGGCTTTGCAGGCATTTCAGGCATTTCAGGCAGGACCAGAGGGGATTTCTCGCAATGAGGAATCGCTTCTTTTCTTTTCCTTCACGAATCGTCTCTACCCGTGAAGTTAAACAGCGCAATTGCGTCTCGTTCTTCACATTTTCTCCTCGAGATTCAAAATGGCCGTCATCCTCGACTCCCTCCAGTTCGCCCTGGGCCGACTCCTCTATCCCATTCGCGGCCATGACTCGCGCCAAATCATTCATGACCCGGCATTCAAAGACATCCCCAAGCCCACCATGTCCCTCGAGGCCACGGAATGTGGTCCCTCTGGCTCGAAACTTCTCCCCCATCACACTTGTCTAGCAGAAGATCGCATCGGTTGCTTGCCCAACCTGCGCTGGACGCCCCCCGAATGCAACGAGGCCGTCAAGGAGTACCTCTTGATCTGCGAGGACATTGACCTTCCAATTCCATGTTTAGTCCTTCACCATGGGCTGTTCTGGGGTATTCCACCATCAGCAAACACCGCAACCCCGGCGGATATCAGGGAAGAGGAGGGAGCTGCTAAGTCACGCCAAACGGCGGCCGGATGGCGGTTCATTCCAAACCTTCTAGGCACGGCATACGGCGGAGCTGGGGCACCCTATGGTCATGGCAGTCATCGCTATGTCTATACGATTATCGCACTGAATGCCCGTCTTGAGTTCCAATACCCTGAGAAGGTCACCAAGAACGACATCAAGCGCGCCATGGTCGGCAAGGTCATCGGCTGGGGCCAGTGGATCGGTACCTTTGAACGTACCTGGTCCTGATTACCGCACTAGTCTTTTGATCCGACAAAGCGCATTGAATGTCCGGGATAGCAATCAATACCAGAAAATGGGAGATTATGAGTGCAAATGGAGCACATCCTTACATATTGTCGCCTCAAATTTTAGCTTTCAACAATCAGTTATATTCAACTGCAGCTCATTTGTGTCGCCAATAGCCTTCTTCACAGTTACCCAGCACTCTTAATTTAATAGCGGTACATGATCGCCATCGCCCTCGAGTATTTGCATCAACACCGCCAATCGGCTGATAGTAGTTTCCACAGACAATTCACACGCACGCAAGGTGGAGGTACTGTTGTGAGACATCTGAGAGCTTTTAGACATGACCAAAAATATCCCCTTCAACCCTTCCATCAGCTGCACCAGCCTCATCAAACTTCGTCCTAGCACTGTCCGAACCAGTAGTCGGGACTCGCCCTCGTCAAGCTCCGTCTTCCCCATAATGACTTTACTGCGAATGCAGATGAACGGTGATGGTGGCTGCTCAAAGGCAAGCATAGCCGAGTCGAAGAAACCGGGTTGAGTGGAGATGTCGTATGCAGAACACAGCGCCTCGAGAAGTGGTAAACATTTTTCTGACAGAGCAGGAAGAGCCACAATGGACGATTGCGGAGTCTTGGTGCAATCTTTACATTGAACCATGCTGTTTCCTTGAGCGCAGACTCGATGGATCAAGTCGAGGATGGTTTCAACGTTGACAACGGCATGCACATTCTGAAGTTCCGACAGAATCTTCAACGCCTCTATTGAACATTGGCAAGAGCTTTCGAAATTCATTTTCGTTTCCCTGACCGGACTGAACAACGGATATCGTTCTAGATTTGAGGCTACTCCATCGAAGGGTGTCAGATTCGATGACTCCACTGTTCACCGATCGAGAAATCTCGCAGCCTGAAGCCTACTCTATACTGTCACACTATCCAACAAGGTTCATTCAGGCAACCTCTTCAAAGATCAACCTTAACTGGATGGAAGATATGCTTCTGAGAGATGATGCGCTGGGATACATTTCCCTGAAACGCATCCAGACGCCCCAAATCTGAACTGAAGTGTGTCTCCACCTTCATTCGTTCATGTTGATACAATTGACAGTCCCTGGCAGCCTGATTCTCACAGTTGGTCACACCATGACACCCTGGGACGTGCCATCCTTGGAACCAGTTTACTAAATCGAGATCACGGACAAATCCACGCTAGGGCTTTCTGGTATGCTGTTCAATGATGCTTCTATTCCTCCATTTGGTGATTGATAACGCAACTCCACGGTACAGATGCGCCTTGATCTTGGAGCCATCACTCTTCGACATGGCACATACATTCTGCTCGCCTTTGTACAAAGTTCCCAATTGTGAGGAGAAGATGGTATTCCACTAATGCCAGCACACTTAACATATATCGCAATGGACCAGTATGTGATACCCAATTATCAAGATGCCACTCCTTAATATCTTCACCGAGTTCCCCAACGCCTCTCAGTTGACAGCCATTTTGATCTTCATCATCACCAACTGAAGTCGTCTGTCCGTCTCCATAATCATCAATAGCCGACCACGGGAAAGCGCTGCCGTCAGGTGCTGCTGCATACACACACGAATCCTCCGAACGGCCAACAACAGCATCGATAACCGAGCCTGTAGCACCTGTCGGATAAAGCAGGCTTTTTCTTCGGCTGGAACCGGAAACCCTCCTACCAGTAAAGGACAAGCATGAATGTTTGACATGAACCCTCCTCCGAAATCCTTTTTTCTTCCCGCTGTTGTTTCCCCAGTCTCGGTCGTTTGGTCATAACAGCCAGCCCTGGATGGCGTAACTGCAGCGTCAAGTACGGTGAGCAGACTATCAATCGCGACAATAATGATGATGAGCATGATCGCCTGGTTCTCGGACTGAGAGCACATTTTACATTGCAAAATGGCCTCTGTCTGGAGTACCAGATCTTTCTGACATGCGAGCAAACCATCTATATTTGAGCACCCACTGGCTCCAGACTTAACGCCTGATTTGACTAACTGCCCCATTACGTGCTTGTAGCAGCTACAGCCAAAGGTAGATGACCCCTCAGATCCTGTAAATAGGTCTGGATTGTCGGGCGAATACGCCTCGCTGTCATGGCTACCACCAGGAGACTGGAAGCTGAAACAATGGTCTTGTTGCTCCGCTAGAAGGTCGGTCGAGGGGATTCGATCAAAGGCCCACGGGTCTTGGAAGCACTGAAAATCGAGTCGAGTTCCTGTCTCATAAACCCATGAAAGAGGTCCGGTGTCTTTGAAGGCCGGCGTTTCAGCGAATTCGCCAGACGTAGAGTTATGCCGGAAGGCGTTAAAATCTTTCTCCAGACTCGTATATGCTGACGAGAACACCGAGCCTGCTGGCTGAGAAGATAGACATGCACTCGACTGCTGGTACGTGACAGGTCCGGCGCAATAAGTTAGAAAGTCTGGAATTGGATCAAAGGAGTCTTCAATATCAATATCAGCACAGAGATACTCGGATGCGGCGTTGTCCAAAGTACCACTGATGCGATTTGAGATTAGCTCTTGAATCCAATTATCAGACGATAAATCTATTTCAAGTCCTTGCACCCAGTAAGCTTCTTTATCTCGGAGGATACAAAGTCAATGTCCCGTACCTGATTGATTTTCTGTGCTTTCCACGGCTTCCTTCAAACGATCTTCATCGACTCCCTTTTCCGTATTGCGGCCCGATCGAGCTCGCAAAGTCGAATTTGGGTTTGATCCAAGATGACCCTTTTTCTTAGAAGGCTTCCGTGGCTTCTTTTCGCATTCCGACGGATCAGTAATAATCTCAAGAACGGGACTCTGACTTTGAGTCTCCGAGCCAACTTTCTGATCTTTCTTCTTTGCAGGACGCCCCAGCCGTCGTGAAACACTATAGATACATTCTATCTTGTGTTTCTGGCATCGACGACAAGAAGGCTTCTCATGACCGCAACGAATCTTCGCTTGTTGACAAGCGTTACAGGTGGATCGAACCTTGACGCTTTTAGGTAGTTGCCCCATGATGGTCCTGAATAATCTCATGAATCTCAATCAAAACTTGAGATTGTAGGGTCTTCCACAAAATATAGATATTTCATTCACTACCAGTGGATTAGATCCCCCGGGTTGTGACTTGGAGCTAGTGCCACCACATTCGGGAGGGCCACCCACACTTACGCCCGTCTAGACTCGGCATCAGGCATCCCACTCAACAAGGGGAACCTTTGTTGCGGCTCTCCAATGGGAAATCTGATGCTTGCCTCGCGGCTTCACGGGCAAAGTATATAGTCAGTTGAAGTTACATCCGAGGTCCGTCTCCGTGATCAATGCGTTGTGTCCTACTTGTGTACCTTTCATGTCTTGGTTGAGTGGGTCGCTGCGCCCGGGGGGTATCGGTAGGAATTACCAGCGATGGCGAGTTTGTAAGGGTCTTTCGGGTTTGTTGCAGGTCACACGGTGGTATGGTTTTGGGATTTCAGTAACGCTGGAGTAAAAGAAAGGCCCAGCAATCTTGGACCCTGTGGACTTTTTGATGGCCAGGTATTCTTAGCTCGGAGTTAGGACTAGTCTTTCAAACCGGCCTTGGCGGGATTGAAGTCGTTTTAATGGTAGATTAGGAAGTACAAAGTCCCTGAATGACACCTACAAAAGGTGATACATAAGGTAGGCTAACCAGCCGATTTGAGTATACACATACCGTGAAGGTAGCCTCACGAATTCAAGGGTAGTGAAGTAGATTTCAATTCGTGTTTTCGATCTATATACGATATCTCCGATCATTCCCTAGCATCCTCCTGTAATCACCTACATTGCACTTGCAGTAACCTGGCAATCCAAAGATTTGAAATAAGTTTTCGTCACGCTCGAAGAAGGCATTGGCTGCTTTTCATGACTCGGTTTCCGTCGACCATAGAAATAGTTTATAGCCACGGGCGGATCCAACCCAGCCGCAAGCATGAATTCCCGAATATCAAAACCGCTGCGTGCATCCTTCGTCTGAGGAGGAATATGTGCAAAGCACTCAGGGAATCCATAAGATTGTGGCTGGTTGAACAGTAGGAAGATGTAGCGATGGTTCGTTCCTGGCGGCGGCTGCGGTGCAATATATGGCGCAGTATGGGAGGAACCATCATCTTCACCGGGTTTCAGGACCTTTAAGTTTCCATCTCGGCTGCAATCGAACGTGAAATTTGATTGGTACCAATGGAGAATTACTGTCTGAATGCCAGTGCCTGGGAAAACTACATCCAAGTCCAGAGATAGGATCAAGTAGCGAGTATTGCAGTCCAAACCAACAGTCCCGATTTCTGGACGCGGACCGGTATCTGAAATTGCATTAGACAGGTACAGCACGCCTTTTCTAGTATTTACCTTGGACGTCGAGAGTTGATCCAGGTTGAATCCAGGCTTGACTCGGGTATCTAATTTGCAACTGCTTTCCAGTAAGAGGGATGAGCCGAGGAGAGAATGTAGTAAAAGGTAGAGAAAGGCCAGCAAGAATGTTCGACAAGATCATTTTGTTATTCGTTTAGAGGTCATAGAAACTCAAGAATCGAATGAGCAATAACGTTGAAGCTACAAAGTGCATATTGAACGATATATCCGTCCCTATATATTTCTAACTAAAAGCTCAACCAAAAATCACCGACAGGTTACAGATGGTAATAGTGACTCAGCCTGACCCCGGCGCCAATTCCAGCCCTTAAAGTACACAAGAAGCAGAAGAGAAGTGACCGCCACGAGAACACCGGAAACGGCAAGATACGTCCACTGTGTCCCGATAGCATTGATCAATGGATTGGCCGCAGCAGTCGTCCCTGCTCCCAAAAAGCATCGAACGAGATTATTAGCTGCCATTGCAGTAGCGGGGGTCGTGTAGTACAAGTCCACGATCAGCACGTTCATGATGTTATAAGCCGCAGTCATACAGAAGCACGAGATGAATACCATGAGAAGAATTGCCCAAAAGGGGAATATATAAGCAAGGAATGATCCATATACAGCGATGGCGGCGCTAGCGAGCATCTACCGATTCATTAACTAGCCAACAAGACTTAAAATAGAGACGGACGGGAAGTTTGAAGTGAGCTCACAGTCATAGGTATTCCAATCTGCAGCCTTGCCTTCTCTATTGGAAATGATAGCAAGTGATTTTTATGATCTTGCTCCAGTGAGATTCCCGCCTTCGTACAGATCCTTTGATAATTCCAGTCAACTAAAATTCCGTTTGCAGTTGCACTAAGCAAGGAACCTAAACCAGCGGGGATATAGCAAAGCCCCACTTGCAAGTCATTCAAGTCATACAGCTTCGCGAATTGAGCAGGCATTCCAGCAGTAACAGCGTAATAGCTACCGAAGATGACACCATTCGCGAGAAGCACTAGCCCGACGGGGAGTCGGAAGAGTAACCTCAGCGAGGGCCAGGGATTTGGGATTGAAAGGTGTTTGTCCCGGCAATTTGAGGACTTGGTCACGCAAGATGTAGTTGTTGATGATCGAGATGCCTTGACACAATCACAAAGCGGTCGATTCCAGCCAGAGGGGGCAATCGAACCATCACCAACGATAACTCGACAAGTCTCGGGGAAGAATAGCAAAAGTACCACAAAGAATACAGTCGCTATTATAGCCAAAAACCAGAATATGGCTTGCCAGCCCAAGTATTGGGTCAACAAGCCCCCAGCTATGGGGCCCAGCGAGGGAGCTAGAATATTCCCCAGAGATGTCAAACCCATGTAGGTCCCTCGCTCGGCTGATGTGATAATGTCTGCGGCCACGGCTGATGCAAGGGCGACGGTTCCACTACTCCCGCAGCTTTGGATAGCACGAAGCACGAGGAGGGCAAGGAACGAGTGCTGCAGGGCAAGAGCAATGTTGCCCACGATATACAGAACAAAGCATATGATATACGCCGGTCGGCGGCCTGCTTGGTCAGCTAGAGACCCTGTAAATATAGGCGCGAGGCCTTGACATATCTGAAAAACTGGGTTAACTTCTCAGAACTTGCCTGATGAGCGTTGCGAGGGTAGCCTACCATGTACGTGGTGATTGTCAGGTTTATTTGCGAAGGACTAACTCCCAAGTCTTTTGCTATGGAGTTGAGCGCTGGAAAATAGATGTTGGCTGATAGAGGGGAGAAAGTGGATGCTATAGCAGCTGCCAAAATGATCAAGCGCTTCTGGGTGTTCGTAAACACCGAGTACGGCTTTTGAGGGCCGGTATGAGATAGCAATGGGGTCGTCTCTACCGGCTCGACGTTATCACCGTTGCTCGCCCCTTGGATCTCTGCGTTGCTCATATCTTAATTCCCATCAAGTCTTGAAACAATTAGAGCATTAGAGTAGCTTTCCTAATGTAAAAGAGGAACTTTCATAGAGCGTCTTATTGGTACTATATCGGACAGCAATTCTAGAACTTTACGATTTAAAGTGGTACTCATAGCTCGACCAACACTACCACACCACCAGACCATCATATCTTGGCGGCAGGATTCGTCGCAGGCATTATATTGCCCGTATATATGTGAGACGGTCGAAATAGCTTCCCGCGTGTCACTAAGACTGTCAGTATAGAACCCGCCGAATCTCGGCTCATTCACACAGGGGCTTACCCATGTATTCTCGCCAATGTGCCATGATTCCCGTGATGCGATGAGCAAGCATAGCCGCGGGAATCATCTCAGGCTCAAAGCCACTGGACAGAAGTACGAAATCTCAGTATTCCACTCGCAGAGACAGAAAGAGGGGACACTGACATTCCAGTAAACACAAAATTCCCGTAAAAGTCAGCATTGGGGAACAATCGACGAGCAACAAAATATTCATCCGTCGCAGCAGCAGCCTCAATAGTCTCGGCAATTTTGTAAAGCGGATTAGATTCCGGTTGAAGATCTTTCAATATCTTTCTGATTGGCTCTACACGAGGATCAACGCCCTTGTATTCGCGATGTCCATACCCGAATAGTTTTCGCTTGCCGGCCTTGACCTGTTCCAGAAATGCCGGGACATTTGTGGGTTCTCCAATCTCTCGGAGCGCATTCTGGGCAGACTCGGTAGCACCAAAGTGTAGTGGGCCATAGGCAGCTGTAATGGCCGATATGAGGCATGATATGGGGTCGGTCAGAGAGGATGCCGTTACCAAGGTTGAGAATACTACCAGAGCCATACCGTGGTCAGCGTTGAGCATGGCAAAGCGACGAAAGCTGTGTAGTTTGACTGAATCCGGATTTCCGGTTTTGGAGTCGACTAGCCCTGCCATTGTGAACAGATTTTCGTAATATGTTCGATTCACCGATGGGCGTTGCAGAGGAATACCCATGCTGTGGCAGCGAGCAGCAGCAAATACCACCGCGTAGCAGGCAACGGTTTGCAAGATTAATTTATCGGCGCGATCGAGATCGTCTTGGTACAAATTCGCATTTGATGATGCAGGGATAGCATCGGGCATCGTTGAGAGGTACGCAGTCAGCCCTGCTAGTAGCAGTGGTAGCGAGGAAGTTGTTCTTCTACAAGGAAAGCTTTAGTAAACTAGCGATGAAGATAGTATGGAATCGACAAACGCACGGCAGGGTCTGAATAACCTGGTGCACTATTGGAGGAACATCCCCCATATACTGGGCGAGCAATTCACTCAAATGGGTCCGCTGGCTATTCGTGGGCAGGCTTCCCCAGAGTAATAGATGGAACATGTCCTCAAAGTCCTTCTGCCAGAGCTGTTCCAAGGTATACCCCCGAAATATCAACGACTCACGTTCATGGTCCCTATAAATTAGTCGGCTCGATTAGCTTAATCTTTGACGGCTCTGGAATGAGCTCACGAGAAGCTGATGGCAGATTCCACCACTGCCGTATTCTGGAGACCTGGATCATAGACTCGCAGACCCCGGGAGATCTGATCGGCACGGTCGGCTTCAGTCGTAGGGGCTTGGATGCTTCGTAGATCAATGGCTTGGATGGCGTTTCGACGAATGGGAACCTCGTATTTGACTCCGGTGCGTGAGTCTTGTATAAACAAGGTACCGGTAGACATGATGGTAGTTAGAATAATCGATATAAACACAATTGATCATTTGCGAAATAACCAGAACTAAGATGGTGATATTGGCGTTCTTTTAATTCCATGGATATCTTGCGACCCTGTCAGCTTGAGAGGTCTTGCGATCGCTTCTTAAAATGTTCCGTGAGATCTGTTCCTCATGGGTGGCCATCTAGAATACCCCTTTTCAGACAATCGAGGACGAATTTCCGGCTTATTGCATTGAAGTATTATGTGTGAGACAATATCAAGAATGGTGATTGAATAATTGATTTATTTTTCGTATCGCGTGTCATAATCATAATAAAAACACAGCCAGCTTGAACCTCTTAGACAAAAGCCCCGCCTTGCGTTCAGAACATTGTTTCTTTAGAATCTCATAAAATTCCCCGGCAACAACATCCACCTCTTACTGAGGCATACCCTCAAAAGGCTTAGCGAGGTGCTCCTGGCAGAAGGGCAACTTGCTCTGCGTCCAGATTTCGGTGTCCTGCGGGGGAAAAGAAGGAAAAAGTAGTTAGCCCCACATCCTTTAGCCGTGCGGATCATCTCCGTCACTATGCGCGTCACTTTAGGATCGACACATACCGGCTTGAGAGTCTTCTTAATCTCGGTATCCAGAGTACCAGCCTTCAGGGCAATGATCTCGGGAGCCGCATCGGGGTCGTGAGCAATGGGGGAGCCACACTCGGAGCAGAAGATGCGGTGGACGGCGAGACCGGAGCTGCCCTTACCAGCCCAGCTCTTGGTGGGGCCGTTGATGGTCAGCTTATCCTTAGGGACGACGGCGACCAGAGCTATTCTAGAGTTAGCGATTGCTCAATAGATTATCAAGAGCAATATGTACAGTAGGTTGAACCACTCTGGCGCTGGCAGTCGTCGCAGTGGTCGTAGCCAGTCAGCAGAGGGGCATCGATGTCGACGGTGTAAGTAACCGCCTTGCAGAGACAGTGTCCGGAGAGAGGCATGATGGCAATTGATTGGATTGACTTGGAATTGATTCTCGCAAGGTGCTCAGAGGAGAGAATTATCAAGGGGACCTTTGGGGAAGAAAGAAGGAACCTTGGGAGCCCGTAGACTATTTAAAAGGTTTCAATCTGCCACGACTAGGAACTAGACCGGCAATCATGACAATTAGAAAACTTAGATGTAATGATTATTCACTTGCATCCATCCATCTGACAATCTGACTAGCTTGGATCCGTCGAGTCTTCGTTGACCGTCCATTTGGTTCCTTTTCTCGTGGCCCTTGAGCCTATGACCAGGACAGAATCCCCGATAAGCGGGGCTTCCTTCCAAGGGCTTTCGCATTGATGGCTTTAGTGGGATGAAACAGAATGTCAAATCTGCCAACTATGCCAAATCCTGCGTACTTTTCCACAGAAACCTCATGCGAGCCATTCAAGCCATTCGGGCTAGTTGGGACCGGTTGGGATGACATCATTGGTTGTCGTCGATAATTCCAAATTCCCCAAATTCCCGCAATGACAAATTGTCCCCCGCCCCGCTTGGGAGTATGCCCCTCTTTATGAAACCACCGAGATGATCATGTCGGATGCTTTATCTTTCCATCCCATCCAGGTCCAATGGAGTCCATTCAATGTCCATGTGGCCTAGAATGCGGATCTTAGGCTAATCTTCTCACACTGACTCTCTCAACCCCTTCCAGCATCTGCCAGTCGCGCCACTAACTCGCGATGTGCCTGCGACAGCGTGCGACGCACGAAACTCGTCGTTCCGAATGGACACCGAAGTTCAATCTCCTCCTGCAAGTACAATTCACCCAATGGATTATCTTCGCCTGCATAAGACTCCCTGCGCCTGCGATGCACCGTCCAATGATTGCGGATATGCACCCCCATAGGCGCATAAATATGGGTTCGAAGGCCTTGTGGGGTATCATGGAAACATCCTCGATATCGCACTTTGCCTTGCAGTAGACCCCACGGGAGATATGAAATCCGGTCCGTCAGCTCATACCAGATCCCGTGGGCTTCGTCTGCGGGTGCGTCTTCCGGGGGTGCACATCGTTCGTAATGAATAACTAGGGGATTCTGTTCGATCATGGCGGCGTGGTCGCGAAGGGTTCGTAGAACGGCATCCTCGGATACCGTAGTGGGAAGCGGTGTCTGATTTGTAAAGGAAGTTCGGCTCTGCATCGTGACAAATACTGGTAGACGGATTATCACAGGTGCAGTCGACGAGTCGAGTCTGAACAGAACCGGGGTCTGGATGGGCTTGGTGGGGGGATGTGTGGTTTAGCACAGAAGAGACGGCGATCGTCGAGATGCTAAGTCCCAACCAAAATATTGGCCGAGGAACCAGGAAGCAGGGATACAGATAGAGAAACTGTAACAATCCGCGGTGAACAAGGCCCACTTAGTTGCGCTAAATGGTACCTTACTTTGTAGTGCTTATATAGCCCCTTGGCAGAGAAGAGAGAAGGGGGCTGGGGAAGTGATGTGGCGGAGTATCTCCAAGGTTCAGCACGGCCTTCCATGATTTGACTATTTTCAGCCTTTTGTGGCGTTTAAAAGTAAGCAAAAGTGCACGGTCGCAAGATGTGTCTGTCCTTCACGAACTAGTACTCTAAAAATGGAAAACCTCAAATAGCCCCCACTCGCTGCGCCCGTCAACTACTACTATGGGCAAATGCATCGTTGTAGGAATACCACTCATGATCTCGTCGAAGGAAGAATGGAGCAAACAAGCCAGTCCTTGGAATCGTGTACAATACTACATACCTCAAACCGAGAACATCAAATATTCACAACCGTATTAATTTTAGAAAAGATAGAATACCTATCGATATTCAACACTGTACATCAACATCTAACCTACGGACTAGTCTGCCGAAGATTCTCCAGTTTATCAGCAGCACTCTGCGCAGACTGCGTCAGTAATACGATCCTCGTCGACCATCACTCTGGTCCCATCGTCCACTGACCTGCATATTTGCAGCTGTACTGTAGCTGGGAATCTGCCCTCCATAATACATACTCTCCACTCGCTGGGCCTGCCGAGCATCATCCTTGGTTATATACGCCGGTACATCGGTTGGAACAGCCGGCACATTATAGTAGTCGTTGCGATTAGCGATGGAACGAACTTGGGCGGAGACGGATCCGATGCCAGGTGGTTTGTTGAAGGCGCGGCCCTTAAGGGGAAACAAGTCATTAGCATGAACTATTGGCATAATCCACAGTTCTCCTAGCATACCTCTGTGGATTGAACAACCCGCGCATCATCCTGGGTAATAAGACTTTGGGGTTTTCGTGATACTTCCTCGATCGTACTATCAAAGTTCATCTGCTTCATCGCGATACTCTGGGCCGTCGCTAGTCCTAATTAGCAACTATCACCAAGAATAACTCAGCAAAACTAAATAACATACCAGCTGGTCCACCACGGACCGGCCCGCGTCCAGTTAATCGGTTCTCGACCTGCGAGATTGCCGAAACATCTTGCGCGGTAATCCGCTGCCCGGACTCGGCGGCTTGTTTGAGTTCCGCGACGGTGGGAAGATCCAGATTCATGATTGATAACATGGGTTGATAAGCGATGAAGCGATGCTTACTTATCGGTAGGGCGCTGCTGGCGACTTTCTTCAAGTTTCAATATATAGTCTGTAGGGGCGAGTGATGTCACTTTGAAAACATTGCCATCTTGCCTCGTGGTGGCGCTGACACCCCGTTTAGCCCGAATTTGGTACTGCGGAGTCGAGAGCTTTGCAAGTATGGGGCTGCAGTGATGGAATCGCGTTTCAAAATCCACGGGACTTTGTATGGAGAGAAAAGATGCAGATAATGAGAATAGGCACAGTGACTTGACACAAACCGGAATTCTATAGCTCCTACCGGGCTCTACTCAGTTCGAGATGGTGGATCTTAGAGAATTCATAGATCAAAAGGTTATTTGGGATCCTCACTTTACCATATTGTATCAAAATAAAACCAGAGCTTACTTCAATGATGTCAATTAAGTACCGGTGTTCTGCAGGTCCATGTAAATATTTCACTACCATGGGGGCTTTTCGGTTCTCTTTGTAATATACAAGTATAATTATACGACTTGGTTAGTACTCTCCTTTCCTTTGGTGGAAAAGCGAAGGCAAATCAGGAATCATACGACTATAAAGTTTACTATTTTCACCCAACATAATCGGCAATATCTGTACTGGAGGAACTTGTAGGTGTGCCCGCATAGAGAGCTGTGAATGGATCTCATATACATGGTCGCCCCTTAGCCAGTTCTGCTAGATCTGGCAAGAGACTCCCCTACCCAAATCAGAACACAAGATTATCTATCACACATGGCAGTCCCCCAACTTTCCCATGATGCAGTTAACCGTGAATTCCTTGATAGCATCCCGAACCCGTCTTCTATCCTGTGACGACGAGGGACCGAGGCAATGATTGACCGGACCAAAACTACCATTTTAGGAATCCGACACGGACAGATGCAGCACTGAATGAAGTGTTCGACCAAACTAGAGGGGAAAGAGCTACGTCGCTCGAGGCACGTTACACAATGGCTAGGCGTGGAAGCTACTTCGAGACCGTCTGTCAGGTTGGCAGCATGCTGTGCTGCTGTGTACGGTTGACCAGGAACGAATGCACCCCTGTGTACATCGGGGACCCCGACAGTAGGACAGGCATCCTCAGTGTAGCCTCTACGGGGAAAAGGTTACAGCTTCCGGGGATGTTTGTCACATTCCATACTGGGCTGGCGGCGGTACGGGGATCATGTAAAAACCGATTGGTATGGTAATTCGGGCAGGTCACTGTATTTTTTTCTTCAGAGTCTCTGTCTTGGTCTACGGACAATCAAATATGGCCTGAATAGTTAGGCCTGTAGAGTCTATAGACATCTGTTGTCAAATCTCTAGATAGTACGGGATGTCTCTTATATCCGCACAGACCATCCCGGTGCCGGGTCTCTCCGCCTTGGCCCAATGCCGGGACCGGCACCACCCACACCTGAGGCTTCTCACCCCCTCCACCACCCATTCTCAATCCTCTCCAGGGCCAGGCCGGTTTCGCATGCCTATTTACTACTCGAAATTCCAAGTACCATGTCCCTGCTCGTGGAGACGTAAGAATCATTCCCGACAGATCCTTCCGTCGCGCGAACATGCTAACATGCCTACCCGAAGACCGCTGAAAAAAGGAAAGAAGGCGTGCACGGAGTGCCGCCAGCAAAAGGTGGCTGCTCCTCATTTCATCTCTCAAAACATTATCGTTGTTCTAACAAGTTGTAGGCAAAATGCGATGTCTACTTGGACCCAGATCAGCCATGTAACCGATGCCGCAAGGTCAAGGCAAACTGCATCATTTCAGATCCGTTCAAGAGAGAGCACAAGCGCAAGTGCGTATGCAACGTGCAACCAGCCAAGATCAAACAGACCGGCAGGAGATTTGATGAAACATTCTAACGATTCTCTCTATTCAGGAGGCTCTCCGAGCTGGAACGGGAATCGGAAGATCTGCGACGCAAGCTTCGGGCATCCCAACCAACAGATCTTAGTCCCCACCCTTCGCCGATCGCCCTCTTGACAGCGGCAGCGGAGATGGGAGCGCATTCGAGACCAGGGAGTAACTCCGTCTCTGTTTCCTCGAATGCCCCACTCGATGCATACTCGCCGCACTTGTTGGCTCCAAATGGCCTCACACATATGACCCCGGCACCGGCATTGGACGGTGGTGGCACGACCAAGTCCCGGAGCTTGAACGGGGTACAGGTGCAAGGAGAGGAAATTGATGATCTGTTTCGATTGTGGGTTGAATTTCATCCCCTTTCTCTTTGCGTGGTGGTGGGTTGTGTATATCCCTGCTAACCTGATCATCCAAGATTCTTCCAGCACTACGCGCAATTCCTTCCCATCTTGGACCCCCAAACTTCACCAAATACATATTATGCACAATCACCCTTTCTATTCTGGACAATCATCGGAGCAGCATGTCGTTCATACGCTCGAAATCCTACGTTGTTGACGGCATTGGCTCGAAGTGTGTTGGAAATGGCATTCCTCTCGGCTTTGTCCGTATCGCCGCCCTGGCACACTATCCAAGGACTTTTGCTCCTTTTGACATGGCCTTTCCCAAAAGGAGCGGACCATCCGGATGTGGCTTTTCCATTGTGTGGGATATTGCTCCATATCTCCATGCAAAACGGGCTCCATATCCCCATGTCGAGTCATGAGTTTTCACGAGTCAAAATCCCGGCGCCATCCGAAGGTGATCTGCTCCGTCGGTCGGAGCTGTGGGCGCACACAGTTATTATGTATCAAAGGTAGGCTGACAGACCGAGTGATGGAATTTTGTCCAATGTGTACTAATGTAGTTGACAGGGTATGCGTGCTCAAAGGACAGTTACCTCGGGCCCTAATGAACCACGGCCAAGATCCTACACATAGACAGGTGCTGATGGATAAAATTGCACCGTGGATGGCTCTGAAAATTCGCTGTCAAGAGGTGATTGCAAAATGCAGCGAAGCAGTCACCGAAAATGGGCTGCGGTCGATGTCTCTCGACCAAGAGCGAGCATTGGATATCTTGCTTCGCACATACGAAGGACAGGTAGATGATCTAGAACTACGTGCAGTGACTGGTATGATCCTTTTTGAGTGTTCTGATCGGGTGCATTCTGACCGTACGTCAATATAGATGACGAGAGATTTGACACTGGGCTATGTCGAATGGCTGTTCAGAGCTTCCATTTCTTCAAGAACCAAACCCTCGTGTCCAGCGGATGCTATCCACGAATTCTTGTCACCGCGTGCAGCTTGATTGACTACGTTCAGGTGCTTTCCGATCGATTTGGGTTCCTGTCGATGGCCCCTGTCCATATTTGCTTTGCGCTGCTCTTGGCTTCCACGTCCTTGCTACGGATCTTAAAAAGCACCGTAGCCTCACAGGGTTTGGAGACTGGTCGTGCGCGAGCTGCTCTCTTTACAGCCATCAATCTGGCAAAACAAATCTCCACTGACAGTGCCGACATAGCTGCCAAGACGGTCATGATTCTCAGCTCGACTTGGAATAGCAACAAAGCATTCCGCCGCGCTGATGGATCGGATTATCCCGCCCTGCGCATTCGCGGTCGACTAGTTCTCAGTCCCATTCTCGACGCTGTTTGGTGGTGGCGGGATGAATTTGATCCCCAATCGCGGACTGTACGGTCGGTTATAGAGCCTGCTAGCGGTATAGTTTATTCTCGTTCACGGTGCCTTGCTACTGCTGATGCAGGCGTAGGTGGTGGGTCAGATCCCAACCAAAACTTCTCTGGCGGCATGATGGCGCCATCCGGGATGCTCACTGACCAGAGTGCATTCCACCTGGATGAGCAGTTCCTGGCGGATTTTGAATGGGCACTCGGGGACGAGGCATTTTTCTCGCTGGATCCAACACCCTCCACGTGGCCGACGACGAATAATCTACTATAATCGGGGAGGCGGAGGCAGAAGTCACTTGGCAAGAAATTTCATAGTTCTATCTCTTCCATGCTATCTCTCGTTCACGCTAAGATTCCATGGACCCAGTTTTCCAAACTTGATTAAGCCGGTCTCCGGTACGGGCTTCCGGATCGACTCCACTACCCTGTATACTCCCCCCTGCTAGTTTCTCTCCATCCGACCATGAATACGAGTCTTGGCATTCCCGATACGGCCAATATGAACTGAACAAGAGGGAAGGTGCTTTGATGTAGGATTCTAGAGATATGGCAAATTTCCTGGAATAGCCGCTCACCTTCTAGATTTGTGTAGATAGAGCGCCATTGAAACGATGTTTGGACCCTGCATACGCTATCAAACGAATCACCGCGCGGTGGCTGACACCAGAAAGCAGAGAGCAGATAGTGCGCCTACTAGATCCAGAGTCCCTATCGGACGAATTACCCCGACAGGGTCCTGATGTCTCAGATCCCCCGAGGCCGCCATGTCGGGGGCGACTATGACCATTGGGGTAAGAGGATAAGCGTCGAAGGTTGGAACTTGGGGGATGGTTTTCTAGAGCCAGCCAGACTGGCCAGTTGAGAGAGCAGGTGTAAATAAGCAATTAGCCTCGGCAAGCTGTCAGTTTCGAACTTTCGAAGCTCGTAAAGAAAGACCGCAATTGCTTGTATGCGAGAAATAGGTCCGCCAATAGCGAGCGCCATTGGGATTCTTCAGAGGGGCCAAATACGAGCATGAGTCACTTTATTATGACCGCAAGTCGATTCTTAAGGAGACGAGAGCTCCCTGAGATTTCTTACACTTTTTGCCAACTGTCCTATCCGTGACTATCTATGCCAATTGAACAACAATACTGGTTATCCTGAAATCATTCTGATTGCAACTCTACAATTGTACCAGCCAATCAGAGTCCCGTCATTCGGTGCCTTTTTTTTCGCCCCCCGACGCATCGAAAGTCTGACTGTCGCACACTTTCTCCCTTTGGGGAGGGAAACCAGTCGCCCAACTGGATTGTGGAATTAATTTACAATTCAATTTTACGCCTTGACCATTTTCAATTACGACCGATGCCAGCCGCAAGTCTTCCAGTCCAACCATTCTAATTTCCCCGCATTTCACCGGTGCGGGTCGATCGCGTGTCTCCTGTTCCATCCCTGAATCCAAGGTTCATAGGGCCGACTACCCTCGTCCAGCATGATGTTTGGGGTAAGGATCAGCAGGGATGAAAGAGACACGAGCTGATCCTGGTCCCAGTTGAGAAACTTCCCCCGGATCCTGCATTCGAAGCTGCATCCGCCAGTCAGCAAATAAGCACGGAATACTACCATACCTTCCAAGAGCCAAGATCCAACAGATGCTTATCCTGGATGAATGCCAGATGGCCTTACATGAATATCTCACCATCATATTCGTTAACCAATGTTATCGGAGCAATAACATTTCGCCAAGACCTCAGCTCCGAGCTCTGTCTCCCCCCCCCTCCAACTACAGCCTCGGTTGTATCTTTCCCCAGTCATACCTCTTGCGCCTTCGCTCACATTCCTGTATTCCGACGGAGATGCGGGCAGCCAAATGAACGTGGCACGCGGGACCCGAGCGCCTCCTTGTCCAGGGGGGTATACTCGCCGGCCCGTGGCGTCCAACCAACTTCAGCCCCAAACCAATTAGCACGGCCGCTAACAGGATAAGGGCCGCGCTAGTTTTGAACCCTCCCAGTCTCCAGCAACGCTAACGTTCTGGGGGGGACCCTCCTCCGGAGGGCCCTTCCAAGACTCGCCCAGCCCTGATGCAACCGGCTTATCACTAACAAGCTCGTGGCCATAGCGGATTCCCGTTGGCGGGAGTAAAGGAACGGGTGGACCTTTTGGGCCTTGGCGAAATGCGAGAAACTGACTACAGTATCTACCAGCAGCACGTTATCAATGCAGCTCGGTTGTTCCCCCAATCTCCGCCCGGGATTTCCTTGGACCCTCTCTCCTAGGGTCCCGGGCTTCTCCGTTCCTCTTGTCCACGACTTGCTTGACTATCGCGGAGACAAGCAGAACAGACGATTGTGTCTCGGATTCGCCGACGAACATAATTACCATGCCGTGGACGCTCCCTGGTGGCGAGCATCATTGCATGTCCTGGGGCCGTCTGGACTAATGTTCGGCCGCATTCGTGTTAGGTCACATAGGCACATGCCCGCAGATTCAGCCCATTGTCGCAAGTTGCGACAGTGTTTCCAGCCATCAGGTCAGCCCAAAAGTCTTGGCACTTTGCCAGTGGATCGAAGCGGAAAGGTCCGCCACCAAGGCAGAACAGGGATTCTGGGTAACCGGGATATTGATACGTACGGAGGATGGGATATCAAGGGATATCAAGGGAAAAAGGTGGCTGGCACTCAGAAGGGGTCAAAGTGCATCGCATGGTTCTGACTGGTCCAAGGGGCAAACGCATGAAAAAGAAAAGGAAGAAGCACCACTGCAAAGCACAAGATTGACAGGTTGATGGCTTGAGAGTAGTCTCCTTGTGTAACTGTGAGATTGATTGGACTAATTACCAGGGATTTCCCAGAGTTTCCTCGATTGAGTCCCTGCGCGTGATGGGTCGATGTTGCTTAATTGCTTCTTTGACCTTCCTAATTCTATTATTCTACCTTTTTTTTATTATTCTGTTTATTCTTTTTTCTTTTTCAAGGTTGTATCTCGTTACTCCTTCGAAAGCATCGAGAAGTATGGAACGGGCCTTTCCACATAAACATCAACTTGGCCGAACCCAGCGAAGCCCTCTCGTCTGTCATAACAAACAATTGACGAGTCATTGACTAACAACTACTATCATCCCCGCACAACCTTGACACAAGTCGATCAGTCATAGAATCCCCAAGATTCGCCTCCTCGTGGTTGTGTTTAGTCTTTTAGTCTCCTTTTTAGTCTTCCCCCCACTCCGGTTTACTCTTTGCCTGTGCACTTTCCACCCCCCACTTCAGCTTGACTTTCCCCCTATCACATCCTTTGTTGACCTCGTCGCCGGTGCGCTTATCCTAACCGGCTCGATTGGGGTTACATCCATCCCCAGTTTAGTCTCAGATACCCTTTAACCTCGTTTACTGGGGGCGATAAGGCGGAAGACCGTCGGGGTCGTTCACAGGCTGTCAAGCTGAGAGAGAGAGAGACAACAGTCGCGCTTGTTTTAAAGCACGTCAAATCACTTTTGCTATCTCCTTTTTTCCCTCCTCTCTCTCTCCCTTCTCTCTCATCCCTCTTTGGCCCCAGTTTGGATCTGCAACGATCTGTGACTCGCCTCGCCATGGAGAAGACCGATCCCAATATCGCCGTCACCAGCGGCGCCGAGGTCGATGAGACCGCGCCCAGTGATATGATTACCAAGTTGCGCCATATGAAGGAGCATCATCACTGGGACCCCAACTTGCCCAACGATGTCGAAGACGAACTTGACGAGGCCCTGCACACTTCCGACAAGGGGGCCCAGGTCGGTCTCGCCCACGAGCTGCTGGACAACTCCATCTACCCCGAAGTGCGCGCTGCCGTCGCCAACGTCGATGAAGGAGGTCACAGCAATACCATTCGTGCTTGGGTCATCGGTATGCTCTTTGCGACGATCGGTTCCGCTCTGAACATGCTGTTCTCCATGCGTCAGCCCTACATTGTCATTCCCTCGTACATCGCCCAGGTCGTCGCCTATCCCGTTGGTAAGGCCTGGGAAAAGTTCATGCCAGCCAAGAAGTTCAAGTTCTTCGGTATTGAGTGCAACCTTAACCCCGGAGTCTTCAGCAAGAAGGAACACGCGCTAGTGGTTATCATGGCGAACGCCACATTTGGTGGTGGCGCCGCTTATGCCACCGATGTCCTGTTGGCTCAGCGTGCGTTCTATGGACAGAAGTTTGGCTGGGCTTTCGAGATCTTCATGTGTATCTCGACCCAGATGCTGGGTTTCGGTTTGGCCGGCTTCTTCACCAAATATCTGGTCCAGCCCGCTGCCATGATTTGGCCTTCTACCCTTATCAACACCGCCCTCTTCTCGGCACTCCATGACCGAACCAAGCCTGATCCCGCCAAGGTTAGCGGCTGGAAGATTGGTCGTTACCGTCTGTTCCTGTATACCATGATCGGCTCATTCTGCTGGTACTGGTTCCCCGGATACATTGCTCCCTTCCTGAGCGTGTTCGCCTGGGTGACCTGGATCAAGCCCCAGAATGTCATTGTCAACCAGCTGTTCGGTGGTTGGACCGGTCTGTCTCTGATCCCCATGACCTTTGACTGGACTCAGATCTCCGGCTTCAACTTCAGTCCCCTAATTGCTCCCTGGTACGCCATGGCCAACACTCTGATCGGCATGGTTCTCTGGTTCTGGATCGTGACCCCTGCCATCCATTACTCTGGCTTGTTCTATTTCAAGTACCTGCCTATCAGCGACTCGGGCAGCTACGACAACACCGGAGGAAGCTATAACGTCTCCAAGATTCTCACCCCCCAGTTCACCTTTGACGCCGAGAAGTACAAGAACTACTCTCCTCTCTTCTTGTCCACCACCTTCACTCTCAGCTACGGTCTGTCCTTCGCTGGTATCATTGCCGTTATTCTCCACACTATCCTCTTCCACGGCTCCGATCTCTGGGCTCGTTTCCGCTCCGTCGGCGCCGTTGACGACGAGGATGTGCATAGCCGCCTCATGTCTCGTTTCAAGCCCGTTCCTATCTGGTGGTACGGTGTTGTCACCCTAATCATGATCGGCATTGCTCTGGGTGTGACTCAGGGTTTCCCTACCCATCTGAGCTGGTGGGCTTTCTTCATTTCCCTGATTATTGCCGTTTTTTGGTTCGTGCCTCTTGGAATTGTCAAGGCCTCGACCAACATCGATATCGGTCTCAATGTCTTGACTGAGTTCATCATCGGTTACATGCAGCCTGGTCGCCCAATGGCCATGATGCTGTTCAAGACCTATGGATACATGAGCATGTACCAGGGAATGTACTTCACTCAGGATTTGAAGCTCGGTATGTACCCTACTTCACCTTCCTATTTTATGTGTTAACTAACTTGATTTGTCTCCCCAGGCCACTACATGAAGATTCCTCCTCGTGTCACCTTCGCCGCCCAGATGGTCGCCGGTGTCTGGTCCTCTCTCGTACAAATTGCTGTGATGAACTGGGCTCTGGGCGCCATCAAGGATGTCTGCTCCCAGCACCAGGTCAACCACTACAGCTGCCCCAACGGCCGTGTCTTCTTCAACGCCTCCGTCATCTGGGGTGTGATCGGTCCCGCCCGAATCTTCTCCATCGGCCAGCTCTACTCTCCCCTCATGTTCTTCTGGATTGCCGGTGCCGTCCTCCCCGTGCTCATCTACTTCGGTGCGCGCGCTCTCCCCCGCTCGCCCATCCGCTACCTCTCCGCACCCCTGATCTTCAGCGGAGCGGGTCTCATTCCCCCCGCGACCCCTCTGAACTACCTCAGCTGGGGTATCGTCGGATTCGTCTTCAACAAGTTCATCCGTGACCGCTTCCGCGGCTGGTGGATGCAATACAACTACGTTCTGTCAGCTGGTCTGGACGTCGGCCTCGCGCTAGGCACTATCCTCATCTTCCTCACCCTCAACCTCACCAGCACCGACTTCCCTGCCTGGTGGGGAACCGATATCGCCGCCAACACCATGGATGCGGCCGACACCGCCATCCAAGTCGTCCTGCCCGAGGGCCAGACCTTCGGTCCCAAGACCTGGTCATAAAGGAGCGATACTGGCTCGGCACGAGGTCTCCTTGAATCATTCCCGATGACTTGGCGGTTCGGGGTTGGAATCAGGAAGGTAAATGTCAAATGGCATTTGCATTTGCTCTTTACGGGTGTGCCACATAACGCGATGGATCGATGCATTCGATTTGGTCATTTTTAATGCATGTTTGCAATGAGATGATGATTAAATGATTGCTCTTTTCTTTTTTCGCGAGGGTATCTTAATATTCTTAGCTGTTTAATACCCAATCAAATCAAGTTAATAATTACGATTGGTCTTGTAATATTGGAACCTATGATTCATCACTCTGTCTCATGGCTGCCCACATCACCATCAACGTGTCCGCCAGAACGAGCACCTAACCCTACCTTTGCCAAAGAAATTTTTCTTCTATCATCTACTACCTGGCAACCGATTAATCTACGAAATGGGAGGACAATCAAATAATTGAAGGAGAATTTGCCTGCAGATTTCAAATGAACTGACTTTCCCTCCTTTTGCAGAGTATTTTGCGGTTCTAGATCGCCAGTAGATATTTGTCCAAAGAACTCGTAAATATGGCATACCCTCTGTTAGCCGGAATCTTCAATCTTTGGAATCTTCCTATTGACAATAAAGAGGCTAGGGAGGATGGAAACTAGTCCCTGCACCAGAAGAGAATAGAAAACATATCGGAGGGCACTCATGTACGCTTGAATAACGAATCATTTCTGTTCTCCAGAGAGTCCAGACCCCATATCCACATCCACTGCCGTGCGTAAACGTGTTGTGTGCAGTAGGATGGCTTGATCGGTATATTCAACCAGGAGTGTTTCGTGCACCGGCAGTTGGTTTCCCTCATCCTTGCATTGATCCTCCTCAAGGTGCTCACATAATCCTAGCCCATGTCCCGCATAAGTAGCTTAAGCTTCCCACGGATGGTATCTGTAAAGGCCCGTGAGTTTTGGAAGACCTAGGTACTCCGCCATGTCATTGATATCTTCTTTGTAAAGTGCCGCAATTCCTGGATAGCTTATTCCGACACATGGATGTGTGGCGGATTTGCACAGAGAAAGGAGCTTTTTGACCAGCTCGCTGATGATTTGGACGTCTGGAGATGCTGCCAGTCCTATCTTTTTGCGGAAAGATCGCCATGCTTTTCGGGGGTGTTGTCCCACATATCTTCCATGGAAGAGTAGGGGGGACTATCTGGGTTAATATGGTGGACGTGGAAAGAGTTCGCTTTAGGAAATGTACCTAGGATGGCATGCAGCATGTGACGATAGTCGCCTTATCATTTTAACATAGCTTAAATCACCTTCGACGCGACCAAGGTCCTCGAATGAACCGTCGGAGTGACGAAGGGATATAGTCCTGCGATATGTTTATGACTGTGATTTCGTTTCCACCAAGGCGGGTAACACCATACCCATATGAAGCCGTGAGAGAAATGCCTATTGATGGGTTCGATAACGTTATTCGATCCATTTCGTATGGTACGCTCGAAGGCCAAACGTGGTAGATGAATATGAATGTCAGTCCTGTGATGAGGTATTTTGAACGCATCTTTGTGCTCGGCCGAACTGGCGCAATCGGTGGATTGCGGGGTGTTTTGGAATATCGGGCGTCGTAGGCGAGAGGGGGGACTACTTAGTGGTTGCGGGCAGGTACGACGGAGTCGAAAATTTCTAGGCCAATCTCATAATGTGTATTATAACTCGGCGGTGGGATTAATATGGCTAAAATAAACGATATGGAAACAAGGCAGCGACAAGTAAGTTAATAATAATCCCAGAGTTGCTAGAACAGCTCCCGTCAGCAGCATCGAAAAGTAGGCTTAGTCAACCTCCTGAGCCAATAACTTAGGATCTTTTTTGTTTATCTTCTTGATGAGGTGATTTAGACTATCTTTCTATATGTATTAATTAATTAGGCGATTTGTAGATAGTAGTATTTATAAGGTTATATAAGGTATATAATAGCAATGATTTATTAATGTAAATAATGATATATAGTGGGTATCAGATAGATCTAGGTGGGCATTACAAGAATCTGAAGAAGAAAGTATGATATTTTCCAGATGCATCATATATACATAATCACAACTTACCTCAATCTCAACACAGCTGTCGCTGACTGAAGTAGATATTCACAGAGAAAAGAAAAAGTAGAAAAGAAAAAGAAAACATGGTTATTCATCAGTGGCAGCCGCAAGTCCAGCAAGGCCAGATACTCGCTCCACCCATTCATATGGAATCATCGCAGACCTTCGTCACATAACGGGACATATAAAAGATGATATCCGCATCCCAAATAATCCACCCTAGGTTCCTAACCAATCCCAGCAAAGCCTAGCTCGGCTGCCCAGGCAAACCCCTTTTTCAGACGCCCATCACTCACGCAGGAGTACGACGGCGCATACCAACCTGGAGAGCAAGCGGCTTACGCAAGAAACCCTCACGAGTCTCCATAGGACCATCCTGCTCGATCTGGAACTCAAAGAGGCGGAAGACAGTAGCGCCCATGACGAGGAGTTCCATTTCAGCAACGTTGCGACCAACACAGGCACGGGGGCCGTGGGAGAAGGGGATGAAAGCAGCCTTTTGGCGGGGGGTGAGACGCTTAGGGCTCCAGCGCTCGGGAACGAATTGCTCAGCGTCGGGACCCCAGATTTCCTTGGAGCGGTGGATGGTGTAGCTAGGCACGGAGAGGACGTCGCCGGGGCCGAAGGTGTGGCCGCAGATGACGACGGGGTCGGCGCCGGCGGGAATCTCACGGGGAAGACCCATGGCGGAGGTAGAGTGGATACGCATGGTTTCCCAGATGACCCATTGCAGATACTCGATATCCTTGACCATGGCGTGGGTAGGAACGTCAATGTCCTTGGGGATAGCCTCGTCCAAAGCCTTGTGCAGCTTCTCGATGACGCCGGGGGTGCGCTGGCACCAGTACAGGATGGCACAGGCGGTGTTGGAGGTAGTATCGGAGCCGGCGATGAGTTGGGTGAGAGCCTCGGCGGTGAGTTCCTCACGACCGAGAGTGTTACCGTTCTGGTCCTTGCCTTCCATCAGGCGGGCGAGAAGATCGACACGGGTGTTGTTGGCCATGACCTCAGGCTTGACACGCTCATTGACACGGGCGATGGCAATACCAGCCAGGTTCTGGACAGCCTGCATACCCTCGGTGAAGAACTTGTCGGGGATGTACTTGGCGAAGGGGATCAAGGAAGGCATGCAGCCCAGGGTAGCAGAGACTTCACCACGGCGGTTGAGAACCTCGACGGCCTGGACGTACTTAGGCGGGTCATTGGGGTGCATACGCATCTCAGCAATATCCTGTCCCTTCTCGATCATGCCGAATGGAGCACCGAAAGCCAAGTCACCGATGATATCGAAAGCCAGATAGTTGAACCAGTTGAGAACGTCCATGCTAGCGTAGCCAGTCTTGGGGTTGGCCTGGAGATCGGCCATCTTGCGCCACTGCTTAACGAACATCTCAATGTTGCCGTGGATGTACTGCTCGAACTGGCCAATGGACTTGGCACTGAAAGTGTGCGAGACAGTCTTGCGCTTGCGAGTGTGCTCGGCACGGTCGCGGGTGTTGAAGAGGCCACGGCGGATCGAGACGAAAGCATCATAGAAGTCACTAGGTAGAAGTTAGCATTGAAAACTCTTCGTAGGCATTTACTGACACCATTGGGGAATATTGTACGTACGCCTTCAGGAAACCGTTGCCGTGTCCGTAAACACTGGTGATAGCCTCGTCATCGGCAATCGAGACGTGACGAGGAGCAATTCGCACCAGCTTGCCATACTTCTTGTGAGCGGCATCAACCGACAGGTAGCGCTTACCCTGGCGGGCCTGGATCAGCAGCCAGAAGTTGGTAAAGGCGGCGAAGCTGGGAGACGGGATATCGCGCAGGCGCGATCGCTGCAGGTAGGGCACCAAGAAATAGGCGACGACGACACCTAGCAGGATGTAGGGTGCATTTTCCGTAGAGAAAATCATGGCAAAGGAATATGCAGGGGGATGCAAGCTATACACTGCAGACAGGGAAGACAGGGAAAAATGGTCCGGAGCTCAAGCGGAAAAGTGTGGTGTCGATCGCTCGAAAGGCGGGGAGCAATGACGGTGAGGGGAGCAGCAGAAAGAACACAAGGAGGATATTTGTCGAAGCAGCCTCGTCCTTCGATGTCGTGACGATAGATTTGTCGACTCAAGACTGGAAGGAAAGAGAAAGAGAAGTATCAGTCCATGCTGTTCAAAAGCGAGTTGGGATCGAGTGTTATTTATGCTGTCCGAGCAGTGAGGCGTGCCGCATCGTGATCCCCGAGGTCTAACCGGTCGACGGGAGTGTAAATCGGTATCTGGGGATACGCCGCGAGTGGAGCCGTGGAGCGAGTAGTGCCGTTGCTGGCGTCCGAACGACCGCTTATTCGGTTATTCCCCCAGGGCGGCGAGTAATTCACGGCTTGTCATTGGTAAATCGGTGCACCCAGGATCGCCCCCGGCTGATTCAGACATGATTGTCGCCATTTGATTCGATCGAATGGCGCAGGGCCAATAGGGTCAAAGTCTTGGAAATTCTGGGGGTCCTTCTGGGGATGGTGATGAAGGAGAATGTGAAGAAGAAAGAGTGTGGGGGGGGAAGAAGACCACGTGATGGACATCTGCAAGGAATGTTCTACATGTTCTACAGAAGGAGACAGGATTCACGAGATTGGCCGATCAGATTGATAGACGCGGTTATCTACTACATATCGATCAGAATGGTCTATAATTTCATTGTGTATAGAGAGTAGTCAAAGACCTGTAATGAATACTCGGAGAGTCATGGAGATGCTCATTTTGCCTTATATACAGGAGTACGCTATCATGTATGCAAGTATACTATGCCATGCCATGCCACGCCATGTTATGCTATCGGAGTTTCTACCACTCCTCCGCTGAAAACAGTCCATTCCGTTTCTTCTCCCCTTCCCATCGCTCAATCCACGCCTTCATCTGATCCCGGCTCTTCTGGCTCCCAACGTTCACCGTGGGAATTACCCGGCCGATCCGCAGCGCACAACAGAACATGGTCAACTCTCGAAAAGAGCTATGCTCACTATACGGTACTCCGAAACAGGCACTTTCCCGCGTGCTTCCGCGTTGTGGGGTCAAATGCTGGGCCGTAAACGGAGTCCTCCAGTGTTCGCCACGCAGCACCGTCGGCACTGGAGGGTTATCCAGCATACGTCCGGCAGGTGGTCGGTACGACCAGCCAGTGGGTCGGAAACCAACCACTCGGGAGAAATGGGGTTTTAGGGTGTCCAGATAGTCGGCCAGGGTGTCGGCCCGAATCTCAAACAGTGTTTGCATATGGACTTGTGCCTCTCGGGGATCAGTCGTTAGTAGCGCGGTTAGCTCGGGATCTTCCAGACAGGCACAGATCCGCTGTTTTTGAGGATTGGCAAATATCTTTGATCCCAATGCTCGCGCGATACCCAAACAGATTCGCTCTTTACCGATGCTATACGTGCCAATGACGACCAATAGTCGACCCCCTTTCGATGATGGCTGCTCCGAGGGTGTATCGCTTTTAGTTATAGACGAGAGAAACTTGCTCATGAGGCCACCGCCCGTCTTCCCAAGCTCGCTGCCCACGCCAGATTCCTCATTGAGTCGAACGCAGAGTTCCGAGCAGGCTGTGATCACATCCTCCTGGCTGGGAAAGGCATACTTGGGGTTGAGATAGGTTGTATCGAGATAACACGTATCGATTCGCTGTTGCCGCGGCTGGCCGGCGACCGGGTTGATGGGGTTGGGTTGTAGAAGAGGGTGCTGTACATGAGTTGGAGACGCTCGAAAATCGCCACAATGAAGAATTCGCTGCCGTCGAGCGTTGGGTCCACTACCAAAGCTCTTCTCGAAGAGAAACAAGGAGCTTCCAGGACAATGGTTGGCAGGTATCATGGTGACCTGCACACCCCCAGTATCAGGCACCTCGGTCGTGGTCTCAAAATCGAGATCCACGATCCATTTAGAATCCACGCGGAGTTGCTGTCGGACCAAATTTCCTGTTGGTCGGCTACAATAAATAGGACCATGGCACCAGGACTTGGTCAGTCCGATATAATGATCGCTATGGAAGTGACTGAGAAAGTAGGCATTGCACCCCTCAACTGCTCCGTAACGAAAAGCATCCACGCAGATCGAGAAGCCTGGCATAATCTTGTAGAATGGACAGGTTCGTTGGTAGGCCTGTTTCCCACGAGATGAGACCTCGTTCGCAGCGGCAGCTGCCCAGGCCGTATCTTCGGCATTTCCTGCCATCATCTTGGAAAATGCGGATCGTGCACCGGGGGCATTCTTAGAGTATGGGTCGCGCTGCGGAGGCCGAGCAATAGCAGCCCGTTCAAATCGTGTCAGCCCTCTACCGGATGTCTGCTCTTTCTTCACATCTGATGCTGGGATCTTCGGTGCCGGCTCAGTCGTGCTCGTTGCAGGTAGAGTCGAGGTCTTGCCGTCCAAACAGTCGTTCACGTGTACCGACAGTTCCGTCTCGCTGAATCCTGCTAGCTCTCCCTGACATATCGGACAGGTGCTTACTCCCTCGGAGTCGGGCTCGGGATCGAAATCAGTTGAATCATTAAAGTCGTGCGTAAAATCGATTGTTCGTCCGTCTTCATCTTCAAGGTCGTCCCATGGTCTATCTCGAAACTCCTCCCCTACAAGCTCATCGCCGTCTTCAATATCGTCAAAATTCGCGAGTTCATCATCGTTGGTATCATTCGTTGCGTCTCTTACCAGTGGTGCCAGCGGGCGCTGGGCGGCAAGAGGTTTTGTACTCGGTTCGTCGTCAAGTGAGGGGGTTGATCGTTATCATTCGTGTCGGGTATCGTAGGGGTCGTCTCCTTCAGTTCCCGATATGCATCCATGTCATCTTCGCTGTCTGATTCGTCGATAAACGGTCCATTGTTCGACGTTTTAGCCGGGGCGGGTTTGACTGGCTTGGGCGTGTCGTTTGCCTCTCCACTCTCAGTTGAAGCATTCGGCGAATCCACCTTGCGACGTTTGACAGACTGCCCATTTTCATTGTACCGAGAACCCTCTGGTTCCATAAAATCGTCGCCCTCGCCCCAGATATCCTCCGGTGTCTTTGATCGGGCCCTCTCAGTCAAGTCAATCGTCACACTCGTCCGTTGGACTTTGGCCAATCCCTTCTTGTCCTCCAAAAACAGGGCCTCGGATGTATCACTCTTCGAGCTATTTCCATGCTGCAATTTCGGCGTGCCACGTCCATTGCTCGGGGATCCCGCTGATCCAACGAACTGTGTAATGCGTGGCTGGCGGGAGGTAGCCCCAGCTGGTGCGTCCGTCTTCTGGAAGAAATTCAAAATGCTTCTGTTTCCCTTCGCCGAAGATGACTTTGTTGCTGATGCGGAGCCCTTGGACGGCGTGGACGCCTTTTTAGCAAAGGGACCTGCCATCGCCGCAGAAGAGTGAAAGCGAAGGTGGGTAGGTTGTGGGAATTGGGGTGGAGGGTCGACGGTAGTGCGACTGCGAGCAGTCGGCACCTTGCGCTATGATATCGACAAGTAGTGCTGCTTGAATATGTACAGAATGTTGTTCATTATCCACACGAAAACAGGGATTGCTGAGGTGCGCCACCCGATGCGTCGAAGACGAACCGCGCGGGCGCCGCGACACGAAGTCACGTGAACACTACTGGGTCAAATGGGATATCTATTCCGTGCAGAGCTACAAGGCGCAACGAATAAGTCAAGTTCCATGGCCTAAAGCTGTATTTTTTTTATTGCAAGTGTGTTGAGCATGGTAACTGTGAGCAACTAGCATTACAAAATGCTAGTAGAGACCGGGGCTGTGATCCAACGATAGGTATCGCACGGCCAGGCCCGCTTAGATCCAAGTGCTCCGTCTCCAGATGTCATTCGTTTCCAGGGGAGCAGTGAGATCATAGATAAATCCCTTCTCTTCATGTGGAAACATTGCTTTGCGTTCCCGCCATTGCGCTAGCTTTTTGTACATTTCAAGCCGCGCGGTTTGTCCCCCGTATTCGCTCGTTCCGGGGGAACATCATAATATGAGAAAAAAACGTCGAGGCATTAACGAGGATGGATATAGTGACTTTCGAGGTATGATGTTGGTATCGTGGGGAAATTTACCGGGCCTTGCCAGCCTGGTTGGCAGCCTCTGTATTATGGACATCCGTTAGCAAGATCCGATCATGGTGGAGCAGGATGACAGCAAGAGGCGTGTGGCCATATTTCTAGTGAGAAATGGCAGTTTCACAGCACACTCCACGCTGCTATCTCGAGGCAGATCCGGGCGCATCACTCACCTCGCCTTGTAGCGTCCTCCAACAAACCCACGTCAACCTCCGACCGGGGCAGCATCACATAGCGCACCACACTACCACGAATGAACATGTTCTTCACAGAAGACAAGTGCGGGTACTTGTCGAGGTCCAGCACTTCGATATCGTCCAGCTTGATGTTCAGGTACTGATCGACCGACTTCAGGATTCCGCGGATGCGGATATCATTCTTAAGCTCGATAGTAACCGTCTGGTTGGTAAGGGTCTTGAAGAAGCTGCAAGGGCCATGGTATCAGTACTGATCGGTGTCAATCGAGGGCGCAATGGAGGTCGGCGGTACCTGAAGAAAAGCATGATGGCGGGGTAAGACGTGGAGAGGGCGGGCTGATTGTTGAAGAGCGGTGATCGCGTATGCGAGGGGCAGAGTTGAGGACCAACTGCCAAACTCGAGATCAAAATAGGAGGTCGTAGGGAAAGTCGCTGAAGTCTGAAAGTGACGGTGCGGGTGAACCTGTGGAGGTCTGGAGCTGCGATGAGTATGGTCACGTGACTTGGCCCTGGATGATGAACAAGAAGCCAGAACACGCAATCACTCGAGCATCCATCAGAAAAGAGCCATGAAATGAAAAATGGTAGCTACATGGATATTTATACATTGTCCTGATGATGATGACTTGTTGCCGCCGAGATATCAGTTCAATCTGGGAATTACATGATGCAATCTTATCGATCGAGATGTGAAATATATCTCGGGCACTACAGTTGCAACTCAGGCTTAAGTGATTGGCATCTCTCATCTCGCATTACATTAAATGGGCTGGCCACCCGGGCACAAATAGGTAAACTATCAACATGCAAACATCAAAAACCACATGAAACTCAGGCCGACCCGGCTCTCCGGTGCTGAACCATCTGTTTCACGCGCTTCGGCTTCATCGCCCATCCGGACAAGCAGGTCCAGCCTGCTCCGTTCTTCCTCCCTTCATCAAACACTGCTCCTACTCCATCCAGCAACTTGCTTCGGTCATGACCCATCTCAGTCCGCAAGCGGACCAGCCACTGCTCCCACATCCAGCCACCCAGAATCCCCGTGATACTGGCAATGTCGCCCGTGCTGCCAATCGGCCCCTGCACGGCCTCGTACTCCTCAATTCCACTCGGGACCCGTGGTGCTGGTGTTTCCCTGATCGGCTGTGGTTGGGCGGGTTCAATGCCCATGGGTAGGAACATCCAGGCACGCTTGATATTGACGTAGCCACTCTGGCGCAGACGAGCGAGGAAGGTCTTGGAGGCGACGGGATCGTATCCACGCGTGCGAAGATTGAATACAAACTCAACAGAAGACGCCGAGGCATACGAACCCGCGCGAGAGATCTCTGCATCCAGAACCATGAACTCCAGATACCCACCAGGTTTGAGACAACGGCGACACTCCTTCAGCACCAAGTCGTATTCATCCCGATCAAACCCGTTCGGACATTCGGTCTTCAATAGAGCATGCAAGGAGCGCGTGGTGATAACATCGAACTTGTTATTGCCAAACGGCAGCTCCCAAAGGCGTTCAACCGAAACCACGCGGTGGTTGGGTGGACCCTTGATGGCGCTGTTGACAGTCTGCGTCTGATTGACGACCGAGTAGACCTTTGTATGCGGGAACTCTTGCGCTGCGTGCCAGCCCCATTCACAAGAGGCATGGCCGCCGAGATCGAGAATGCGTACTGAACGTGGCTTCTGTTCATCTTGACTTTGGGGAGTTTTGCGGGTTCGCCTAGCTCGCTTCTCAACCGGGCTCGTCAGCATCTTGCCACCGTTTAGACATCGGAGTGCGTCCATGGCCCACATGGGTTGACAGAGCTGGGCAAGGACAAGCTGCTCCTTCTCAAGCTTGGCGAACTGCGCTTTCTCGGCCAAGACGGATGTGATGATTGAGTTGCGGGGCGCCTGGGAGAAGGGACCCTTGTATGCGGGTCTCTCTGGGCGGACGAGCTCGTATTTACCCATCAGGCTATTGAGGTGCATATCCACCAAACCCAGCCGGAAGGACTGAATCGCATCGAAGCGCATGTTGCGGTGAAGGAAGCCGTCAGCTGAACTGGACCGTTGTCGGATTGACTGGAACCCACGCCAGTAGATGGAGTCCTTGCTGGCTGACAATGGTGGACGTGGACTGAGAGATTCGGGGACACCCTCGGCAAATCGAACGGCCTTCTTTGGTGCTGCATCAACGTCCTCCTCTTGAGTGGGTGACTTCTCGCCAGCATCAGAGTTCGCCTTTGAATCAATCTCGTTGATGGGATTGGTCTCATTCAATGCGGAGAGGTAAGTTGCTTGGGCTGAGAGCCACACGCTGGTCCGGTCGAGACTTGCGGCAGCACGTTCCTGCAGCTCATTGTCATACAGCTCATCATACTCGTACACGTTACTGGGTTGAGTGATCTCCTGAACGGCCTCAAAGGTGGCACTCGTTGGACTGTGGGTGTCCTGGCGCGTGAGGGGTCGAGTAGGCGTGTCGCATGGAACTCGAATGGCTGTAGGCGGGCCATCCTCGTCACGGATCGCAGTGTCGGGATCATCCTCTTGTACGCGGTCAGGCCATTCGATGACCTGCTCGACGACCTCTCCTTGATCTCGAGAGAAAGGGAGATCATAGAAGCCCTCAGCCACGGCGGTCGTTGGTGGGAGATTGTCAGCCGGAATCGACCATGTGTGACGAGCGCGCGGTGCCAACGAAGCAAAGAAGCCGCCGGGCGATGGGATGCTCAGCTCGCTGAAGCTATACCCGGACAATTCCGAAGCAGGAGTGACTCCATCGGCACTTCGTGGGCGACTTCGTGGAGCAGGTTGGAGTTGCCACATCTCATCGTCCTCCGAGGTCTCGGACCAGGATTCGGGCGTGCGATCCAACGGAATATGCTGCAGCATTGCCAAAGCACCATCCGGCAGATATAGCCCTTGATCTGAAGGAGTGGATTCCCGAGGCGGCTCTTCGGAATACATTTCATTCTCATATCCTAACGAGGATGTCGAAGTATTCTGCAAAGCCGTGGGAAGCGAGGGAAACCGTCCGAGGACATTGCGCCAGTCGCTCTGTGGACTCTCAATGGAAAAAGAGACCGCTTGGAGGTCTGCATTGCTTTCGTGACTGCCCAGATCCTCCGCATCACTCCCATCGAGATCGGGCCGGACGTGGACACCTTGTGCATCCCAGTTCGTATCAGGAAGCGAATGGGTGTCTGGAGTGGCCAGGGCACTGAGATTAGATTCCTGGTCGGAGGAGATATCCCCATCGAGAGAGGGTGGTGCATAGGGTGCCGGGACCGATCGACCGAGCATGGAGAGCGCCGCAGGAGAGACTGGGATCGTGGACGGAGGAGTCGGCGGGATGGGCGAACTCTTGCAGGTGCCAGAGAGGGAGGGCCAATTCGTGGACGAAGGAATGTCGAGGGTTAGCCCACCTCTACTTTTGCGACTGCCACGACTGCCCGTCGAAGTGACCGAATTCCTCGTGATTGGTGTCACCAAGCTAGAGCGCTGAGTGCCCGGCGCCGAGAAACAAGAGTCACTAATCTCAGTGGAATTGTCATCGTCCATGTCATCGTCATCCGTGGCATCGTACAGATCGTCAAAAGGTTGCATCTGTTGCTGCCATTCATGGTCCGAACATGAAGAGGTCGTCCCTGCCGACAGTGGCGACATCAACCGGGCCAGTCGGGCATGAGTCGGTACTGATAGTCCACTGGTCTTGAGTGTCAACTTGGGGCTGGCCAGGGTTGGTTTGAGTCGTGATGGGCTACCGGCGCCCTTTTCTGAAAACTGGGACTCGCGAGTATCTTCCATTATAGTATTAAGCACCGTGCCTCGGGCCTGCCGAAGAGGCGGAAATCGCGCAGGTGGAAGGCGGAGGGCGTCAGTCATGATTTCCTCCCCTCCTTTGCTAGATTCTCTGGTGTTATTCAGTTATATAGAGTAGATTCTCGAGAGCGTAGGGTGTTCTCCAGTGACACGACGTTCTATGGGTATCTCAAAATAGTAAGAAAAAGGCATCGACAACCGATCAACGGAGTCGAGATGCGTCAGTTGTGAGGATATCACGAGGAATCGAATGCAAATTAGCAGAACAGAGAAAAGACAGGAAACTAGCCACAGCTACCAGAGCATGAAGCCGAACAGAAAAGAAAAAAAAGCGAGATGACGAAATAGAGGGACGCGAGGCGAGGATTGTGATGAAGAGTCACTTGTATATAGTATATACTCGATTTCCATTCCAGCCCCGTCCGGGCGCCTATCCGGGCTGGAGGGGATGTGCAACTGGCAAAAGCTAATCCCTGTCTCCCAGCCCATTTCGCAAAGTCAGTCGTCGAGCTACTGCAAGATTGGGCACGACCAATCCACCAACCCCCGTTCCCTAAAGTTGGACAAATCCTGCTCATTGGTGCACTGGCCGAAATGGGCGCGTCGCCCAGCAACAATTTCTTGCCTAACCCGGCACACTCGAGTTAAGAAAAACGGTTCTGGCGAGGACTCGAGAGGACTGGAAAGGACTCACGAGGGATACAAATTGCATGACAGATGCTTGGCGGAGCGAATCAGAATGGCCCAAATTGTGACGAACTGCTGGTGGGTAGCAGGGGTATGGTGAAGGGGCCAGTCATTGGCCGTTTCTACGCGCCGGGCTGGCTAAACTTAGCATCCATTAACTGGGCCAAAACTACTGCAGCCTATACCCTTCCGGTGTGATTAACGGGCATTTGTGATCCCCGCATCAGCCCGTGCGAAGTAATCACCGTCCAAAACACCCCGATGTAGCCCGTTCTTGCGCTAAAAGCTGAATAATTAATTCTACATGACGCATAGTCACGAGAACTAGGGAAATGATCATCGCACTTTGACTGGTAAACAAAAGAGGGGTAAGTGATGATAATTTATTCAAGACTAGCCCATTTGGAGAAGATCAGAGAGTGCAGAGTTAGCCGGGATTAATTTTAGAACTTTGATTAATTGAACCTAATTTACTGCATAGTTACATCTTTTGGTCACCATCTGGGTCAATAGTTTCTTCCCAGTCCACCTATCAGAGTGAAGAGACCAAGTAAATGAGAGAATGAGGGCGCATAATAGCTGCCTGATCTGGTTTGCCTGAAGAATTGCTTGCACGGACTGGTGATGAGGACTCGGTTCAGGCATTTCGATTCGACGTCTATAGTTTCAAGATTCAATAGTGCAGCCTTTGACTCATTCAAAGGGCTATGCCCAGAGAACTAGATTGCGAGCGACACCCGAGAGATTAAGATTTGTGTCGACGGTGAGATAGAGTTCTCGAGGGCTGGATCACGTCAGGTACAGAGCATGTACTTGAACAATTAGAGCAAAGGAATAGCGTTGATCTGGAAGCCCAAGGGCCGATGAGCGATTTCCCTAACGCTAAAATGACTCACGGGAACATTGACCAAGCGCATACTGTTGTAAACAATTTTGTCTTACCTGAAGATTCAGTTCCAATATTGAAAACGCGGAGACGCCGACCTTTTGATACTGCATCTTCTGACACTTCCACAGCCACAGCGGCTGGCTGCTGTACGACCCTTGCAGAAAGCAACAAAAGGTATCTTCATGTATACAGGAATGCTTAGTCCTGCTTTCTAGTTACCGTACTCGAGTGTGCACACAATTAAATTGTTCAAGAGTACTCTAGGAATCATCTATAACCGAAGAAACAAGATACGTTTCACACGGGCCTAACAATTTATCTCAATTGGACAGTGGAGTACTATCTCTGTTACATCATCTCCGCAAATAAACAAACGTCTAGTAATATCGGAACTCGCTCTTGAGATCCGATGCAGGTCCACTTCACTCTGCAAGTACCGAGAAAATCCATGACCCAAGGGTGATTCACGTAGCGCTTGCCGGCCCTTGGCTTGACACGAGGACTGGCCGGTGCTTCTGACGCGCCGTGGGGCTTACAAATGAATTTGTGCCTTATTAGGGAGATGATCCGATACTAGGCTTCGAATTTGAGAAGATTGATCTGGTCGATCCTTGGATTCTGATGAACTTTATTGAAGGGTAGATGTTTATTTGGTAGAAAGTGACGGAGTGGATTATACATTTAGAACCTGAAGTGATCTCCAGCCCCTAATCAACTAAACACGACAATCATTTATAATGAGTTTTAAACTAGAATCAGGCATTGTAAAACGAGACCATCATGTTTACAAGTGAGAATAAGCAAGTTGTATACTTGACACAATCTTATCGCACGACCCCTCCATGACTATTTACCCCTCCTTCCGTGGCGTACTCACCGCCGTACACCAGCGCCTAAAAGGTAGTAACAGAAGGAAATTGTTGGCGAGCAACGGAGAAACCAGTCCTTCTTACCATCCCCAAAGCATCGTTTGAAAGGCCCTGTTAGAACTGGTTGAAGTCTTCTGTAATTGTATTGGGACGGGGCTGTCCGGGTCGGATCACAGTGCGCCGTGGGGGCACAGACTTGGTCTTACTCCGTGGTGCTGTCCCCGCTTTGTGGTGTTGACGGCTATTGAAGTAACTGTGTTTGGGTGATGAAGATAGGACTCTTTTGCAAGTTAGTTGTAGGAAGATGGTTCATCCGGCTATCGTTTGGCCTGGCTTGTCATTGCCCGGGCTCTGATGCCGAAGAAGGTATCCAGCTGGTTTGATTGTTGCTTCAATCTTGATTTCCCAGTCTAGAAAACAGGCCAGAATTAGGACTGTGGGAGTCGAATCAGCGAATGGTGATAGAATATGATTTTGATTCGGTTGTCAAAGATCCAAGGGCTTTATAAGGCGCCCGTTGGTTCGCCCGTTTCGTTGGGACTGTAGAAAGATGATCCTCTCGTAGTCCATCCTTCGAGCCAAGCCACGGCTCAACACCCAAACCACGCTGATTGGTGGATGAGGATGCCCAGCAAGTCCGAGGGAGCTTCGAGAATCCCGGATGGTCTATTCCCTCCCCAAATAACCTTAAGATCGAGAACAACCCCGGTCGATGGACAGACCCCTGTCCGAGCTCTAGGTCAGCCGACTTGGTTGATTTTTCCAGCTGTGAGGAGAGAGTAAGTGGCGGTCATCCGTACTCCGGGATTATGGGATCGGAATGACCCGATCAGGCAATCCAGGAGATCGTTAGTGATTTGTCAGGGATCGCCCACCTGGACTTCAGTACGGTGTACTGTACAACTGTACATAGTAATGACTCCATCGTGAGAGTTGCTGGGAGCTGTGATGGGGCCTGGACAAGTTGAATGCTGGGCTCTGAGTGGATCAAAGAGGACTAGAGTGAAGATCGAAGCCCCACGTGAGAACCGGAGCCCTTATCGGGTTGCATCATCGAGAAAGACTTTTTTTTGAAGAAGCAGTTTAGTACTGTAGCTTGGAGTTCATGTATTCTGAGTCCTAGGGAACAGGTAAAGACAGAATTGATCAATGTCAAGTACCTCCTATCAAAAGCAAGAAACATAAAAAGAAACATGCAACTTGTACAGCCCCATCTTTCGGTGAACGCGGTATATCCACCTTTGGGTCGCCACTCGGCCTGATGTAAACCAACCACGATAGTAATAATAATAAGAATAATACTGTACAGACTACTAGAATACCTCCGGAAGAGGCGACTAAGGTACGGCTTCAAGGTCGGTAAGCCAATTCCATTATCGTGACTTAACTACTTATCTTTTTTTTTATCCGGCCACTTCCCCCTCCCTTCCTTTCCCCCTCACCTTAACCTTTCTACTTCTTCTCCTCCTTCTTCTCCTACTCACTCTCCCTCCTCATCACCCTCAATCTCTCGCCATGACGCCCCCCGCCATCATTGCCCCTTCTATCCTCAGCGCCAACTTCGCCAACCTCGGCCATGATTGCGCTACCAAGATGAAGGAGGGCGCCGACTGGCTCCATGTCGACATCATGGACGGCCACTTCGTCCCCAACATGACTATTGGTTGCCCCGTCGTCTCTCAGATCCGTGGCTGCGTCGACCGGCCACTCGAGCCCGGCTCGAAGGGTACCTTCGACTGCCACATGATGATCATGGAGGTATGTCTTCGAGAAGCTCCAATCGCATGACCCAGAATGAGCCCCCGCTGATTGCATCCCTTCCCCCACGTTTACAGCCTCACAAATGGGTCAAAGAGTTCCAAAAGGCTGGCTGTGACTTATACTGCTTCCACTACGAGGCAGCCGTTTCCTCCGTCGCTGCGACCGATCCCACCGATAAGACCACCACCGAACGGACCACCCCGCGCGGGTTGATCAAGTATATCCACGAGCAGGGTATGCAAGCCGGTATTGCAATCAAGCCGGATACCCCGGTCGACGTTCTCTGGGACATTCTCGAAAGTCCTGACCAAATCGAGCGCCCGGATGTAAGTAATTCGAAGCTCTCCAAAGCAAGCTTTTTCTTTCCCCCCGGACTACACCCACCCGCTGCGAATTCAAAGTTCCCCACTAACGGCAGCTTTCTCCCGGGCAGATGGTCCTCGTCATGACGGTACACCCCGGTTTCGGCGGCCAGAAATTCATGGCCTCCGAGCTGCCCAAGGTTTCCGCCCTGCGCGCCCGGTATCCCGATTTGAACATCGAGGTCGACGGTGGCCTCGGTCTGGGCACAATTGATCAGGCAGCCGACGCAGGCGCCAACGTGATCGTGGCGGGATCAGCGGTTTTCGGTGCGGCAGACCCAGCCGACGTCATTGCCAAGCTGCGTGAAGCAGTCCAGAAGCGACGGGGCTCTTCGGCATAGATGTTGGTATAGGAAGAGAGCGACCGACTGAATGACCGACCGGCCGATCCGATCCGAATACTCCTCAATTCAACCCATACTTGCCCACGACCAGTCGATCGACGGGCAACTCTCGCCCGGTGGAAACCGAAGCGGGATATAATGCGCCCTCAGAATTTCAACTACCATTTCACAAAAGGGGTTACGGTGTTTGTCCTTTTCTCGACTTGCGCACGCGTAACGCGATGTTTGCACGGGGGTTTTTCTTGGACAGTCCTTTTCAAGTCCATACGTTTCATGGAGGGGTCTCATTCAGGGGCATAATTTTTGTGTACTGTTTGTAATGATGAGCTATGAATGGCATTTGACATATACCTATTTTCAAGGTTTCCAAGTGGCCAATAAGATTGGTTAGATTGAACCACCGAGGCAAGCTAACTGATAGCCAAACTCTACAGATACGCAGATACAGATAAAAGGTGCAGGAAGCGATGTGGTATTGCATTGCTAGAACTGGAAAAGGACCTGGTATCATAAACACTGCTGACAAGAATCGACGTGGGCAAAAGGGGGTGCACTCATGTACAGATTTATCAATGGTCGTAAACAGCGTGGACTACTCCTTCGCGGTCGTCTCCGCAGCCTTGGTATCTTGCGCTGTAGAAGAGTCCTCCTTGTCCTTGGACTCGGAGGGCTCATCCTTCTTCTCCTCCTTCACGTCCTCAGCCTTCTCAACCTTTTCCTCCTTCTCCTTCTCCACACTAGTACCCTCCTCAACAATACTCTCATCCGTCGGCCTCTCAGCAGCCTCCTTCCTCAACGCATCCAACGAACCCCCCTCCCCCTCCGCCCCAGAAATCGACTGCCGAATCTCCGTCACAACCTGATCCTTATCCGCATTATCACTGCCCGAAATAATCGAACCCCGATGGTGCTCCACAAGGCCCAATTCCTCTGCATTATCAACGTGGAAGTTCGCCGATGACACGGCCGCGACTTCCGGGACGAGAGGCGGTCGCTTAGCACCGGCGGGCGAGTCAGGTGCGATGTCAGGGAGTTCGGGGGCGACGGAGGCACGGTGTGTCTTGGGGGAGGAAGAGGAGGGTTGGGGTTGAGTCTGGGCGTCTTCTTCCTTAGGCTCGGGCTTTGGCTTTGACTCAGTCTTCTTCTCGTCCGCTTTGCTCTTGGCTTTGTTGGCAGCTTCGGAGCTAGCCTGGCGGAGGGCGAGGACGGCTTGCTCGTCCTTCTTGTCTTCGGGTTTGGTCGCGGGCGGGCTTTGGATCTTGATGGTGGAGGGTTTGGGGGTTGTAGGAGCTGGTGCGGGGGATTCGGACACGGGGGAGAGGATAGCTGGTCGCAGGCATACCGTCCAGATCCTGGGCGCTGTTGACGACCATGCGTAGTTCGCCGAATTCATTCCATTCTTCGATTTCTTCCAGGTCCTGCGATAGGCAGAATTAGCGCTGGAGCTCACGCTGGTAAGGCGGGGAGTGGGGGGAAAGTTCATACTCCGACGATATTTCCATACTTCACCAGACCAGGCAACTTCTTCCCCTTAGACCGACGGCCCCAAAGCTTACGGGCAGCCTCATCCGTGGCAACGTCGATAGCGCGGAAGGGAAGCTTATTCGCCTTGAGAATAGTCTCGATACGAGCGGTCGCGGTGACGATGTGCGAGGACCCCGCAGTCAGGGAGGTGTACAGATAAAGGGTTGAGTCGGACATGATGGATAGTCAGTGGAAGATGGGTAGGTAGATAGGGGGGAAAGTGAAGTAAGAGAAGAAGATGGTAAGAGAGACAAAGCTCTATTGCAAGAGAATAGGGGCTCGCAAAAAAAAGGAGTCAAATGAAATTGAGCGATGCACCGTTCACTTTGAAACCGCCTTTTGATTTGTTTGGGCTTGCTTGGGCCGATGACGTGGGGGTGTCACGTGCCCGAGAGGATCGTCACAGGGACTAGCAAGAGCAAAATACTGGAGTACTCTGGAGTATCGATTAGTAGTACATACAATAGTCTACTAATACAAGCAGACACTATCTATCTCTACGATGGCGTCGCTAGCATTCTACACTATAGAAGGATCTTAGCCACACTACGTCGCCATTCCCCTGGAACACCTACCTACTTATACCAACTCCACATCTCCAGCTTGTACTCCCCAGCTATCCATGCAATCGCAGTCGCCGCCCGTGGCAACTTGACGTCAGTCCGTTTTCCCACACGGATCTGTACCGCCAAAATAACCGCCAATCTCCCATCGTCGGGAATATCCACGAACGGATCCGATCGGTGGGAGGGACTGCTTACAGTCTTGGAATGGTTCGTGTCGCCACAGGATGAAAATAGCACTGCCGCTGGTTAGATATCGGTATTTGCGGTCTTCAGCCAGGATCGGGTGCCGTTGTTGACGTTGAGGGTTGATGCAGAGAGCTATGAAGTGTTAGGAGGACTAGGAGAGATCGCCCGGTTTGTGAGCTGGCGGGATCGCATCGACGTCTTCCCCATCTTCTGATATGCGATATCCCGATTTCCTCGACGCTCGAGTATCTCTGAGCGGTTCCAGTAGCTGCCCGAATGGGAACCTAATCGAGATGGAAACCGAATAACCCAGCATAGCTGCCCATGTCAACCAGAACGGCTCGGACAACCGGGCATCTGAATGGGATCCGAATTCAAAGATCTCTCGGTTGGGAACCATCTCCGTCATCCGAAGCAGGTGGCAAGAGAAGTATGAATCAAAGTCAGGCCCTCGAGGTCCAAGTCTGCATCCAAGTCTGCATCCACCTCGACCTGCTTTCTTCCCTGCCTATTGCACTGCCGCCTACGCGGCAAAGAACCACGCGGCCGCAGTGCAACCAAGACCCCGTGATATCATCAACTGCTAGCAATATTTAAAACCCGGCTGCTCCGCAGTATGCTTGACGAAAAGCCCTGCAGCAGCCACGGCATGCACACCCTCCCACCCGAGGCAATGAGGCTGAGTGTCCGCGCCTACTGGGGGACTCGAAGCTCGAAGCTCCACGTAGAGGGCCCAATGAATATACCCCGGACGATATAGCTCGTGATGCACCCATCTGCGCCTCGATCAAGATAGCTGCATCGTCGGGTTGAGATGGGGAGATGGAGATTGAGCACGAGACCTTGATTACGACAGCGCTATGGCATCGTCATGATGGAGATCGGTCGAGGTCAGATCCTTTGGTCGTGCAAAGTCGGGCCTCGACAGCCCAAGCTCACCGCAATTCTGGGGAGGTGATTATTGGAGAAGGGGCGCGGGCGTGTATAGCACGGATCGCTAGGGGAGTTGGTTGGAACTTGGCGAGTCGGAAGATGAGCCCCTGGGCAAGGTTGTCACGGGCGCGTTAGGAGTTGGTGCGTCGGAGCTTGTTGTTTGTCGCTGATACTATTCTAGGCCATCTGGGAGAGATAGAAGCATGGACCGTGTAGAGAGTAAATGGCTGGGCACTTGATCCATACATAGCAAGAGGTCAGGTCGGAGTCGCACAGTGCGGAGGACTGCCCGCTGCGAGGAAAATTCATCAAAGCCAATCACCGTAAAGTCACCCACTCGAGTCCTAGGATCAAACTCGACACATCGTCGAATTGTCGAATGACGAAATCAAGTGGAATTCCCTGCCAGATTCACATCGTACTTTTGTCCTTGACTCCTGCATGACAAGAATGCAGGTGTGTAGAGCCTGAAACTCAAAGGCGCGTCTCCCCCAAACCGATCATCGAGTTCTGGATGCTGGAAATGAAACTTGGTTGCACGATGGAAATAGCATACATGGAGGAGGACATATTGTCAGCACTGTACTTGTGCTGTAGGTACAGTAGCATGATAGCATGATACATCAGAATGCACTGAGGATAGCTGGTCGTACAAAGTCATGGGGTGACTATGTATAGCATAATCAAATCATCACCACCCGTCCTACCTACACCTTCCTCCTATGTAGCACATGACTAGCTAGCCCTCTGCAAAGTGCACTCCATACTAGAAAGATCGACACGATCAAGGAGAACCCGGGTGTAATCCATGTCGATCAGGGCCTTTAACCCTACTAGATGATAGTTAATTGACACGTACATGGACTTGCATACTCTTGCCCTTATAATCAGATCAACCATTAAGAGCGCTGAAACGCGGCGGCAACCGCGTTTTGGAGATGATTGAATCCTTCGGGATAGTTGGATGAGAAATCCCGGCAGAGATCGAATCGGAAACCGGGAATATAGTGTAGGGTGCATCGAGTAATCTACAAGGTATGCAGAGTAAATGGTAGTCTGCTCCACACTTGCAGTCGTTAATTATCGTGGACTATGGAATCTGTGGAGACTTCGAGATAGTCACTAGCGTGGTGATCGTCCCAGCCTAAATCTCCCCATTTTCCCCTGAACGAACCGAACCGGTCAAGGGCCTCGACCAAATGAAAAAGTTGGAGGGACGTTATTTCTAACTGTACAATATAGAACTGATCATAGCATTTATTCCAAATGGCTATATGGAATTAAGAAGCATGATAGAAGGTATACAATCATGCATGTGCAAGCAACTGACTCGAGCCATGGTTCGCTGGCGGGAATCGCGGATCCGACCATGGATCCCACTAGCAAATACTAAACTAGCTAAAACAACAACTCATCAGCTAAGAAAATCTCTTCTACTGTACTCCGTAAGTAACTCATGAACAAATGGCGATGCACTTTCCGGAACAAATTGCAAGTCTATCCCCACCCGTCCCTCTCCACTCGTCCACACGGCTTGGGCTTTGGATTTGGCGTCTTGGGCTTTGGGCGCTGGGCACCCGCCATGGGGTCACCGGGGCCCAACTGATGCTCCAGTTGCAGACGGGCGACAACGTGGCAGACGTTGAACCGGGGAGTACCTTTCGTTGTCGGCCTCGCTAGCTGACTAGTTTGTTATTTGCTACCTTGGTGTTCTGTTTTCTCATTTTCTAGTCTAGTTCTTCTTGTTCAGGATCCAAGTGAAGGAGGGGGTAGAATCAAGGCAACTGATGGCCTCCCGCCGTAGGCGCGAAGGATGCAGGATGTTTCATGGTGGTAGTAGAGAAGAGTAGATAGTCCAAGAAGGAAAGAGGGTACTTGGATATAGTTTGTGAGTTGTACAGCGGAGAGTAACTATATGGAGGGCTATAGAGTAAGTGTGGGTATAATAGACCACTCGAAATAGTTGTTCTATCCTCCACTCCTCCATAGTAGACTCAATAATCGACCTATTAACATTCTCGAGCCTGTCCATATTCCAACCCGACGAAACACAGCCTCTAAGAAAAACCCGTCTTCCCATCCAATCCGTCTCATCTGCCCTGCGGGCGGTCGGGTTCTTACCCAGGAGGATCCGGTTCGCTGCTTCACTTTTTCCAGTGGTCCTCCTCGTCGCAATGACCCCCCTCCCGGATCTCTCCATGTGCAGATACACCCTCCACCAACCAGATCAGCCACATCGCACTCATCACAAACGGAGCATCGAATTCGGTCAGCTATTATTCTACTGAGGCTGTGATTATTCCTCCTTTACTATTAGCTCTGGTAAGTACTCCATTGTGGATGATCGGTGACAGGGGGAATAACCGGCGGGTCCAGACCGTGGGGAAAAGGGGAGACAATATTGCCATGAACTTGGTAGTTGATCATCATCAGTATACTACTACTCGACTACGGAAGTATCGTGATGTGTATAGCACCCCCGTACTAAGCTGGGTCAACCCTCCTAGCGTCCTCGTATCCTCCGAGTTTCGTCCTTCGCATCCTCTTCCTCTTCTTTTCCTCTCTTAGCCTCCAGCTCATCTCATCCCCAAAGGAACTTTTGTCATCATCCTCTCTACCTCTTCTTTCCCTCTTCCTCTTTTTCTTCTCCCTCCTTCATCCTTTCCCGCTGCCCAATTCATACTCTCTTCTGTATATTCTCCCTCCCTTTAATTCCCACGTCAACCCACTTTTTTGCAGGCCCGACGCCTCTTATTAGTTACTTTCTCAATTCGATCGTACTATCGATTACTTCTCCCCCCTCCACGGAGATCCACCCCGACCCTTTGATAAGATTCCCCCCGGTATGCTCTTCTCTTCTCCCCGCCATTTCAACGGTCTTTCTACTTCTTCATCCACTAACCCTGCAAATCAGTCTACTTTTTCCTCTTCTATTTACCCACACCTCATTTATCAAATCTACTACTCTCTACTCTACTGATACCACAGGGTTCACCCTCGGCCGAGGTGACCATTCCATTACTGGTACTCCCCATTTCACCATCATGGCTCTACATTCGGTCGACGACGATGAACAACTGTTCACCCGGGCCATGACCTCCTATCGTGAAGCATTTTTGGTTCGACATTCCCACCTCCCGGAATCTCAACGCCATCAACTTTGGACTCAGCAACTCAATCAGTTCCAGTTCATCCCGTCTACCCCATCACCAGCCTTACCTCGAACGGGAGGAGGGCTTCCGGGGAGCTCGGGGAAACGAACTCGACAGGATGCGACTCCACGGACTCTCCCTGCAGCCGAAGCTGCTTCCGCCTCTGGTTTTGGTTCTGGTTCTGGTTCTGGTCCTCCGCAAGCGAAACGGCGAGCCACCGTATGTGTGACCTTGGTTACTTGCTCCCGCCTCTCTCCTCCTCCTCCCTCTCCTCTCCCCCCTCTTACCCTCCATCCAACCAACCCGTCACTGGATTGACAATTGGCAGACCCCGGATCTCCCAGTGGCCGCCGACCTACGACGCACCTCCTCCCAGACTTCCTCGGCAGAGACTTTCCGGAAAGGTGCGTCACTCTCCGGGCAAGGATCCTACCGACATGGCCCCGTGAAGGCTCCCGTGGGAGGTAGAGACGCGATGGCTTTGGGAATGGTTCGTTCTCAAAGCCAGCAAATCCCCACCTCTTACAGGCATCCACCAGCGGGAACCGCCATGGGGAAACGACAATCCTTCGGCCCGACCCGGACCCAACAACAACCGCAGCAGCAGCAGCATCCCCATCTGGACCACGTCAATGAGATGGTCAGCGAATACTCACCATCCGAGTTTACGAAACACTTGGATGATCCACAGAGCAACATCAACCAGGTCCCTCTCTATGGCTCTGGTGCTGCAACCGTCCTACCGACCGCCAACACCACTTCCGCGTTGACTCTTGGGCTGGCGAATCTTGGATCAAATGGACTGGCATCTCTTTCGCCTGGACAGCCATCTCCCATGGCCGAGGCCTCCCCAGCTGGCGCGGTGGAGATGACTCGCAGCGGGACCACCGACACTATCATCGGTGGATTCAACAACTTTGGCTTCGATCAAGCTGCGACGACTCATGTGGATCTGGAACAGGCCAACCCTATCCCCCCGGAATGGGTGCCCACATCCACCTCGGGTCTCCCCTATCAAGACTCCATCCCTTCTTCCCTATATCCTGACTTAGATACCGGTGCATCCTTCCCTTTCTCCTATCCTTCTTCATTCTCAACCTCTGCCCCTCCATCAACACCGTTCCGGCCACAGCAAGTGCCAGCTACCATGAATCCCACGCCGGCTAGCAGCATCCTCTCCCCACCAGAGGCCGTCGACATGAAGCCATCAATTTCAACTGGAAGTAATTCTTCCGCCACGGCAGCTCCCTCTCGTGCAGTCCGCCGTACACAAGAGCAAATCGCCCACGGCGCACGACCTATCGCGCCCAAACGGGAATCCCAAGGCGATGCCCACCTCCAACTCGATCCCAACGACCCGAATCGCATGATTCGCATCTCCTCCGCTGACGGCACCACTAAAGAAGTCGCCGCCATCCCCAAGGCCTCTGTGCACCGCCCCCCACGACCAAAGACGTACTGTCACTTATGCAATGACCAGCCAGAGGGCTTCCATGGGGACCACGAGCTGCGCCGACACATCGACCGGGTACACGCGCGGGTGCGCAAAGTCTGGGTCTGCGTGGATATCTCGTCAGACAAGAAGTTCCTCGCTAACTGCAAAGCCTGCCGAAACGGCAAGCGATACGGCGCAAACTACAACGCAGCTGCGCACCTGCGACGCACGCATTTCAACCCGTGTCAGCGTGGCCGTGGGGGCCGGGGAAAGGACAGTGAGAAACGCGGCGGCAAGGGCGGCGGCAACCAGCCGCCGATGGAGGTGCTGAAGCTCTGGATGCGGGAGACAATTGAGAGGGCAGATGAGCGCTCCCCCGATACCTTTGATGTCGAGGGGTTGGAGGAGTACTCTGGGAGTCTGCCGTCAGATTACAAGGGTAGTCCGCTTGTGCCCGGGCTCGGAGACGCAAGCAGTTCCATGAGTGTGGGCATGAGCATGAGCAGCTCCTATGGGATGGATCCGACGCCCATGCATAGCCATAGCCTCGGCAGTGGCGCAGAGTATGAGGGATTCCCGGGGATGTCGGCCAGTTTCGACTTTGATGCCACGCTGGAGGACCCCTTCTATCGGGATATCCAGTAGATCTTGGCGGTGGAGACGTATCTCATGTGAGCGATCGTAGTCTCCCCCCGTTTTCCTATCGACAGTGTTTTTGATATTTTTTTTTTTTGGATTTGACGTTGGTCTTTGGCGTGTTTTCATTTTTCTCGATTGGGTTTGTGTATTTTATCGTTCCCCTGTTGCCCTTGTATATGGACTGGGATTGGAAGGGACTTGGATATATGGGATTGGGGATCTGGATTGGTCTGGGATGAGGAGTTTAGTCTCGGGGTATATTCATTTCTTTGGTTCTCAGGGCCCCGTTTCAGCTCAACTGCGGCTGGCGCCTAGACTGGCGTGTGGGTTTCGCAGCAGGCCGTTTGAGTTGGCGCCTGAAATCTTGTCGGTTTTTGACTTTGGCATTGCCCCAAGTTTATTTTTGTTTTCTGACTTCTGACTTGATATTTCTGAAGCTTGTTTTTGGAGCTGATTCTTGGGGGCCGTGGAGGTTTGTGAAATGTCTCGGGACTGTGCTCTGCACTACACTCCAGAGACCTCAGCATCGACCCTCCATGGCCCCGTACTGACACGATTGATGACAAGGACGGGCATTTCTAGGCTTGTATCCGTAGCTAATGACTATAATTAATGACCATGACCGTACTTGACCGAGGAGAAAATACACTAGGAGATTCAGGAATTGGGGTGTGGCACAGGGTTACACTCCAGAAATAGGAAACTCCATCGTAGTGCATGTAAGTAACAACAAAACACAAGCCTAACCTAGACGCCCTGGACGGATCACTCAGGCAGCAGCAATACATAATTACATACCAAATACAGGCGGTGAAGAACTGGCCGATCTTCCGGTTCGCCAAATGACGGTGAATGGATGGACGGGTGGGGGTAATGGAGTGATGGATTTGACTGGGCGTGACACGGTGGCTGGAGGGAGATGCACGTTGGTTCCAATCAGAGAAGACCAGTGGAGGAGGATGGTGTGGCTGACTGCGTTAGTCACTGGTAGGGCTGGATTGAGTTGGCGGGAGATGTGGCTGAGACGGGGAGATTACGAGGGTGATACATTAATACGGGAGGTAAATTACGTGGTGCATTTGTACTTTTGACAAACAGCATGCTCGATGCAGCAGGTAGCCTTACAAGACATAGAATTAGCTTCGTTATTTTGGGGTTTCAGGGTTTAGAATATGTCATGTCTCTTCTAGGGTTGAGGATATTACTACTCTAGTTTAGTAGTGTAGCTACTAGTGTAGACCAGCTATTATTACCTCCGGATAGGCATCCACTTTCCATCTTTCTAGAAGCCCGTTCTTTCTATCCCACTGGAAAGAATCAGTGGAGCTATGTCGTATACAGTACACTGTAGACATCGGAAATGACATTCCAGAATTCCGACAGTAACAGTATAGTACTATACATAGGGCTCTAGTACAGTACAGTCGTACCTCAGCCCTGTGACTCGGGCTTGGCTGCCAAGCAACTTGAGCCCGGTACACCTGCAGTACCGAATACCGACTGTAACTTCCCTCCTCTTTCTCTCTCTCTTCTTCGACTTGAACTCTCTCCCTTAAATTCCGCCCTACAAACCCAAAAGAGGCCCAGTCCGGTAAACCTTGTTCTCCTCCTCCTCTCACTGTCCTCGTCATCCTTTCCTCTCTCTCCTCTTCTCCAGACATCTCCCTCCCTCCCTTCCTCTATACACCCCTGAGACCCGCACATCTCCGTCGCTTCCTCGCTCACCCCTCGTCGTCCGCGACAAGCTTTCCAGAACTCCCTCCCCCCATCTCTCTACCCCCCGATCGAATCGGTAAGTGGCTTGCTCGATCCGGTCTACATTTGCCCACTCTCTCGTCTCCAATCTCCAGCCCGCCTACACTTGACTGTGATTTACCTCGATCGCGTTGTCTCGGGTCCATCGCTAGCCTCACCATTGTCGCATTGCTCCGGAGCTTCGTCGCTGACTACTTTTCTTGCAATCTTTCAGATCCATTACTGCCGATATGTCCTACCAGCAGCACCAGTACCCTCCCAACGCGTGAGTCTCCCGTTGTCATCTTCTCCCGAGTCGTCGATGCGATCGCCAGGTCTCGACTTCTCCCCGAATATCACACCGCTGGTTTGATCGCACCGGTCATGAAAGTGGATGTGGAATATACGATTTGATGTGCTTGGATCTCTTTGTCTGTTCGGAATCTGACTCGCACCGAATACAGCTACCAGCAGCCTGGTTACGGTCCTCCCCCCCGGCGAGTACGGCTACCCTCAGCAGCAGGGATATCCTCCCCAGGGTTACCCTCCCCAGCAGGGCTACGGCGGCCCCCCTCCTCAAGGTGGTGTATGTATTCATTCTCCAAGTGCCACAAAAATCGCCGACTGATCACTTTCCCAGATGCAATACCAGCAGCCCCCGCCCCAGGCTCAGCCCCAACAGAAGAGCAGCGGTGGTGGCCAGGGCTGCCTTGGCGCCTGGTAAGTCGAGATCCAATGTCCGGTGTAAAAGCCTTACTAATTCATTTATTCCCCCTACAGCTTGGCCACTCTCTGCTGTTGTTTCGTCTGCGAAGAGGGCTGCGAGTGCTGCGCCGACTGCATCGAGTGCTGTGAGATGTGCTAAACACCCTGAGCTATGACCTCGACGATACTCTTTTTTCTCTTCATGGCGTTTGAAATCGAAAGACTCGCCCGGCAGGGTTCTGGGATTGATTCTTACCCCCACTCGTTGGATCTTTGGATCGCAAATATTCTCTTTGTGTCAAATTAAGCCTCTCTAAAGTGATGTCTTTGCGAGACGTCATACCCTTGAACCGATGTTTTTTATTCTTTTTGCAAGTTTTAGCTAATCTCGATTATTTTGGATCTCTCGGACTGCCATTTACAGAATCGGCACTTCTGGGATGGTAGTATTGCCTTTGATTTGATCAGTGAAATGTATTCGTGTATTCATGTCTAATGCGTGCGACTACTGTTCACCATTTATGCCTCTTGCAACAAATAGTAGTAGTATAATGAAATGTCGAGTGAAGTGTGAGGGTTTTCGACAATTTACTTGAGACTATGTAGTTAGATATTGCCGTGTCGAGGAACAAACCAAAGATTTGTTGTTCTAGTCAGCCATTGATGCCCAGTACTTTCGGCCTTTCGATTTGCTTCAAATCGCAGCATGAATTAGAGATACAACGGCGCGTCGCTTTACGATGATCAACTCGAGCCAGAGGTACTCATTGGCAAAAATAGAGATGGTCCCTGCACATAAGCGCCCGCGCCATGTGAGTTGCGAATCAGTTCCTAGGAATAGGTCCGGCGCTTAACGAAACAGCCCATGCGTCGCGGCCATTCTTGCTAATTTATTATTACTAGGGATATTCCCACTATTTTTATGTAAGTTTGGGGATCGAGTTTATAACTCTGGTATACTTTTTAGTTTATCAGAATGGCGCACGACAATATCACAATCAATCCGCTTGATTCAAATGGCTTATGTTTGCTATCCCTCGACGGCGGAGGAGTTAGAGGACTTTCAACCCTTCATATTCTCCGGAATATCATGCTCCAGCTCAGCCTTGAACGCGGGTCTCGGAATATTCTCAGGCCCTGCGATGTATTTGATCTGATCGGAGGCACCAGTACAGGAGGGTACGTCAGTCCCCAAATAGGCCTGTAATCTTAGCCTGATCTGACCCGTGCAAAATATCTAGTCTCATTGCAATAATGCTGGGCCGACTAGAGATGAGCATCGACGAATGTATTCAGGCATACACACAACTCATCAACTCCGTCTTTGGCGAAAAAGTGAACACCATCCCAGTAGACTGGTCGGGAAAGATACGGCCCCAATACGACAGCCAGCGACTCAAAGCAGCTATTGAGAATGTTATAGAGAAAGCTGGCGCAGCCCCCGGTGACCTCATGGATGATGGTGCCCGCCGCCATTGTCGCGTCTTTGTCTGCACAACAGCCAAGGATACTCTCCAGATTACCCGACTACGAAGCTACCCCGTACCAAATGAAGATACCCTTCCCGCGACAATCTGCGAAGCAGCCCTCGCCACGTCAGCAGCAACGGGGTATTTCGAGTCCGCGACAATTGGAAATCGACAATTCGTGGACGGATCCTTCGGAGCGAACAACCCCGTAGAAGAAGTCGAAGAAGAAGCAGCCGATATCTGGTGCACGACCAGTCGCGATTTGAAGCCTCTACTCAAATGCTTTCTGTCCGTTGGCACAGGGTGTCCTTTGAAGATGCCAATTGATGATAATATGATCAAGTTTCTCTCGAAGACACTTGTTAGGATGGCTACTAAATCGGAGAGCACGGAGCGTCGGCTCATGGCTCGCTGGAGTGATGAGATCAGGCAGAAGCGGATCTTTCGGTTTAATGTTGATCAGGGTCTCCAGGGGGTTCATATGACGGAGTATCAAAAGAGGGGGTTGATTGAGTCTGCGACGCATGACTATTTGCATCATTCTACTCAGAAAGATCGGATTCGAGAATGCATTTTGAATTTGGCTGGGAAAGAGGGTATGTTACTTGTTTCCTTGTTTACTGTCATCGGGATTTATTGCTAAGGGGGCATACTAGGTAAAACGGATATGGAGTTCGACATTACCATGCGAGTAAGTCGATTAATCGCATCCGGGGCAATGAAAAATGGGACTAAAATATCGATTTAGGAATACGAAGCCCGGGCCTTCAAAATGCAAGTTCTTAAGACTGTGCATTCCCGGAAGGATCCATTTCTACCTGAAAGATCCCCCTGTTGGATTGTCCCCTTTGAGCGAAACGCCCGCTTTGTGGATCGAGAACTCTTAGGGAAACTTAAACGAAGGCTATTCGCCCAGGATCAACCAGACAGAACTGGCATCTTCGGTCTTGGCGGTGTTGGTAAAACCCAGCTCGCCCTTGAGTTGGCATATCAGACGAAAGAGATGTACTCAGATTGTACCATCATCTGGCTCCCAGCCGTCGATAAGGAGACCCTTCATCAAGCATATCTGGAGATTGCTCGTCAGCTGGGATTACGCTACGTCGACGCTGAAAAGGAAGATGTTAAAGTCATTGTACAAAAGCATCTGAGTCAACCACAGAGCGGTCGATGGCTTTTAATTATTGACAACGCCGACGACATAGATATGTGGACCGAGGGTGCGCCTAATTCGACTAATTGTGGCCTCCGGGGCTTTCTACCAAAGAGTGATCAGGGGGCTATTGTCTTCACGACGAGAAGCACCCGGGTCGCTCAATATCTAGCTCCGGGGAACATCGTTGAAATTCCCGAAATGGATGGGACGAAAGCCTTGAAGGTCTTACGCAACTCGCTTGTGAATAAGAATCTTCTCAACGATGATCAGAGCGCGCGGAAACTTCTTGAACAACTGACATTTCTACCCTTGGCGATCGTCCAAGCTGCTTCATTCATCAATGAAAATCAAACCGATATTGCAAGCTATGTCAGACTACTTGACGGCCAGGCACAGGATGTCATTGATCTGCTGAGTGAAGAATTCGAAGATGAAGGCCGGTATAAGAGTATTCGCAACCCCGTCGCTACAACCTGGTTAACGTCCTTTAAGCAAATACGAAAGTCCACACCGCTCGCTGCTGACTGTCTAGCCTTTGTGGCATGTGTAAACGCAAAAGATCTTCCCACCTGCCTTCTGCCCGTTCCGGAAGGCGTTGAACGGGAAAAAGCAATCGGAGTTCTCAGTTCTTATTCGTTCATTCGGACATCTAACGCTGGAACTCGGCTCGATATGCACCGACTGGTTCACCTCGCAACAAGGAATTGGCTTCGATCGATAGGCTCTCTACACCAATGGCAGACCAGCTCGCTCACAATAGTGAATCGTCAATTCCCACTTGTCGACACTGTTCAGCGAAGTGAATGGCGTGCAGCAATACCGCATGCTCGCCAGATTTTGCAATTCACGCCGAATAAGATCAGCGCTCATAAAATAACTAAGTTAATGCACTTAATTGGCTCCTGCTACGCACTTGATGGACGATACAGAGAAGCAGAAGAGCTGTTTCTGCAATCAGGAGAGATCTCCCAGAGGTTGTTGGGTGCTTCTGACCGCCGTACCCTCAAGAACCGCTGTTCCCTGGCCTACACATACCAGGCGATGGGCCAGCTGGAAAAATCGATCCACATATTCGAGAAAATTCTAGAACACCACGACCACGTTCGAGGACTCGATAACCCAGACGCAATGGATGTAATGGCAAAACTTACCAGCTCTTATCGACTATTAGGAGACCTGCAAAACGCAGAAGAACTCGGTGATAAAGTTGTGAGATATTATCTCGAGACATTGGGCCCCGAGTCACAGAGTACCTTGGATGCAATTTTCAACATGACATTGATCTACTACGCGCAGGGCCGTCTTTCCGACGCAGAAAAGATGGCGCAGCAGTCCTTGCTCATTATGAAACGGTTCCTTGGACCAGATCATCCACACACAATATCTGCCACGACAAGTCTTGCAGATATATACATGAAGAGCTGGAGGCTTAAAGAAGCTGAAGCGTTGTATATGGATGGCTTGGAGAGAGGTCGGCGTGTCAACGGGCCAGATCATCCGAGTACGACGCGGGATCTTCATCAGCTAGCTTGGCTGGCGAAGCTACAAGGGAAAAACGCCGATGCGATCGCTTTGATTACCGAGTGCTGTGAACTGAAAGCGCGTGTTCTGGGGGCAGATCATTATCAAAGTATTGAGACCTTTCAGACCCTCGAAGATTGGACAACTGCGAAGTAAGTACTCTCGGATCATCAAGATTTATGTATAGTGGGATTGCTTATCGTGGAATTATTTTAATTTGGCCGTTGTATCGAATAGAAAAATCACTGGACGTCTCAGATCTCATTTTGGTACGGTGGAAAGGTCGGCAATGATGCTCGAACGACGAAAACAATACCCTCGAGTAAAGGTTCTCGGTGGTTTGTACACGGTGCGTCGGGAACCGAAAAATGACTCCCTCGTTCGTGAGGTCATCAAAGCAGTGAATGGCCTTCCTATGAACAAGCATGTGTCGAGTGACTAAGTAGCTTGTGTGGAAAGTAGGCCAGCAAAAAGCGGAATGAAGGAGACGTTGACGCAATTCCCGGGATATAGTACTATCTTGCCCTCAGACATGTCAAATTAGTTAGCGCTGGTTTTGGATCGCAATAATCATTTCCTCCATTATTCGGTCTGCTCCTTGGCTATTAACCCCTCAACCCCGCCAAGCCATTCTATTTATTTCTGGTGACATGCCACATTCTAAATAGTGCTGCCAATCTAACCAGGCACCGAAAAGTGGAGGCTCTGCAGTGGCGGGGATGCGGAGAAAAGAAGTGGATTTACCCGTCAATCATAACCCACGGTTAAAAGGTCCAAAGCCAGGCCCCTCCCATGGCGTTGACGAAAATCATTGTCAGGTACAACGATAGCCAATAAGTATGCCATGGCGCATATCGTACTATGACCACCGTTATTCCCCTGGATCTCGGCACCGGGACCGCCGTCCCTGCAGTTCACTACATTATATAGAAATACTACATCCCCCGCGCAGGGATCGCGAGTTTAGCGTCCTGCACGTATTGTGCCGACAATTCCCCCGACCATGCGATGAGAGGGGTATAATTCTGGCCATTACACTCCTCATGGAGTTTTTCCCGTTTTGGACAGGCAATATCGGCAATTGGGCGAGCTAGTTGCGTTTATTTGCATTGGATGCGGAAAGGATCTACTTCGACTCCGAAACTTCAAATAATCAAGTCAACAGGAATGAGGGGTGACCGGGGAAGAAGAACGAGGGGTATTTGCCCGGTTAATTGAGCTGCGTTGAAGAGAGATGGAACCGTTACTGGCATAAATAGCTGCTGCAGTCTCCCCATTGCTGCAGCAGGAAATCCAGGATTAGATCTGGATAGGATCAGCGAGTTGCATCTGCTGGCTACATTGCATAGCAGCAAAAATGTTAGCGGAATATCTTCTTTTGCCATTGTTGGCATCTTATGCCTCGGCCGTGCAGATCTCTGTCGCTAAGTCTGGCGGTAATGTCACTACTGGCCTGCAGTATGGTGCAATGGAAGAGGTATGACTTGGAGCTCTGCTATAGAGTGAGTGGTATACTCATCAGTGCTACTCTCTAGGAAATCAACCACTGTGGTGAAGGTGGTCTGTACGCCGAGTTGATCCGCAATCGAGCCTTCCAGGGAAGCACCACCTACCCTTCCAACTTGGATGCTTGGTCTGCTGTCGGTGGTTCGAGCTTGTCCCTCCAAAACCTCACCAGCCCTCTTTCTTCTGCTCTCCCAACCTCCGTTCGGGTTCAGGGCAAGGGTACTTCAGGTTTCTCTAACTCTGGCTTCTGGGGTATTGATATCCGTCCTCAGAAGTACTCTGGATCCTTCTACGTCAAGGGTTCCTACAAGGGCTCCTTCACTGCCTCTCTCCAGTCAAGCAGCGGCGAAGTCTTTGCTGTGTCCCAAGTTGCTTCCAAGAGCGTTGCAAATGAGTGGGTGCAGCATGAATTCACCCTGACCCCCAAGAAGGCAGCTTCCAACTACAACAACACCTTTGTGCTTACCTTTGACGCTTCCGTAAGACATGAAAATATTAAGTATTTGAGTGTCATGTACTGACTCCATGCAGAAAGCAACTGGCGGCTCGCTCGACTTCAACTTGATCAGCCTGTTCCCACCCACCTGGAACGACCGTCCCAATGGCATGCGCCGTGACCTTATGCAAGCCCTGCAAGACTTAGGTCCTGTAAGTTTGCCTTAACAGAAGATTCGTCTAAAAATATACTGACTTTCTAGAAATTCCTTCGCTTCCCTGGTGGAAACAACCTCGAGGGAGACACCATCGAGGGTCGCTGGAAGTGGAACGAGACTATTGGCCCATTGACCCAGCGTCCTGGCCGTGCTACCACTTGGGGCTATGAGGAGACCAGTGGTATGGGTCTGGTTGAGTACATGGAGTGGTGTGACGACCTTGGCATGGAGCCCAGTGAGTACATCAACAAAAATATTTCACTTCTACCTTAACTGACATGAATTCAGTCCTTGCCGTGTGGGCCGGTCTCGCTTTGAACGGTGACCTTATCGCCGAGGCCGATCTTGATTTCTACGTCCAGGATGCTCTCAACGAGCTCGAGTTCCTGACTGGCTCTGTTGACACCACTTACGGTGCTCTGCGTGCCAAGTACGGACACCCCGAGCCGTGGACTATCCGTTACGTTGAGGTCGGCAACGAGGATAACCTCAACAGCGGTCTCAGCTCGTACGAGTCCTACCGCTTCCAGGCATTCTATGATGCCATCACCGAGAAGTACCCCAGTATTCAGGTTCTGGCTTCCACCATCGACATGACGCTCCCCGGCAATGCTGGTGGCGATTACCATTTGTACGATATCCCAGACAACTTCATCACCAAGTTCGACATGTTCGACAGCTACAGCGACGCGCACCCTCTCCTGCTTGGTATGTATCACCCATTGTAGAGAACAAGGCTAGGACTAATCGAGATAATCTTCCAGGCGAGATCGCTGCCGTCGAGTACAATAACAATGGCGCGGGCATTAACTGGAACACCAGGGACGAGGATTTCTCCTTGTACCCCTGGTGGGGAGGCTCAGTCGCCGAGGCAGTCTTCCTCTTGGGAGCCGAGCGTAACGCAGACAAGATTATCGGAACTACCTACGTGAGTTCTACTCTTACAATAGATCTGAAGTATAAAACTGACTCCGATCTAGGCTCCATTCTTGATGAACCTTGACAACTACGAGTGGTCTCCCACTATGCTCTCCTTCAACGCTAACCCCGATGACACCGCCAAGTCCACCAGCTGGCACGTTTACAACGTGAGTCTATCTAAAACCTCCAAACAAAATACCAAATCACCACTAACAATCCATCTTAACAGCTGTTCAACAAGAACCACATGACCAACACTCTGCCCGCAACCTCCGACAGCAGCTTCGGCCCTCTGTACTACGCCACCGGTCTCAACAGCAAGACCAACTCCCACATTTTCAAGGGCGCAGTGTACAACAGCACCGCCGATGTCCCCGTGTCTCTGACCTTCGAGGGTATTGGACGCGGCACCACCGCCGATCTGACCATCCTGACTGCCCCCAGTGACGTCTCCATGAACGAAGTGGGTGGTGCCAACATTGTGCAGAGCAAGGTTACCAAGATCAAGGCTGGCAAGCAGGGTGTTTTCAGCTTCAGCCTGCCAAATCTGAGTGTTGCGGTGCTTACGACCAACTAGATAAAGTGATGATGATGTTTATGGAGAGATAGGTAGAAATACAGACAGCATTTGATGATGTACATCGAAATACGTGTGCTACACTTTAAAGGGTTCAGAATTGGGATAGTGTATGTGCACTAGACTGGAGATGAGGTAAGTTTACAGTGCTTATGGTCAAGACTAGAGATTAGGCAGTGTAGCCTTGGCTTGGGGGCCAAGAGGCATTTTTACACCATCTACCTACTGTCCCATTCTATATTTCGAGATCATCTATGTACCACTTGCAAGTCCAAGTCTCCGAGTCCGCAAACCTACGGCAATAATCGAAATACCCAGAAGCCTCAACTCGACCCTCGTCTCAAAGAGTAGGCGCGGGTCGACTTGTCCGACTTGCGCTTGATGGGGGCCACGATCCAATTTACCAAGTCGCGAGATCGGCACGGTTGACCTCACCGTCAAGGCCGCACCGACGTCGAGAGGGCATCCCATGCAGTTCGGTCTAGTCCCCACCTTTGCGTTCCAGTCCCTTCCCACGAGTGAAAAGGGCCGCGATAGTCGCCACACCTCCGAACGAAGCAGACGCCGCGAAACACAGCCTAATACCCCGGTAATATACTAATCTGACAGCGAGTTGTGCTTCTGGGGGCAGGTCGTGAATCGCTGAAACCGAGTGGCGGATTTCGTCAATCACCTAAAACGAGAAGAAAAAAAGGAAATGTGGTCAGCTGGGTCTGCTCAGGGCACGTTCCATTCAGTTTGCTTATGAGGATGTACTTTCCATTTGTCTGGTATTCCACTCAAGGCCTCCCCGAGGCCTGAGCTCAATGTATTCTGGATAATGGCCGAGGTGACGGCAACGCCCCATACAGTGCCGAGAGAGCGAATGAGGTATACGGTCGAAGCGGAGACGGCATGGTCTTGGAGATGACGTTAGATTACAGGGTTGACAGGAAGGCTCGACAAAACAGAGTGCTTACCGGAGTGATCGAATGCGGAAAGGAATGTGAAGAGAATTCCAGGGTATACGATGCCCTGTCCCAAGTTGGCGGGGATGATATATGCGTAGTACTTCCATTCTGAGTCGTGGAAACGTAGAAGCGTGACTAGCACGTTTCCAATGCACATGAGGGCAGCGCCTGCACGTACGAGGTGGGCAAGCTTTCCCCATCGCGACATCACGACGCCGGAGATCAGACCGCCCAGGGGAGTGGCAAGAGACGGGATAGCCAGACGGGCGCCCGCCTTCGTAGGGCTGTCGAGCAGAATGACTTGGAAAAGAAGCGGAAGGGTGAAGAGGAACTAAAGAACTTTGTTAACTCAGGTTCAGTTTTGCTGCAGGAAAGTAGTCCTTACGGCATACGCGGCCATGCCAACACAAACATTGGCAATCTGAGTGGAGACTGGATGTAATCCTTGCAGCATCTTCAACGGAATCAGAGGAGCAGCCGTCGTTGTAGCTTCCACGGCAAAGAAAGCCACCAAAAACACCAGACTGGCGACTAGCGATAGGACCACCCATATGTTGCTCCACGGTAGTTCATTGCCTCCAAGACTCAGTCCCACAAGCTGGCTCGACAGGGCCAGGACAAGGAGAAGCGACCCAAGCAGATCAATCTGTTGCCAAAGACTCTGGGACTTTTGTCCAGCAGCATGTTCCTCTTTTGCGGGAAACTTGAGCACAAAGTATCCCAAGACGAGAGCAGCCAGTGAGACTGGAACCTGAATCAAGAAACACCAGCGCCATCCGATGGTGTCGACGATACTCCCGCCGAATGAAGCGCCGCAGATGGCACCGAACCCGTACGAGACATTCTGAACCACCTGGTACATACCGCGCTGGCGGAAGGGAATGAGATCAGAGTTGATGATTGTCGCTAGATTGTGCGTCAGCCACGTTGTTCGGGTTAAAAGACCTTCTCTCACGCACCCATGGTCATCAACCCGCCACCTCCAATGCCGGTAAGGGCGCGCATGATGTTGAGAAAGATCACATCTCTAGCCAGAGCACATCCTAGACACCCAATCATGAATGAGATGGTAGCAGTAAAGAAACAAGCCCGACGCCCCAGTAGGTCAGAGAAACGTCCATACAACGGCTGAAACGCGGTGCTGGTAATGAGGTACGAGGTAGTCAACCACGATGCCGTGTTAGCAGCATTGAATTCCGAGCTAATGACCGCGTAAGTCGAAGCGGTGATTGTGCCGTCAAATCCACCAAGAAAGACGTTGGACATGATTGCTATTCGGCGTGAGTAATAGATTAGCGCTGTGGCCGGTCTGGTTGCGGGGTTGATTTACAAACCCAGTTGTATCCAGAGGAAGCCCGCTGGCGGTTTCCATGTTGTAGCTGGGCTTCTCGAGCGCAGCAAAGGTTGTTGTTCATCTGGGACTAGCATGGCTGCTGAATCGTGAATTGATTCTGATATAGTCTGTGCGATAGTCGCGGAAACTGTTTGTTCAGTATGATGGGCAGCCATGGAGGGGTCGAATGCAAGCAATTGAAAGAGGTAAAATGGACAAGCGAATGTCGTTGTCGACAGTCAACAAGGAAATGGCGCCAGATACAAATCTAGTAAATGAAAACCCAACAAGTACGTGAAACCGGGACAGAAATTTTCAAGTGCAGGTCCAAGCCAAGAAAGATTGCCGAGATCGCAGTGACTCGGGGACTCTTTCGGGAAGCGGCGTGGGGCAATCACGACATCCGACGGGGAATTTACATGATGTACATCAATGGATGGTATTTACAAGATAATTCATTGTCATTGTTTGATCATTATTCGATAGAATCATAGTTCTTATTACTTTATTGTATGTAATATATACTCGTATTCGGTCAATACCTCCATGACGAAGTGAGACCCCTAATGACGTTAAAGTTGGGCCGAAGTATATAAACCCCGCCTTTTGTCCAGCCTCTTGACAATCCCCAAACTCCGAGAAGCATTTTTACTACAGTATACCTCCAATAAAAAGATTAGAGCGTCATTGACGACTCCTTACCAGTGCAGAATACCAACCTAAGGTTAATGTACCCTTCGCTGCACATGATGGACTTCATCATGGAAACTGATCGCTGGACTAGTCAACCCGGACCGCCATGAAGGTTCTTATAACCGCCACCTGTGCCGCGATCCTGCTTCCTCTGGCAGCAGCAGATTGGCAATTCAAGTCTCGAACCGACCTTGCTCCGCCCCGCCTGAACGTCACCATCCCGGCAACCGCGGACGTCGAAAAGGGATACCTCTTCGTAGCCCCCTTCGCCGGTCAATGGGCCGAACCCCAATTCCATGGTCCCCGCCAGGAAGGTCCGTACATCTTCCGGGATGACGGCGAGCTGGTCTGGTCTGGATACGGTTACTACTCGATCTGGGCGGCTAACTTCCAGGCTGCCCGGTGGAAGGGCCAGGATGTATTGTTCAGCTTTGAAGGTGACCATAACCCGGGTTATGGACACGGACACGGCCATGCAACTATTCTGAACCAGCATTATGAGACTGTTCGTGAGCTGCGGGCAGGTAATCACAAGCTCATGGATAAGCATGAGTTTCATGTGATCGATGAGAAGACTGCCCTGATTCAGGTGTATCAGCCCGTTCCGATTGACCTGAGTCAGTGGGGTGGCAGCTCGGAGCAGCAGTGGATTGTGGATGCTATCTTCCAGGGTACGTTATTCAAGATTGAGAACTTTCGCATGTTTAATATCTAACCTGACTATCCAGAATTGGATATTGCTACCGGCGAACTACTCTTTGAGTGGTCCAGCCTAGAGCATGTTAGTCCGGATGGTAAGTCTACATCAAGTGTCCATTCTACCTTGTTATCCTACTCAATCAATCAATACTTACCACCTGTTGCCATGTAGAAGCGGTTCTCCCGCTGAATCCCGGCCAGGCAGGCGCAGGCTACAATTCTTCCGATGCGTGGGACTACTTCCACATCAACTCGGTCGACAAAGACGCCGAGGGCAACTATCTCATCTCCGCCCGTGATGCCTGTGCCGTGCACAAGATCAATGGAACCACCGGCGAGATAATCTGGCGCCTCGGTGGACTCCGGTCAGACTTTGACCTAGGTCCCAATGTGCGTTTCTGCTTCCAGCACCACGCGCGGTTCCTCTCTCAAGAAGGCGACGAGGAAATCATCTCACTATTCGACAATTCCGCCCATGGCACCGAAAACCATCGCGGCCACGAAGTCCACACGCACCCATTCTCGCAGGGTAAGATTATCTCAGTCAACACGGCCACCTGGACCGCACGGACCGTTCAGGCGTTCCAACCACCGGATGGACTCCTCGCCAAGTCGCAGGGTAGCACTCAAATCCTGCCCAACGGTAATGCGTTGGTCAATTGGGGCTCCGAAGGAGCCTTGACCGAATTCCGACCGGACGGAACTCCCATTCTCCATGCGTACATGGACTCGGGGCTCCTTGGCGAGGGCGTCCAGAACTATCGTGCATTCCGGTACAACTGGACCGGTCTGCCGACCGAGGAGCCTGCCATCGTCGCGCAAAAGACTTCCTCGGGTACAGCCGTGTATGTCTCGTGGAATGGAGATACCGAGACGGCCGTTTGGCGATTCTATGCGGTCACCGACCGGTATGGGTCGCGATCCTACTTGGGTGAGGTCCCGCGTCGGGGCTTTGAGACCGAGTTTGTATTTTCTGGGCATGCCTCTGCGCAAATCTCGGCGGAGGCTGTCTCAAACAGTGGTCGCATTTTGAGAATTACTCAGGCGGTGCTTCTCCAGGAGGCGGTGTTGCCTCCGGTTAGCAGTGATTTTGGCGGTCGCTCGGCTGGTTGGCGACAGAGTGTGTTGCGTGGGCTTTAAAGGGGAGATATTCGAGGGTGCTGAGGGTGGAGGGTGGCTGCAATAGTGGTGGTTAGTGGAAGGGAAAGGGGAAAGGGGTCGATGTAAGCATGGCTGAAGTAGAGAGAGTAGAAGTAGATAGGAAATAGGAGAAAACGAAAAGAGTTGTCGGAGGATATTATGTCGTGCATGGACCCTCGCTAATAATCAGAGGAGTAACTTGGCGCTAACTGGGGGCCTTCTACAAGTCAGGTATACTCCGTACTCGAGCCTTAATAAGACTGATAACTCTTCTCCTTCTACTTATGGCAGGTATTGTCAATAGAGTATGTACAGTATGTAGTGTAGATATCCACGTGTTGCCACATGGCTGCAGTTACACTGGAAATCGATTCTTTTTACTTGATAGTGACCACTGCTAACACTCTCACGCTGAATCTCGATCAGTAGCCTTCGGATGTAATCTTCCCGAAAGTCCAATTGTGCAATCTACCAATAAATAGTGAACGATCATCTCCCACCACTAAAGACCCTCTCGATCCTTGCGTCAGCCGTGCTCAATCATGGATTATCTCGTAACTCGTAAATTCCAACCAGTCGCTGCGACCCCCGCGTCACCCTCCGGAAGCTATCCTAAATGGGCTAATGCTCTTCATGGGTCCGGGGGGGATAATACGACAAATACGCATCCAATCGGAGTCCTGGATTACAATGAAATTGATGATCGGGTAGCTCACCCGCAGCATCTGACTTTCGAAAGCGAGTTTTTCCGTGGTAAGGAGTGCGATGGAGCCATAATCATCACCGTTGATTATTGGCACGACACGAATCTCTGACTGCCTTGCTGGTCATACACTTCGTAGCGAGTTCCCAAATGAATAGGTACTGGATACTCGTTCCAACGGTGGAGTCACCCGCCAACCTTAAAGTAGACGCTACAAGGTCTTTAGCGTCCAGGCACGGAACCACCGAAACACTCGCTAGGCCCGCCGTCTTGGAAGTAGTCCATCTTCCGTATCAGGCGTCGCAGTCAGCTTAGCTATCGAAAAATAATGTCATCCGGAAACGCCCTCTTCCGATATCCGAACGGCCAGCGTACCTGCCGAAAAGCGTAATCGCTATTGCGACACTCTTGGGCTTCGCGTCTCTCTCTTCTCTTTCTCCCTTCTTCATCCTTCTCCTCACCCCATCCTCGAGCCCGTCCCTTTCCAATGCAATTTTGATTCCATCGACCATGGCGTCACCACAGCCTCCCGCACCCTTCGGGAGTGGTGCTGTGTCACAGACATCGGCGCGCCTGATGAATCAACGCCTCGAAGACTCCATGACCGAAGAAGGATCACAGAAGGATAGCGGTGATATCGGTGATATCGACGACTCTGCCACTCCCGTCACGGCGGACGAGATTGAGGAGATGCGCCACAAGGAAATCACTGCACTTGCCCGGACTTTCTCACAGCTGTCGAACAAAGATTACACGGAAAAGGGTGAGCCCCACCAAGAGGGGATCAACACTTTCCTGGAAACCGAGCAGGACCCTGAATTGAACCCCAATGATGCGGATAATTTCAACTCCCGCAAGTGGGCCAAGAACTTTCTCCAGATGACCTTGCGTGATCCGGACCGGTACCCGCGTCGCTCGGCAGGTGTCTCGTTTCGCAACTTGAACGTCTTTGGGTATGGCACGGCTGCCGACTACCAGACCAACTTTGGCAATGCTTGGCTGAAGATGGCCAGTTGGGTCCAGGGTCAGTTGGGGTTGCGCGAGAAGAAGCGCATTGATATCTTGAGGAACTTTGAAGGAATCGTGCATGAGGGTGAGATGTTGGTGGTTCTGGGTCGTCCTGGAAGGTAAGTTTTGAAATTCAATCTTGATGGAAATAGACACGTACTGATGTATTTTTACAGTGGATGCTCCACGTTCCTGCGAACAATCGCTGGTGAAACTCATGGTCTGTTCCTCGCTGACGGTTCAGATATCGAATATGAGGGCATCTCATGGGATCACATGCATGGACGATTCCGTGGTGAAGTGATCTACCAGGCAGAGACGGAGATTCACTTCCCCATGTTGACAGCCGGAGAGACTCTGCTGTTTGCTGCCCAGGCCCGCGCCCCGAGCAATCGCCTTCCAGGAGTCAGCCGTGATCAGTATGCGGAGCACATGCGCGATGTTGTGATGGCCATGCTTGGCCTGTCCCACACCATGAATACCAAGGTCGGCAATGAGTTCATTCGTGGAGTATCTGGAGGCGAGCGCAAGCGTGTGAGTATTGCAGAGACTACCCTCTGTGGTAGTCCCTTGCAGTGCTGGGACAACAGTACTCGTGGCCTGGATAGTTCGACGGCCCTGGAGTTCGTCAAGAACATTCGTTTGTCGACTGAATACAGTGGATCCACCGCTGTTGTAGCCATCTATCAGGCTAGTCAGTCCATTTATGACATCTTCGACAAGGCCATCGTGCTCTACGAGGGCCGCCAAATCTACTTTGGCAGGGCTGATGATGCTCGGCGCTTCTTCATCGACATGGGCTTCTACTGCCCTGATCGACAAACCACTGCAGACTTCCTGACATCCCTTACTAGTCCATCCGAGCGACGAGTTCGTGATGGCTTTGAGGGTCTTGTCCCACGGACTCCCGATGAGTTTGCAGCTCGCTGGAGA